AGCACAATTGCTGGAGAGGGGAAGAGTGAGTGACTTTCTAGTGCTTACACCTTCTTATACAATAGTTGCTGATATTATCCTATTCAGGGTGAATTATTTCAGAGAGTTGCAGTTGGGAGAGAAAGTCTCCCAGTCTTCATAGTCCCAGAAATAAAGTTGTGAAAGACCAGCAAAAGCAAATTGTTTTAAGCCAGGTATAGGAGCTGGCTTAGGGAGACCTGGCACAATGGATGATCCTGAACTAGAAAAAAATTCCTATAAAGGACTTTACTGAGATAATTGATAGAATTTTAATAAGGACTGTGTATGCACTGAATAATAGAGTTATACCAATGCCTAATTTCCAAATGTGATAATTTGTACTGTGGTTACTCGAGACTTTTTGTTCTCAGGAGATACATTAAAAAGTGTTTCAGGAAGAAGAACATATTGTCTATTCTCAAACAATTCTTCGGTAATAAAGTAATGATGATGATAATATGTATTGTTCAGATAGATAATTCAGAGCAAATGTGACAAAATATTAGCCATGGATTTATCTATAATAGAGGACTAGCTAACCTATGATCTGTTTTTGCTCAGCTCCAAAACCTTATAAGAATGGCTTATAAGAAAGGAAGAACATGCATTGGAGATTACATGTGGCCTACAAAGCCTAAAATACTTACTTTAGCCCTTTAGAGCTAGAGGAAGCCATAGCAAGGGTTCATTGTGCTTCCAACTTTTCTGTGTCATAGTAATATGACTTACATGATAATATAAAGAGAGACTATTTCTTTTAAATGCTTTTTTGGGAAGCCAAGAAACTGAAAGGTTAGGACAGTCAGTCCTAAGAGCATTTGAATAAAGCATAGAGGAGTCAGGGACAACTGCTTAGAGCAAGTATTCTCTGTTATTTGTCTTGATGTCCAGGAAATGTGTAGCATATAGATAAGGAATGAATTGAATCTTTTTGCTGTAACTCCATTTCTAGGTCATTAATATTATGTGCTATCAGATAAAACCATATGTATACGCACATTTTTCTGTTTCTATGTTTCTGCTCAATTTTACCCCATTACAGAACTAAATGTTCAGTATTTGTCTGTTTTGATGACTAAAAATAGTTCTTGTAACACATCTCTGAATTTTCATTAATTGGCAGTAGTGATCACATTAAATTAAAAATTAAACAAATACTGTAACTGAATGAATCAAACATGGCTGTGTCATGCAAGATAATCAAGGACTGGTATCATAGTAAGTATTTGAAACCACCCTAGAGAGTCAGATATCCAAGGGGATCATTGACTCTAGACTGCAAGGAAGATAAGCATTCTCTTTTATTTTCCGATACCTTAAATAGAACCAATGTGATGTCAGTAGATGAACCATGAGATAAGAAAGTTAAAAAAAAAAGCCAAAGAACAGGTAGCTTGCTGATAAATGTGGCAGATCATGTACAATCCTAACAAAGTCATTTGTTCTCTTTGTAAAAGTTTTTTTCTTTTTGGTAGTGGTTGTTCATTTTTTAAAATGAGATACAGTATTTACCTCTTATGTCCTAGTGTAAGATTATACTTTTTATGGGATTTGTAAGATTTTATATTTTCAGTGTTCACATAAATAGGCACTGGAGGCTCATGCCTGTAATCCTAGCTACCTGAGAGACTGAGATTGGGAGGATTCTAGGCCAGTTGGAGCAAATAGTTCATGAAACCCCATCTCCAAAATAACTATAGCAAAATGGGCTGGAGGTGTGGTTCAAGTGGTAGAATGCCTGCTTTGCAAGTACAAAGCCCTGAGTTCAAAACCTTAATTCCCCAAAAAAGAAAAAAAAAAGTTTAGTGGTTTAGTGTTGTTCAACTAATGTGAGAGCTGAAGAGTGGCTCAAATGGTAGAGTGCCTGCCTAGTAAGCGTGAGGTCCAGAGTTCAAACCCTAGTATGGCAAAAAAAAAAAGAAAAAGACTAATGTGACTATTTGCATGTAATTAACTGACAGTGATTTCATATCATTTTTATTAGTTCATTAAAATTGTTCCCAAATGGATTCTCACAAGCAGTTTCCTAGTTTGAAACATGATTAATTATATGTATTTTCTTTTTCCTTTGTGGTGCTGGGATTGAACCCAGGGCACTCTACCCTTGAGCTACCTCCCCAGTATCTGTGTTTTCTTTTTTCTACTTACTCTGTTATTTTTCTTTTTTTGCTCTCTACAGCGTCTATTTTGTCCTCAGACCTATAGCTCTTTTTGTCATTGTTTTCTCTTACAGTGAGAATAGATGACAGGTAGTACTAATTTCCTCTTTAGTTACTCATAGTTCATTTGATTCTGACTTACACAGTATTTTATGTAAACACTTTAGTAAACTTTTTTATTGCCTTGCATAATCTCTACTAGAAGAATATTCCATCCTCTTCAGTTCATTTGGTAATACTACATCACTATAAGTAAAATGTAGAAATCATTTATTCTTCTCTATATTCTTTATGTTATTGTCATATGTATTACTTAGAAATAAAAATGTATAGCTGGGTGCGGTGGCTCATGCCTATAATCCTAGGTACTTGGGAGCCTGAGAAGCCAGCCTGGGCAGATAGTTCTCGAGACCCCATCTCCAAAAATAACTAGAGCAAAAACAAAATGGACTAGAGGTGTGGCTCAAATAGTAGAGCACCTGCCTTGCAAGTGCAAAGCCCTGAGTTCAAACTCTAGTCCCACCAAAAAAGAGAGAGAGAGAGAGACCAATGTTTTTATTTTTCTTCTGTTTTGTTAATGGAGAATAAAAGTGTATGTTAAAATATTCATAATGTAAAAATAGTTTCTTAAGGAAAATGTTCTAAAATGTGGCTACACGTATTTGTGGATGTACAAAAAGCTATTGAACTATATATGCTAAAATGACTTATATGGTATACAAATTACATATTAATAATAACTGCTAGAAAGGAACTTAGCTGTTTAGACCTAGTGATCAAAATCAGAGGCTGGGTGCGGGTTGCCCATGCCTGTAATCTTAGATGCTTGGGAGACTGAGCACAGGCAAATAGTTCTCGAGACTCCATCTCCAAAATAACTAGACCAAAATTGACTCAAGCACAAAGCCCTGAGTTCAAACCCCAGTTCCACCAAAAAAGGAGCGGGGTGGGGCGGGGGGAAGAGCCGGAGTTCAGGCTGGGTGACCCTATCTCAAAAACAAAATACAATTTTTTTTTTCCCAAAATGTTCTCTACTTACCTGTGAGTCCCATGAGGGTCTCTGTAACTTTGCCCAGGAATACCTCAAACTCAAGATCTTCCTGCATTTCCCTCCTGAGAGTTCGTATTACAGGAGAGTACCACCACATCTGGTTAGCAGTTTTCAGTAGATATGATTGCTCGCGTGGTGGTCCACAACTACAATACCAGCATTTGGGAGACTGAGGTAGAAGCATCTTGTGTGGAGGCCAGCCTGGGCTACACAGTGAGTTCAAGGATAGTCTGGACTACATAGTGATGAGACCTTGTGTGTAAAAAATCAAAGCAAACAAAGCCAAATAGATATGATTTACATGTTAAGGAATTGCCTCTTTTTTTTTTTTGCGGTATTGGGGCTTGAAATCAGGGCCTACATCTTGAGCCACTCCACCAGCCCTTTTTTTGTGATGGGTTTTTTCGAGATAGGGTCCTGGAACTATTTGCCAGGGCTGGCTTCCAACCGTGATCCTCCTGATCTTTGCCTCCTGAGTAGGTAGGATTACAGGCGTGAGCCACTGACTCTCAGCCTGATTTTGTTTTTCTAAGAAGTTGGTTTTCTGTGCAAAATTGGCCCTTCTTGCACTTTGAGCACTTTTATGTACATTTTTCTCTTTTGACTCTTAAAAAATATGGCGAATTATGAAATGTTTCATAGCATCACATTCTTTGCATTCCTGTGACTACATATGTTATCCAAATGATCCTTTTCATGTCCTGTAAATTTTGGTTTGTTAATTTAGAATCTTCCTGTCTAAATTTACAAGTGAAATTTGTACCTAACTTTACATGCTGCTTATGAGATTTTAGTTTAATGGTTTTACTGCTTTGTAAAACTAATGGGATAGTTTTTCTTTTGTTTTCATCATATATCCTGTAAATTTCCCCTTATTGAAGGCTATTTTAAAGGTAATTCATTAACATTCTTTTTTAATCTACCACCATTGTTTTATTTCTCTTCCTCTTCCTCCTCCTCATCCTGCCCCCCATCTTCTTCTTGTATTGGGACTTGAACTCAGGAACTTATGCCTGCTAGGCTCAACACTTGAGTCATTCTCCAGCCCTTACCGTTTTCTTCTTTAGATCAATTTTATTAATGAATTCTTTCTTACAAAATTGACCACGTCATTGAGATTTCAAATTTATTTCCACAGACTTGGATATACTAGTCTTGTTTCATTTGTTTATAGTACTACTCAAATGTCTATATTTTCCTTTTAACTGAGTTATTTACTCAAGGTAAACCTGCATTCATTTTTCTTTCCAAATTGTCAGCTTCTAGGTATTTTTATGAGTTTTGCTGTGCAATGTTGTTATTTTTAAATGTTCTTTAGTAGGAGTTTTGTTTTTTAAAGTAAATTTTATGTATTCGAGGTTTACAAATTCATGTTTTGGGATACATACAGACAATAAAATGGTAACCATAATGAAGTAGGTAAATATATCTGCTATCTCACATAGTTATTTTTGTGTGTGTGTGAGACCAGAGCAGCTAAAATCTACTTACTTAACAAAAGTCCCTAATAGAATACAATTTTATTAACTTTAGTTCTCATGTTGTAATTATACCTTTATTCTTACCTGCTATTTTTGTATCTTTTGAGTCATATCTCCCTATTTCTTCTCCCATTGAAAGGAGTTTTGGGCAGTATGGGATTGAACTCAGCCTCTCACTCAAGCAGTTTTGATGTATTTTTGACCATATAGTTTGCAAACATCTTTATGCTCAAAGAAATGATTCCCCACGTTTAATCTATTGATTTTTACAATGGTTCTTTCTTTTAGGCAAGAGACGTGCGTACCAATGAAGTGGTGGCTATCAAGAAAATGTCTTATAGTGGAAAACAGTCTACAGAGGTAGGTTAAATATGCACATTTTGATGGGCATGTTAGAAATGCTAGTTTTTAATTGGAAAGGGTAGGATTTTTAAAATATATGATATTCATAAAGAAAGTGTATAAATCTTAGTGTATAACTCAGTGGATTATCTTTCAGAGACCAATGGTATCCATTTAAATACTACTTAGAGCCATAAACAAAACATTAATGGATCCCAAAGCCTCTTCATTGTGTCCCTTCTGGTTCCTTTTTTAAACTGGTCTAATATATTATTCTATGCTTATCTTGTAAGGATGATCAGTTTCTAAAAAACTAAAGTAGAATAAGATGTACTTGACTGTATATTCATGATTGTTTTAAATAAACTAATCACACAGTGTGTAACAATTTGTAAAAGCAAAAGTGACAGTTCACTAATATGTGTAGATTGTATTTATTCTACTTAATTACATAAATTTATTTATAAAATGTAATTTTTTAAATTACTTAAATTATTTATACTTTTTTAAATCTAAGATTGTAATAGTCTTCTGTCTTTTTTCTTTTTGTTGGGACTGGGGATTGAACCCAGAGCCTTGCCACAGGCCAATCAAGTGCTCTATCACTTGAGCTATGCTCCCAGCACTCTGACAGTCTTTAAAAAATATTAAAAATTTTTTAAAATTGTTATGGAGTACATGTTATAAAATTTGCTGTCAACCATTTTTTTCTTTCTTTATCATATTACTGTTATTCCATGATACCTGGTGACATTTACAAAAGTTCTTACATAGTTGAATTCACCTCCATCATTCTCCTTTATCCCTCCTTTCCCCATTCCTGGAGTAGTTTCAACAGGTCTCATTTTTCATTTAAAATGCATGAATACATAATATTTCTACTACATTCACCCTACTTTAACCATTTTTAAGTATATACTTCAGTAACATTAAGTCCATTGACATTGTTGTTCAACCATTACCACTGTCATTCTCTAAAATTCTTTTCATCTTCCAAAACTGTAACTCTTTACTCATTTATGCACCAGCCCCTAGTAGCCGCCATTCTATTTCTTTGTTATAGGAATTTGACTACTTTAGGTATTTCATGTAAGTGGAATCACTAACTTGTGTTACAAAATGCCCACTAAAATTCATACATGTTGTAGCATGTGTCAGAATTTCTTTCCTTATTAATGCTAAAAAATATTTCATTGTGTGTATGTGTATTACATATCTTTATATTAATCTCACATTTATATCCATACTGTCTATAAGTGGACACTTAAGTTGGTTATACTCCTTGGCAGTTGTCAATAATGCTGCTATGAACATAAGTATACAAATACTTCTTTTAGTCCTCTATTTCAGTTTGTTTGGATATGTGCTCAGAAGTAGAATTGCTGGATTAGTTTAAAAGATTTTGGTTTCCTACTTTTTTTGGAAACTCTTATGGTAAATCTTAGTTTTGTAATAATCACACTGTGGGTATGATAATATGATTATATCATTTTCCATTGTTTTGGTATCTACAAACTCACATTTATTGGAAATTTAATTTTATTCACCATTGTATTAAACAACTTTAGGACTGGCTTTCACAGCCTGACTTATTGATTGTACTTTTTTGGAGTCTGATTAGTTATACCTAGAACCAAAAATTTTATTTACTATATCATCTTTAACATCTAATGTTTGTATCCTTTGTGCAAACTTCCTTTACATAGAGGAATACAATTTTCTTAAGACTTTGCCTTCCAGAATATTAATATTTGGAATTTAAAGCCCATAAAACAGATTTTCTGAATTTAGTATTTTATAATGTATCTTACACATTTTCTTTCTTTCTTTCTTTCTTTCTTTCTTTCTTTCTTTCTTTCATCTTTCTGTCTGTCTGTCTGTCTATCTTTCTATCTATCTATCTATCTATCTATCTAATTTTGGTTACTGGAGTTTGAACTCAGGGCCTATACCTTGAGCCACTCCACCAGCCCTTTTTTGTGAAGGGTTTTTAAGATAGGGTCTCACAAACTATGTGTCCAGGCTGGCTTCTGACTACTGTCTTCCTGATCTCTGCCTCCTTTGTAGCTAGGTTCACAGACATGAGTCACCAGCGCCCAGCAAATACACTCTTTTAAACTTTTAATTTTGACCTTTCATCTAAAAAAAAATCAGGCAAAGTTGCATGTTCTTGTTAACCCTTCTTAATTTAGTAATTACTTTTTTCATCTGAAACTTTTTAAGGAAAACCAGCTCTTTATAATCCTTTCTCATGCTGGCGCAGTGGCTCAAGTGGTAGAGCGCCTCCCTAGCAAGTATGAACCCCTGAGTTCAAATCCCAGTGCTGCCAAAAAAATAAAAGAAGAATTAATATAATTCTTTCCCTTATTCCTTTTTTGTCCCCACAGAAATGGCAGGATATTATCAAGGAAGTCAAGTTTCTACAAAGGATAAAACATCCCAACAGTATAGAATACAAAGGCTGCTATTTACGTGAACACACAGCATGGGTTGGTATTTGCTTTCTCCTTATTGTAATTTTAGTTGCTTTTGGTTTAAAATGTCTCAAACGGTATGTACAAGGCATGCAAACACATCTCCTCCTGGCAGAGGAAAAGCAGCATAGAATGCCTGAAATGAGCTGGGCTCTGGTGGCTCATGCCTGTAATCCTAACTACTCAGAAGGCAGAGATCAGGAGGATTTCAGTTCAAAGCCAGCCCGGGCACATAGTTGGTGAAACCTTATCTTGAAAAAACCCATCACAAAAAAGGCCTGGCTGAGGGGCTCAGGTGGTAAAGTGCCTGCTTAGCAAGTGTGAAGTTCTGAGTTCAAACCCTAATGCTGCAAAAAAAAAAAAAAAGACTGAAATGTTAGTTTATCCTTGTAGAGGAAAAGCAATGTTTCCTAGAACTTACAGGCAGTAAGCGATAATAGAACTTTTTTGAGTTGAGGGTGCAGCTCAGTGGTAAAGGGCTTGTTTAACGTACCAGGCTCTGAGATTGAACCCCAGTACAGTGATGAATGAATGAATGAATGAATGAATAAACAAATAATTCAGCTTTTTTCAAATTCTGTTCTGTAGATTTTCTCTAGAATTCTCCAGAATTCATATGTATGGTAAAATGTGCTCAGTGGTACCATCTAAACATTGTAAAAACAGTCCTATTACTTGAACATGAAAGCTAGCGTGTTGTCATGATATAAGTGTATTGTAATTTATTTACTCAGAAAGATCTTGGTGAAGTTTGGGTGTGTTGTGAAATTTGAACTGGTAATGATTCCTTGAGTGAATAACATTAAAGGTAGAGAATTGAGACTTTTTTTTTTATTAGAAGTAGAGATTAATTTTATCCTTTTGTTACCATTGAGATGATATGGTACTAATTCTATAATGGTGTGTGCAAAATAGCTGTATTTTTTAAAGGAGAGATTTAATTTCCTTTAAATAAGAATTAGCCTTAAGTAATTAGTAAGACTGATCATTATCTTTTTCTTTTCTTTTTTTTTTTTTAATGGTGGTACTGGGGTTTGAGCGCAGGGCTTCATGCTTTACCACTTGAGCCACATCGCCAGTCCATTTTTCTCTGATTATTTTGGAGGTGGGGGGTCTTTCGAACTATTTACTCTAGCTGACCTTAAATTGTGATCCACACCCAAATAGCTGTGGTTATATATGTGAGCCACCAGTGCCTGGCTGACCATTGTCATTTTTAATACCTGACTTAGATTTGGACTTGAAATGTTTGTACACTTTTATTCAATTTGATTTTGGTAATAGTGACTCCTAAAATTGAGGCTATGTTTAAAGAAAAAGTAATGACATTGAGCAGGTTAACTCACTTTCGAGTTTCTGTCTGTAAAACGAGGATAACCACTCAAAAGGTTGTTGTGAGGGTTATAATGGTATATAAAATACCTGGCACAGAGGTGATGCTCTGTATGTGTTTAAAAAAAAAAAACTAAACTAGAGCTGGGTATGATGGTGTATGCCTGTAGTGCCAGCTGCTGAGGAGACTGAGGCAAGAGCATCACTTGAGCTCATCAGTTGGGGACTAACCTGGAAAAACATAGTGAGATCCTATCTCAAAAAAACACATTTAGATCCTGGAGTCCAGTGATGCAAGGAGGGAACCCCTGTTACTCTGAGGCTGGGGCAGAAGAATTGCTTCAGCCCAAGAATTGTAGACTAGCTTGGGCAACATAACAAGACCCTTCTCAAGAAATAAACATTTAACCAAGTAACTAAGTTTTGTGCATGCAGTTCTAGAGAACCCAGTTTTCTCCCCTGACAACAATGATCAATTTTGTTACTGTAGTTTAATAGTAACAGAATGTATATTCCTACTTATTTGTTTGTTTATGGCACTAGGGTGTTTGAATTCATGGCTTCACACTTGCAAAGCTGGCGCTCTACCACTTGTGCCACACCTCCAGTCCATTTTGCTGTGATTATTGTGGAGATGGGGGTCTTGAGAAATACTTGCCTGGGCTGGCCTTGAACCTCAGTTCTCCCATTCTCAGCCTTCCAAGTAGTTAAGGTTACATAATGAACCACCAGTATCCACCATATTTCTCTTTAATTTAAAGTAGCAATAATGTCAGAAATATACAGCTTATAGAAATGATTACATGTTGATGTTATTCAAAGACAAATGTATCATTGACTTTAATTATGAGCTTAACAAATTGCCAAATATATCATTTATTTTCCCTTTAACATTTTTTTACATATTTATTTATTTTTTAAGGTAAATGCTAACTAGAATTTGTTTTACTTCATGCTATCTTCTTGACTTCCTGGGTGAATTAATTTTGTCTCGAATAAATCTTTATAATATATTTTAATGCTTTCACAATTTTTCTTCTCATGTAGCTTGTAATGGAATATTGTTTGGGATCTGCTTCAGATTTACTAGAAGGTAGGCTTCCTTTGATTGTCTTTAAAAAATTAGAATAAAATAATAATTTAATTAGAGTTTATTTAAACAAGTTAACACTAAATAAACATAAAACTTTCCATAAAGAGTAAAATCTTTATCCTTTTCTAAGATTCTCAGCATAGTATGTACTAGCTTTATAGAGTAGGCAAATTTTTTCTCATTGTGACTTTACAAGCATTTTTCTGGATTCCTTGTCATTCAGCTTTATCTACTGTTTGTGTTCAAAACAAAGATAAGTGAGAATAAAGGAGCACTTCTTTTGTTACTTTTGTTTTTTAATCACCAAGTCATTGTTTAATATTGTTATCTCAAAGTGATTGGCTGAGAATTTTACTTTAACAGCTGGCCCAGTTTATTGCCAATTATAAGTAGCCTTATACTAATTGAGGAATCTTGTTTTATCATCGTGGGAAATAAGTCTGTCTCTCCTTGCTTAATGTCAGTTTTTAAAAATTACCTACATATAAGATATGTATTTTTTTAAGCAAAAATGTTCTATGTAATAATTATTTTCAAATAAATTTTTACTTTAAGTGCACAAAAAGCCATTACAAGAAGTGGAAATAGCAGCAATTACACATGGTGCTCTCCAGGGATTAGCCTACTTACATTCTCACACTATGATCCACAGGTAAGTGCTTTGAAAGTGATCATGTATCAGTTCTGCACTTTAATGGCCACAGAATTTTTGTTGTTTTTAGCCAATAGCCAATATAACCTTTTTTTTAAAAACAAACCAACGATTCACATATTAAAAAGAACATGGTAGTACAGTTCATCTATTTAGGATAATTTTTATCTTTGCCTACATGTGCTGTTGGGCCTTCTAAAATATATGTACTTCATGGATTTTTTGATTTTTGATATAAATTTAATTGTAGAATAATTTGCAAACTGGAAGTGGTATTAGGGATCATATAGTCTGTCTTTTCCATTTTATAATGGAAGCTCTGATTTGTGATTATAATTTTTCCAAGGTTGCAAAGTCAGATAGAGTTATAGCTTAACAAATGTTTTGTCTTCTGGTGACTGATAATGCCAGATTTGTTCCATTGATTCCACAATATGCACAAAGACTCTTTATGCTTTTACACACCAATCTTTGGTTATTCTTGATAATGGATAATAACTTTGAGTTTAAACTACCTATAATGAATTTTTTAGCACTGTTATTAGCTTGGGCTATTTTAAAAAGAAAAAAAATCATAAACCAGACAATACATATTAAACTATGTGAAAGGGTCATTTTGAATTAATGGTTTAACATTTTTAAATGAAGATAGTAAAGTCCAAGAGAAATCTATGTGCCACCAAAATAAGTGAGTGGCAGAGTTAAAATAGAACGTAAGGTTTTCTGAACTTTAAAGTATCTCCCTATGTATAAGGCCTGGGATTCAATCTCCAGCATTACACATACCCACAAAAAAGTAACTCCTCAGTGTTTAAAAACAAATGGGAGGAAAATAGACTCACTTAGTATTATAGTCATTATGAGAATCAACAAGTACTTGGAAGTGTAGTTCTTTTTCAATTTTTGAAAGGTTAAGTGTGTGTTGTAGTGCCCATTGGAGATAGAATCCCATTATATAGATACTTCAATTTTTCTTAGTTAGATAGACTGTGTTTGCTGTTACAGAGAGTAAGTTTGGGGCAGGAAGAGTGGCTCAAATGGTAGAGTGCCTGCCTAGAGGGCATGAGGTCTTGAGTTCAAATCCCAGTACCATCCCAAAAAAAGTAAATTTGAAAGTAAATTTGGGATCATTAATATTATGTTATCCATATGTTTCACTTTTCATTTAATAGTTAGGGGAGCTATGCTAAATGTTTGACAGTGATATGAATAATCTTTTCTTTAACAAACAAATTTAGAGGATAAGGTTTTCTTTATTTTTCCTTTTCCTTTTTTTTAAAAAAAATTTTAAATGGTGTACTTATCTTATACATTGTGAAGGGGTTATTAGCCAGTTAAATTCAAGTTTGAAAGGTATTGTTTATATTGTTAAACAGAAACTCAAATATAGGCTGTATGCTGCAAGTACCTGATTTTCTGTCTTTTATTTTTCACTATTACTTGGCTTCTCTTTCAGAATATTTTTACATATATTTATTTTAATTTGTGTTTTTGTTATTTAATCTCATTGTCTCAATTATAAGATTATTGTAGCAATTATTTTTATTTCTTCCTTCCTTACAAATTCTTACTTGAATTTTATTATTTTAAACACAGTCTAATAATAATTGTCTATAATTTTCTGTGTTCCTTAAACCCAGAGATATCAAAGCGGGAAATATCCTTCTGACAGAACCAGGCCAGGTGAAACTTGCTGACTTTGGGTCTGCTTCCATGGCATCCCCTGCCAATTCTTTTGTGGGAACACCATACTGGTAAGAATAGTCCTGTCTGATACCGATCCTCATAATTGAAGTAGGTGATATATGGTTATATTTTTTTCAGGTGTCTTATCGGGCCATTTTGTTCATTTTTACTTTTAAGTATTATATTTAGTTTTAAATATAGGTTTGGAGTGCTGTTCTTGCATCTCCTTTTACCATTTTTCATCTTCTCCTTTTCATTTTATCCTTACTTTGCTTTCCTGTTATTATCTACATCTTATATTGGGTATGAGAAGAAAAAAGTCAACAGCATTCAAGTGGAGGAGGAGATGTACATGCTAAGGGTAACTTGAATGTTTAAGTTTATTATGTATTACTTATCTTTAGACTAGGCATACTTAAAGGCTGGTAGCAATTGGGAGATTTTTTTTTCTTTTTCAAATAATAATATGGAACACTTCACAAATTTGTGTGTCATTCTTGTGCAGAGGCCATGCTAATCTTTTCTGTATTGTTCCAATTTAAGTATATGTGTAATCAAAGTGAGCATGGAGGTTTTTTGTTTGTGTTTTTTTTCTGTTTTGACTTTTGAGTGTGGAGAATTTTAAATATACTTAAAAGTAGGCAAAAGTATGATGAGTTATTAAATATCAATTACCCAGCCCAAAACATTACCACATGGCCAATCCAGCTACTTAAGTACTATCATTTCTTCCTACCCCACTTATTTTGAAAGAAATTCTGGATGTCATCTAATTTTATCTGTAAATAATTCCATATTTGTTGTCAAAAGTTAAAAGAAAATAGTATTTCAGATATTAACTTCTTTTTTTTTTTTTCATTTTTCTTTTATTATTCATATGTGCATACAAGGCTTGGTTCATTTCTCCCCCCTGCCCCCACCCCCTCCCTTACCACCCACTCCACCCCCTCCCGCTCCCCCCCCTCAATACCCAGCAGAAACTATTTTGCCCTTATCTCTAATTTTGTTGTAGAGAGAGTATAAGCAATAATCAGATATTAACTTCTGTTTGCATCTTGTTTATATGTGCAGTGGTGCTCACTGCATCTTCTTTCCTATCTGCCTTTCAGATCTCCTTTCTCTTACTTTATAAAAGGGCTTCTTACCCATCCTAAATACTATGATACATTCCTCTGGGATGTAAAAGCCTCAGAGACATATCAGAGAGACATTTTAAGAATGTCTAGCATCTATGGGAAAAAGGATCAGTGCACAATCTGATGACAAGGCCTTGTACTTCACTTGTTATTTTCCTTCTTTTGTTCCTTCTCTCCCAATAACTCCATTCCCCCTTTCTTTTTTTTCTTACTGTGGCATTTATGCCTGAGATGGTTGTCATGGAGACATGTTAAGATGTCTATTTGTGTTGAAAAATGAAGTCAGACTTTTTTCTGACAGAAAGTGATTCTGATTTGTCTAAATTGTTAAGACCTGAAGATTAGCTTTCCTAATTAGGTAATGTGGGAATGTTTTTAATAAATTGAATGAACTAGTTCTGCAACTCTCAGTTTTAAGTATCTTTAAAGCACACACATATAATATTTGTATATGCTGTAATTATCTTTTGCAACTATTAAATTTCTAAAATGTACTTATTAATCCTAAAACATGCAAGGGGATTAAAAAGCTTTTATAAATTCTAGGAAGTAAACAAATTGAAAAAGTTGCTGCTGTGAATGACCAGAAATTTCTTGTGTAGAGCCCAAATCTATCTACTTATCTATATTTTTGTAATCTACTTCCTCATTATAAAAATGAGTTCTATAAGAGAATAATGATTCCCCTTCCTTACAAATTGATGATAAATATTAGATATTAAGAAGGCCCTGGAAATTCCTTCAATAAAAAGAACAATAAAATTACTTCTTTGCTTAAATTAGTAATTTTCTAAACTTGATTCAACATTTTTTAAAATTCTAAAACATACTTTTATTATTTTATTTATTTTTTTATTCGTTTATTCATATGTGCATACATTGTGTGGGCCATTTCTACCCCCTACCCCCCACCCCTTCTCTGTCCGTCACCCTCCTTACTTCCAGGCAGGATCTGTTCTGCCTTTATCTCTAATTTTGTTGAAGAGAAAGTATAAGCAATAATAAGAAAGACAAAGCGTTTTTGCTAGTTGAGATAAGGATAGCTATACAGAGAGATTCCTAGCATTGCTTCCATGTATAATTCAACATTTTAAAGAAAACTTGTGAAATGCCCAGTTACTGACAACAGAATGTTTGCTTTATTAACATACTTACTAATTTCTGTATAGTACATTTGGAACACAAGAACTGGATTACATGTATCTTTACACACATTCACACATATTGAGGGAGGGTCTTATTGAAGTAGTTAGCAACGCTTTTAAGGTATTCATCTGTGCTTAACACCAAATATAAATGAAGCATAATGTAAAGTACCATCAAGAATGGCGAAGTGGCGCAAGTGGTACAGCACCTGCCTAGCAAGTATGAGGCCCTGAGTTCAAGCCATAATTCTGCCAGATAGATAGATAAATAGACAGACAGGCAGACAGACAGACAATCTATCTGTTAGACTAGTTGTAACTAAGCTTGATAAGATTGATAATTGTATGATTAAATTGTGAGCCACTCTACCTATTTTTATCATGGAACACAATTTTTATTTGAAAGAGAGATACACATAGGCTCTTCCTGTTCAGTCGTGTTATTTTGGCCGATATTTCTCAAATAAATGAAGTAAGGTGTCACATCAAGGGAAACAACTGACAGTATTTGTTTCAGTGGTAAAATTCAATCTTTCAAGCAAACCTTTATAGTGAAATCCTGAGACAGTCCTGCTTTGGAATTGTCCTTCTTTTGGGATGCTGTTACACAATGATGACAGATGGTAAGAATGAATCTCATGTTTTATTGTGCTAAATATTTACCTTACAAACGCTAATGTAATTGTTTGCCATTATAAACATTCTTACGTTCACATATCTTGGTTGGAATTCAAACCAGTGTTCTCCAGGTAGACATCCTTACATTCTCTGAGATAATATACTTTTTCTTTAATTTAAATGAACATTATATATTTTAGGATGGCCCCAGAAGTAATTTTAGCCATGGATGAAGGACAATATGATGGCAAAGTTGATGTATGGTCTCTTGGAATAACATGTATTGAACTAGGTAAGCATTGTTTTTCATTAGGCGTTAAGTTTTGATCAATATTTTACTTCAGTCACCACAACCAAATTATAGATTTTTATCTTTTCTAAAGGGAACAACAAATCTATTAAACTTTTACTCTTTTTATATATTAAGTTAGCTATATTTACTGTTAAATTAGGGCTAAAATAATTTTCCACTGTGGTTTTTTTTTTGTGGGACTGATGCTTGAATTTGGTTTCACACTTGGAAAGCATATGCTCTACATCTCCAATCCATTTTGGTTTGGTTATTTTGAAGATAGGATCTTCGGAATTATTTGCGCAGGCTGGCTCAAACCGTGATCCTTGCAATCTCAGCCTCCCAAGTAGCTAGGATTACAAGTGTAAGCCTCTAGTGCCTGGCTTTTCCACTGTGGTTTTAAGTTTAAGGTATTCATGTCTAACATTAATGAATAGTTGTTAAACACCTAGAATGTGCCTTGAATTACCAGATTTGCTATCTGTAGGAGGGAGGTATCTATGAATTACTTATTCCTACCCTGAGTATATATTACTTTGAGTTAAATGTGGAAATTAGATGTCAGGCTACATAGCATATTGTAGCAATACTTTCTTTGTTTTTTTAAGACTGTAAGACGAGCCCGGTGTCAGTGGCTAACGCCTGTAATCCTAGCTACTCAGGAGATAGAGATCAGGAGGATCAAAGTTTAAAGTCAACCCAAATAAGTAATTGATAAGACCCTATCTCGAAAAAACCTTCACCAAAATGGAGCTGGTAGAGTGGTTCAGGGTGAAGGCCTGAGTTGAAGCCCCAGTACTTTAAAAAAAAAAAAAAAAAGAGTATAAGACAGACTTTATTCGAGGGCAACCATAGCAATAGCCATAGAAACTACTGCAGTGGGATTTCCAATTGGGAAGATTGGACCCAACACTCTGTAGCAGTTTATTTTATAAACTGCACACATTTTATTCTGCAGCTTATAAGTAGAACTGCTAAAACCAGGATATTTTAAAATTTAATTTTATTAGCATATAATAGTTGTACAAGGGTATACATTGTGAGATTTACATTTGTACTTTAAATATATCTGGATTTACTCCCTCTATCGTTCTTCCTCTTCCCCCCTCCATCCCCTCTTAGAACAATTTCAACAGGTTTAATTCTTCTATTTTCATATATGGATACAAAATACACCACATTTACACTCATTTCCCCTTTCCTTGTGCCCACCCCCCTCCCACTTGTACCTGCCCCCCAAAATGACCTGTTTTCCCCTCCTGCCCTTCATTTTTTAAAAAAAGTGTGTATTGATAGTCAGGGGGGTTTTGCTTTGGTACTTTAGGCCTGTATGAATAGTGCTTTAGTCAAATTAACCCTCCACACTCCCCCCCACTCCGTGACTCTCTCATTCTCTATGACCCTGCTCCCCTAATATTCAGCAACTTAAAATACAATGTATTATATTATATTCATAAACAGATGGGTAAAACAGGAGATTATTATAATTTACATTTCCACTGTAAGTGAGCCAGGTTGATAAGTGAACATTTACTGAATTTATTGTCAGCACTTGGGAAACTTTGTGTTTCCCAAGCAAACACAAAGTCACTTTTCCCATTGAAAGTTATGGCCACAGGGGAAAATGGTAAAATCTGAACCCATTTATATTACCTTTTATTATTATTCTATATAAGCATATGTAATATAAACACTTCCTCTGGAATTTTTTGTTGTTGTTGTTGCCATACTGGGGCTTGAACTCATGGCCTACATCTTAAGCCACTCCACTAGCCCTTTTTTTTTTGTAAAGAGTTTTCCAAGATAGCGTCTTGCAAACTATTTGCCTGGACTGGCTTCGAATTGTGACCCTCCTGATCTCTGCCTCCTGAGTGGCTAGGATTACAGGCATGAGCCACCAGTGCCCAGCTGGAATTTTTTTTTATTGGACATTGTTTTCTGAGGCTTACTTTCTAGATCTTCTGTTTCTTCTTTTTTAGTTTCATTTAATTTCTTCTTAGTTTAGATGGTTTTTTTTGAAGCAGTCCATATCCATGAACAGAGACAAGATAATAAGGAGTGGGATCTCTATAACTTTAAAATAAATTGGTTTAAATAAAATTTAAGTTTAGTCATAACTTTTAAGAATTTGAGGTAGAGGCTAGGCCTGGTGGTTACATTCCTTTAATCCTTGCACTTGGGAGGCAGAAATAAGATCACAAGTTTGAGACAAGCCTGAGCTACACAGCAAATTCCAAGCCAGCTTGGATTAATAGTGAGACCCTATCTCAAAAAAAAAAAAAAAAAATTTACAGAAATGTCGGTTGAATCTGACTAATTAAAACATTTTAATTATAGAAACAGATGACTTATTTCTTCCATTCATTCAGAATTTCTTCAGTAACCCTTTCCCCTTCCCCACACTATTCAATCTTAAGGCACTGAGTGGGTCAGAATAGGCAGGTATCCATGCCAGGTGATGAGCCATGGTAACCCAGGGTGGGTGTCAGAGTCAAAAAAAAAAAAAAAAAGAGTATAGTAGAGAGTTTGCATAGCCTGGTATGTGAAATCAGAAACTGATGAGGGCATTATATGCAACACATGGTCAGGTGTAGAGATTCAGAGGCCTTGTCAGATGACTGAGGCATTCATGCATGGAGATGACTTAGCATAAGTTATCAGAGCCCTAGGATGGGGAGGAGGTGAGATGACAACACAACAGGAGTATTCCATTATATAGAGTCAATGTCTAAAGAGGCAGTCCCTATTTAGGGTCATCCTAGCACAGTGATAGAGCCTAGTAAAAATTAAGAGGACTTCTCTAATGAAAGGTGCTTCATAGTAGAAGTGACCTGGTTTGGTTTGGGTATCAGAAACTGAGTAGATGAAAAGGCATTCACACAATATGGTGAAATGAAATGGGGATTCAGAGCTTGAACACGGAAAGGAGGTTATCTTAGGGGAGAGAATGGTGGCAAAGATGGGAGCTTGAATATGGGAGTAATTTATCAAATAAAATGTATTAAGGATAATGAAAAGAAGGTTTATCATTGTCAGAGAAGAGCTTTACAAACATGGAAAGAGAAAGCTAGAATAAACACTATGGTATTATATTGGAATTTGAGATAGCATAGTGAACTTTATTGTTATCGATAAATACAGATGTTTAATTTGCATCTGTGCATATTAATATATTATGTATGCATGTGTTTCCTAACTGTCTATTGAGAGATTCTGAGAACAGTGAAAGCCCAGTAACAGTGAGCATACATAGTGTCATGGCTTCTTGGGGAAATGGTTGATCCAGGGTCTGGAGTTGTGGGAAAACACACAAGTTGATCCTGAGACATCTTAGTGTACCAGATGAAAGGAAGTGATGAAAAATAATGAAGACACAGAAGCCAACTTAAAAAAGGTTTCCATTGCTCAAATATGAAATAATTTGGATATCATAATGAGTGATAGATTATAACTTATAAAATGAAATACAGTATGGTCTTTAGGAAAATACTTTTCTTTCTTTCTTTTCTTTCTAGGCAAGCACCCACTCCACCAGCCCTCTTTTTTTTTTTTTTTTTTTTTTGTTGTTGTTGTTGTTGTACTGAGGCCACTCTACCAGCCTTTTTTTGAGAGGGGCTTTTTTGAGATAGGGTCTTGTGAACTATTTTGTCAGGGCTGGCTTCAAATTGTTATCCTCCTGATCTCTGCCTGTTGAGTAGCTAGAATTACAGGCGTGAGCCACCAGTGCCTGGATGGAAAATATTCCTATTTGTAGAAAATAAACTCTCAAGGCCTAGCGTGGTGGCTCATGCCTGTAATCCCAGTTATTTGGGAGGCAGAGATTGTAAGGATTGTAGTTTAAGGATAGCCTGGGCAAAAAGTTAATGAGACTCTATCTCAATCAATGAACTAGGGTGTGGTGATGAGTACCTGTGACCCCAGCTATGTGGGAGGATCTCAGTTTGAGGCCAGCCCGAGCTCCTACCTGAAAAATAGCAAAAAAAGGCTGGGGGGCATGACTTAAATGGTAAAGTACCTGCCTAGTAAGCCAAATGCCTTGAGTTCAAACTCTGATATTGCCAAAAAAAAAAAAAAAAGTAAGAAACACTGGAGTATTTAGGAATGATGGAATAGTAGATCAGGAATTTATTTTCAGCTGATCCACTTGAGAAAGTTCTTTGTACTTGCAATTTTTTTTGTAAGTTTAAGATTGATTAAAAAATAAAGAAATATGTTTTTAAATACTTGAGTAACATTTGAGTGCCCCTGTGTAACACATATATTTTAACAGGAAAGTTTCCTTTCTTTTACAGCGGAAAGGAAACCTCCTTTATTTAATATGAATGCAATGAGTGCCTTATATCACATAGCCCAAAATGAATCCCCTACACTACAGTCTAATGAATGGTGAGTATTGCTAAGATTTATTGCTGGACATTGTATAAGTGAAATAGGGTTTCATAATCTGTTATCAAAATGACTTAATTTTATATAGGTAAAAAGTATTATCTGATGAAATACTAAAATAGATTTATTTTACCTTTTCTTATATTTATCCTTTGTCATGTCTGCATTACATAGCAGTTCAGGGGGAAAAAAAAGATGTTATGTGGATGCAAAAGTGCTGATACTTAAACAGAAATTTATATTTTACTTTTCCTTTAAACTTAAGGAAAACATACAACTCTAATCATATAATAAATAGCATTTTTAAACTTTAATGTGTTTTAACTAAAATTTATATCAACCCATAATAGTATTTTGAGGAATTATTTAACATAAATAACATGATTTGAGATTTTCAAAATTGCCAGATAATTAAAAACTTCAGGACCATTCTAGTTATAATTATGATATTATTCAGATTGCACTGAACTTCCTTACAACTCATCCTTGATTTGATAAAATTCATCTCATTCCTTAAAGAAGTTTTTGGATAAAAGATTGGCAGTTTTAGAAAGCTAAGATTTTATGAATGATAAAAAAATTAATTCTTCAGGTACACTTAGCATTTGAAAAGTTCTAGGGAAATATCCAGCATATTTGACATATAAAAGTTGACAAGTAGATATATGATAAGGGTACTTTAAAAAGATTATGTAATTAAAGCACATTCACACGTTTTTGCTACTTACATGGAAAAGAGTTATCTGGCAGAGTTTAGTGTTACGCTATATATTAGTCCATTTTGTGCAACTATAATATCTGAGACTGGGTAATTTATAAAGAACAGAAGTTTTTGGGTTGGGGCTGTGGCTCAAGTGGTAGAACACCTGCCTAGCAAGAGTGAGCCCCTTAGTTCAAACCCCAGTACCACAAAACAAAATTTAAAAAAACACCCAGAAGTTCATTTCTTACAGTTTGGGAGATGGGAAGTCCAAGACCAAGGCCTTTAACAAGTTAGGACTCAATGTGTGCTTCAAGAATGGCTCCTTGAACCCTGTACCTTCTGAGGGAAGGAATGTTGTGTCTTCATATGGCAAGAAAGAGTGAACTTACTTCTGTGGTCCTTTTATATGGTGACATTAATTCATTCATGAGGGCAGAGTCCTCATGACGTAAACACCTCCCACAGGCCCCACCTTCCAAAAGTGTTGCAAAGAGGGTTAAGTTTGAACTTGAATTTTGGAGAGGAAAAAACATTCAAACCATAACATGGTATGTACAAGTAATAAACATTGAACACAGACTGTCTTTACACTGTGTTTGAGACTTTCTTGCCTACAAGAAACTTCAAATTTTATTTGAATATTAGAGACACATTGATGGAGTAATTGTTTACTGCCTTAGCCACTGAACACTCATAAATATTACCATGTAATAACATTACAGACTTTTATTGTTTTTAAAAAAAAGTCTTAATTGGTTGTCTAGGTTTAATGGAAGCCTTATCCATTTGTTCAGTGGTAACAAATAGGTATTTAAAAAATACTCTCTTCAGTGTACTTGAATGGAAAAAAAATAGACTTCCCTCTTTTTTTACCTCAGTATAGAATGAGTTATGATATTTTAAATATGTGGGAGCACAATTTTTAAAAAGAATTTATTTGGTGCTAGGGCTTGAACTCAGGGCCTGGTGTGTGCTAAACACAAACTTTATCATAGAATTGCATACCCAGCCCCAAGAATTTTTAAATGATCTGTGAAAATTTAGCTTTGGAAAATGGTTAAGAGGCATTGATTGCTTTAGATAATGTTTATATAGACTTGTATGAGAGTGTGTAGTTTTTATTTTTTTATTACTCTTACTCCCTTTCCATTTCCCTTCACAATTTATGGATGTGTTTTTTAAAGGAAATAGCAATATGTTCACTTGATACTTTCCTTTACAATAGGTCTGATTATTTTCGCAACTTTGTAGATTCTTGCCTGCAGAAAATCCCTCAAGATCGGCCTACATCAGAGGAACTTTTAAAGGTCAGTCTATAATATCCTAAATCTGTTTTTTACCCTGAGAAATAATTTGAGAGAAAGTGTCTTATTATTCTTTGATACTAAATTAGAATGAACTATACTGTACTAGTTTTTACTAAACCATTAAAAAAATTTTTTTTTCTATTTTGGTACTCAAACTCATGTTATATAAGTGCTCTACCACAGAGCTGTACCTCTTCAAGTCACTAAAATGCTAATTTTTTATACTATTGTCTGCATACATTTTTTTGTGGTGCTGAGGATTTAACCCAGTGCCATTCATGGCCCTGGAAACACTTTTCTAATATACTAAAGTGGAAGGTGTTTTTTCCCCCATTTGTTTGTTTGGTCAGTATTGAAAATTGAAACCAGGACCTTGCAATTGCTAATCAGGTAGTCTACCATTTGAGCTATATCCCCAGCCTTTTTTGTTTTAAGTGTTTTTCAAATGGGATATCATGTTTATACCCCAGCTGGCCTGAACCATGATTCTCCTACCTATGCTTCCTATGTACCTGGGATTACAGATGCATACCACCACTCCCAACTTTTATTGACTGAGATGGGGTCTTGCTAACATTTTGCCAGTGTTGATCTTAAACTGCTGTTCTTCCAGTCTCTATTTCCTGAGTAGCTAGGATTACAGGCATAAAAGCCTATGCACCCAGCTTTTTTTTTTTTTTTTAATAAAATTGATTATCTGCTTTTATCATGTCTAAATTTACTATAAGGTTAAATACTCAAAATAGCAACAAATGGATAAATATTTTTCTGAAAGAATATATTCACCAGTTAGATTACTAATGTTGTATGTTTGTTGTGCTGAAAATCGAGCCCGGGGTCTTATGCATGCTGAGCAAGTGCTTTACCTTTTGCTTCAGCTGGGCATGGTAGTGCACACCCATTGTCCCACCTACTTGGAAGGTCTCAAAAGTGTCTATCAAGAACTTCTTTTCAGGGCCTCGGGATGTAGTTCATTGGTAGAGCACTTGCCTAGCAAACACAGGCCATGGGTTCAATCCTCAGCACCATAAAAAATAAATTAATTAATTAAAAAGAGCAACTTTTCTTTTGTCCTAATTACATTTCTGTCAGTCATCATAAAGGAAAAAAGAAACAGCAAAAAATTTTATGTATGAGGCTTTTCATCTCAGAAATGATAATTGAAAATACTTATTCAAAATTAGGGTAATGATTTAGTAATTTTGATACAAATATTTTGATGAATTCTGCAGGCAGTTATGTTTATTAATTTAAAATGACATAATACTAGCCAGGTGCAGTGGTTTATACCTGTAGTCCCAACTACTAGGGAGGCTGAAGCAGCCTCACTTTAGCTCAGGAGTTTGAGGCCAGATTGGGCAGTATAGCGAGACCTCATCTTAAAAAGAAAAAAGGAACAGTAAAAGTACACTAAGATAATTTATGACAGTCAAAGTAGAATAAAATATTGTATTTATAAGTATAACTTTTTGCATAGAGAAGTAAAAGTGTGTATTTTGAGAATTGAGGGAAGCTGGGCACTGGTGGCTCACACTTTACAATCCTAGCTGCTTGGGGAGACTGAGATTGGAAGGATTCAGGTTCCTGGCCAGCCCACGCAAATAGTTTGTGAGACTCTATCTCCATAATAACCAGAGAAAAACAGACTGGAGATGTGGCTCAAGTGGTAGAACACCTGCTTTGCAAGTGTGAAGCCCTGAGTTCAAGCACCAGTCCCACCAACAAAAAAAAAAAAAAGCAAGATTATTTCATGGAACTCAACTCAAGGGAGGCTGGTATCTTTTTTTATCTGTATGCTAATTATGTATCAACAAAACAAATTTTATACATAGAAAATTTCTGAAGAAGAAAAATGTTAAAGTTTAGGGGCTGGGGATATAGCTTAATGTAGAGGACTTGCTTCGCATGCACAAGTCCTAGCTTCAGTCCCCAGCCAAACAACAACAACAACAACAAAAAAGTTTCAACTTGACTTTTATTTCCTACCCTCTCTAGCACATGTTTGTTCTTCGGGAACGTCCGGAAACAGTGTTAATAGATCTTATTCAAAGGACAAAAGATGCAGTAAGAGAGCTAGACAATCTACAGTATCGAAAAATGAAGAAACTCCTTTTCCAGGAGGCACATAATGGACCAGCAGTAGAAGCACAGGAAGAAGAAGAGGTAATATCTAAATTCATTCAGATCTTGAGTTCTCTCTGTTGGTTTCTTCTCTTATGTAACTTGCCCTGCCAATGTTTTCTTACTGTGGTTCTTTAAGACCTCAGTTAGGAAAAAGGTCTTGATCATGTTAGATCTTGAGCATGTTAGGTCACATGTTAGATCTTGAGCATGTTAGATCACATGCTCTAAACCCAACCTCTTTTTATTTGTTTCTTTGTTTGTTTATTTTATTATTCATATGTGCACACAATGCTTGGGTCATTTATCCCCCCGGCCCCCTTACCACCCGTCCTGCCCCCTCCCTCTCCCCACCACCCCCTCGATACTCAGCAGAAACTATTTTGCCCTTATCTCTAACTTTGTTGAAGAGAGAGTATAAGCAATAATAGGAAGGAACAAGGGTTTTTGCTAGTTGAGATAAGGATAGCTATACAGGAAGTTGACTCACATTAATTTCCTGTGCATGTGTGTTACCTTCTAGGTTAATTCTTCTTGATCTACCCTTTTCTCTAGTTCCTGGTCCCCTTCTCCTGTTGGTCTTAGTTGCTTTTAAGGTATCTGCTTTAGTTTCTCTGTGTTGAGGGCAACAAATGCTAACTAATTTTTTAGGTGTCTTACCTATCCTCATATCTCCCTTGTATACTCTTGCTTTTATCATATGATCAAAGTCCAATCCCCTTGTTTTGTTTGCCCTTGATCTAATGTCCACATATGAGCGAGAACATACGATTTTTGGTCTTTTGTGCCAGGCTAACCTCACTCAGAATGATGTTCTCCAATTCCATCCATTTACCAGCGAATGATAACATTTCATTCTTCTTCATGACTGCATAAAATTCCATTGTGTATAGATACCACATTTTCTTGATCCATTCGTCAGTAATGGGGTATCTTGGCTGTTTCCATAACTTGGCTATTGTGAATAGTGCCGCAATAAACATGGGTGTGCAGGTGCCTCTGGAGTAACCTGTGTCACAGTCTTTTCGGTATATCCCCAAGAGTGGTATTGCTGGATCAAATGGTAGATCAATGTTTAGCTTTTTAAGTAGCCTTCAGATATTTTTCCAGAGTGGTTGTACTAGTTTACATTCCTACCAGCAGTGTAAGAGGGTTCCTTTTTCTCCGCATCCTCGCCAACACCTTTTGTTGGTGGTGTTGCTAATGATGGCTATTCTAACAGGGGTGAGGTGGAATCTTAGTGTGGTTTTAATTTGCATTTCCTTTATTGCTAGAGATGGTGAGCATTTTTTCATGTGTTTTTTGTCCATTTGAATTTCTTCTTTTGAGAAAGTTCTGTTTAGTTCACTTGCCCATTTCTTTATTGGTTCATTAGTTTTGGGAGAATTTAGTTTTTTAAGTTCCCTATATATTCTGGTTATCAGTCCTTTGTCTGATGTGTAGCTGGCAAATATTTTCTCCCACTCTGTGGGTGTTCCCTTCAGTTTAGATACCATTTATTTTGATGAACAGAAGCTTTTTAGTTTTATGAGGTCCCATTTATCTATGCTATCTCTTAGTTGCTGTGCTGCTGGGGTTTCGTTGAGAAAGTTCTTACCTATACCTACTAACTCCAGAGTATTTCCTACTCTTTCCTGTATCAACTTTAGAGTTTGTGGTCTGATATTAAGATCCTTGATCCGTTTTGAATTAATATTGGTATAGGGTGATATACATGGATCTAGTTTCAGTTTTTTGCAGACTGCTAACCAGTTTTCCCAGCAGTTTTTGTTGAAGAGGCTGCTTTTTCTCCATCATATATTTTTAGCACCTTTGTCGAAGACAAGTTGGTTATAGTTGTGTGGCTTCATATCTGGGTCCTCTACTCTGTTCCACTGGTCTTCATGTCTGTTTTTGTGCCAGTACCATGCTTAAACCCAACCTCTTTATAGTGCACATTTGTATAGTAAAGTCTATGAGAAGTCTTATTAAAGAAACCTGGTTTTGTTAGTTATGGTTCTCTGGAGGAACAGAATCAATAAAATATACATATAATTATAAAAGGGGATTCTTAAGATTGGCTTATATGATCAGAGTCTGGATAGTTCATGCTGTAGAGTCAGAGAAAGCAATAGCTGCTAGAAGCCTTGGACCAAGAGGAACCAATGATGCAGCCCCAGCCCAAGGCTGAAAGTCTAGAAGCTCCCTAAAGTTACTAGTATGAATGAATCCATGTTGAAAGAAGCTGAAGTATGATGTCCAAGGGCAATGAAGCAGTAGATGAACCCATTCAAGAGAAATCATGCTTGTACATGCTGATGGGCTTTCTCCTACTTTTTTGTGGGCCCACCTACTTGGGTTGCCTCCAGTTGGGGGCTTTTTGGTGAGAGAACACTTTGTATTCTAAAACCATAGCAATATTTATTTTTCTCTTTAATTAAACACCAAATAATTATAAAATATAACTTTTTTTAAACTTACAGCTTTTTCTTGGGAGCTTTTAATTTAATTTTTAGTTACGATAATCAGAAAATGTTTTATAATATTTTAAATATATGAAATACTTTTAATAAGGCTGTGAAATTATTAAGATTCTGTGTGGTTAAATCTTTAGCAGCATCTGCTATGTGGAGATCTAAGAAAAGTACACACACACATACGCACACAGACACACTATATCTCTGTATTTATTAGATTCTAGCATCTTACAGAAGTCTGGTAGGAAAAGAATGCTATAATGCTGGTGCATTTATCCCATGGTTGCCTGATTACTTCAGAATAACATTCTTGTGATTATTACTAAATAAAAATAATATATAGAGAGTATAGGTAGGTGTTGATATTATTTAGTAATAGGTAAATATTATTTTCAGGAAGAAAGAATTGACTTATAAAAGGCTTCAATGAAGGTAACTAAAAGGGGTATTTGCAGCATTTTTTAAAAGGAAAGGTTTATATTAACCACATGAATTGTTAAAAAATGAGCAAATCTCTATCCCCATGAAATTTGTTGTAGAAATGTTTTTCAAAAATTATCAAACAATTGAGAGAAAATACTATATTTGGGAAATGACTCAGATAAGCTGAGGATGTAGCTCAGTTTTAGAGCACTTGTGTAGCATGCACTAGGTCCTGGATTTAATCCCCAGCACCACAAAAAAGAAAAGAGAAAATCATCCCAAACTGATTAACTGACAGTTGGGTTTTTGATGATGATGATGATGATGATGATTTGCTTTTTCAACATGTTTCTATCAACAGTTGATAAACTTCCTCATCCTGTCAAATAAAGGGAATTTTTCCCAATAGACCTCTTTCTTTCTAACAAATATGTACCAAGTGGTATATGTACAAGATGTTTTAATTAAGAATTCAGAGGAGATCTAGATGTTTTAATCTAATGCTCTTTTCCCTTAGGAACAAGATCATGGTGTTGGCCGGACTGGAACAGTGAATAGTGTTGGAAGCAATCAGTCTATTCCCAGTATGTCCATTAGTGCCAGCAGCCAAAGTAGTAGTGTTAACAGTCTTCCAGATGCCTCTGATGATAAGAGTGAGCTAGACATGATGGAAGGAGACCATACAGTGATGTCTAACAGTTCTGTCATTCATTTAAAACCTGTGAGTATTTGGTTTTCCATGAAAAAATTTCAACTTGGGTATATAATTTTTCTCATCTGATTAGTTTAAGCAAAGGAGCGTTTCCGTCAAGTTTGAGAAGTTTGGAATATTTGTTTAAGTGGCTGTAGCTTTGTTAATTCCTGGTCTTTATTTGCATTTGGAAAAACTAATCTTTTATAAATACAAAAAGAATGTGGAACCATTTTAAAATCTTAGAAAAAATATAGAAATACTATGTAATCTGTTATTAGTGAGTTACATAAAAAATAAAATATTAAAATATAGAAAGGATACACATGAATTTCATGATAATGATTGCCATGGCGGGGGGAGAGAGAGAAAGAGAGAGAGAGACATAGATAAGTGATGATCAAAAGTAACTTTTGCATTATCCATTTTTATATCCTTAAAATAAAACTCAATGTAATTGCAGAAAATTATTAATTTAGGATTTAGGAAATGTGGATATTTGTTATATTCACAATTTTGAGTGTAATTTTTTTTTTTTTTTGTACTGGGGATTGAACTCTGCTCTACCACTTGAGCCACAGCCCCAGTCCTTGAGTGCAGATTTTTTAGTTGTCTCAAAAATGTTGAAAAGTCAATGACTGGGTTGTAGCTTAGTGGTAGAGCCTGCCTAGCATGTACTCAGCTTTGGGTTCAAAACCCAACACTTGGACTGGTGGAGGGGCTGAAGTGGTAGAGTGCCTGCCTAGCAAGCATGAGGATCTGAGTTCAAACCCCAGTACCAACAACAACAGCAACAAAACAACACTTTAAAAAAAAAATAAGGAAGAAAAGTTGAGCAACTACCCTTAGCAATTAATAGAAATGCTTCCTTTTAACTTCACAGTTTACAGTACTAGCTATTAGGCACAATGGCCAGAAGGTGGAAACAACTGAAACGTCCATTGACAGATGAGTGGATAAACAAATTATAGTATATACACATAGTATATACTTCTTTTTATATTCTATAAAAAGGAATGAAATTCTGATACATGCTATAAAGTGGATGAGTGTCAAAAAAACATACTAAATGTTGGGCCTAGTGGTACATGCCTGTAATCTCACCAAACTGGACTGCATAGTGAGACCATGTCTCCAAAACAAAACAAAGAAACTTAAGTGACATAACCCAGATACAATGAAATATGTAGAATAGTAAATACATGAGGATGGAAAATAATTTAGAGGTTATCATGGGCCGAGTAGAAGGCAAAATGGGATTGATGGCTAATGGATACAGAGTTTCTGTTTGAGGTGATAAAAAGGTTTTAGAAATTGTAGTGATGGGTATATAACACTGAAATGCCAAATAAAATGGCTAAAGGGGTAACATTTTTATTACTCATATTTTAATGCATACACAAAAACTGTTGGGAAAGGTGGCTAAGCAGTAGTGTTATTATTCATTTCTATCACATTTAATTTTTATATTCACAGGCAGTGGAATTATAAAAAGATTGTTTCTATAATTCATTATTTTACTGACTTGCTCTTCAGTTAATGAACTGAGATGTCCAAGGACAAACATTAGTCCTTTAATATTTGCAATTATTTATTTATTTTTATTTTTTTGGCAGTAGTGACATTTGAACTCAGGGCTTCATGCTTGCTAGGCAAGTTCTTTTACTATTTGAGCCACTGTGCCAGCCCTGCAACTATTTTTTTTATTGATTACTTTTAACACATGGCAAGAATATTATAAAGTTGGGCATGGTGTCTTATGCCTATAGTCTCAACACTTGTATGTCAAAGCCAGCCTGGACTAAATAAGTTAGACCCTGTCTCAAAATATAGAGAGAGGCAGAGAGAGAGAGGATAAGCTTTAAGCTGTATTGCTTTACCCAAGAGCCTTTGAGTAATTAATATTTTAATACTGTTATCTGAACTATTTACTATGTTTCATTTTCTTCATTTTTAAGTTACATTAAAAGCTTTTCAGTTTTGCCTATAATGTGTAGGATATAAATCCAGCCGTGTACATTTCCTTATTCTGAATCTGTGTACTGTTTTATACACTGTGGAAATAATTTCTCCTAACCATTTCCATTTTTTGTTTGTTTTTGCTTTTTTAAATTATATGTCGTTGAGATTTATTGATCAAATGGGTAACTTTAATTTCCTTAAAAGGTAAATCTGTTCACCTTATATGATGGGGTCTGTTTCTTTGCTTAGGAGGAGGAAAATTACAGAGAGGAAGGAGATCCTAGAACAAGAGCATCAGATCCACAGTCTCCACCCCAAGTATCTCGTCACAAATCGCACTATCGTAATCGAGAACACTTTGCAACTATACGGACGGCATCACTGGTATGTATTCCTGTGGCCTAGAGAGAAATACATTTTTTGTGTTAGTCCTTGGCAGTATAAATTCAAATATAACCATATTTTACATTTTGTATTTGGGACTTATTTTCCAAAACATTCAGTCATCATTTAAGTGCCTATTATGAGAAAGATAATGCAAAGCACTCAGAGATGTTAGACTAATAAAGTCTGCAAGACATGTTTATAGGTATTTTGGAATATACTAAATACTTAACAGAAATACAAGGTATTAAGTACGTATTCAAATAACTTTTGGTTAGGGGCATAAAAGAAGTATTTATGAAACATAGTTTGAACATTTAAAGTTACTAGGTTTTAGGCACAAGAGGAAGGGAAAAAGGATATTTCCATATAAAAAGAATTGACAGTAAGGAAATATTTTGTGTGAGCATAGCCAGAAAGAGGGGAATATTTGGTGTGCTCTAAATGGCATTCCCCTTCCTAAACAACAATAAATGTGGATTCTTTTTCCATTATAAATATTGTGGTAGGACATTTAAAACCCATTCAGTCAGACATGTAGGATCACAGCATGATAGAGGATAGCGCTACATGGAAATTATATTAAGATACCATATGAAAAGTAGAGTATCAGAAGGAATAATGAGGGTGCGGGAGGAGGGAAGGTATGAGAGTAACTGAGTTGTTAACTACATAATAAGCAGATTTTATAAATCCCATGCTATAGTCCATGAAGCTGTATTACATGTAGAGTTGGGAATGTGGTGCCCAACCATAAATCAGATTATTCTGCAACATGTAATAAAGCTTTAAACAGAGCAAGAAGCAGTGATTGCTTAATTTTTTTCATGACTGTATTGTTACATAGAGAAAGCTATGCTCAGGTGAAAACCTCTTTGTAGCATAGCATGTACTTTAAATGTCAAACAGGTCTTCTATCCCAAAATTTGGCTTCCTCAAATTAATTAAGGAAACTTTTTATGGATTTAATAAATCAAACACTTTGAAAAGGGCTTGCAGATGAGCTCAGTGATACAGCATTTGCCTAGCATGTGCAGGGTCCTAGGTTTGATCCTCAGTACCACCAAAAAAAAAGCCTGGAAAAGATTTATGTTCTTAAACCTAGTATTTAATTCCATTTATTTTCAAGTAGAATATTCAGAGAGTTAAGTAGATTTTTGTACAAATAAGCATTCTTTATAAATACTTTATATCATAATTCTATCTACCTTCTGCCTTGGATTTTCTTCATATAATAAACTGAACAGATCTTACATACTCAATTTGAAAAGTTTTTTTATAATATACACACCTACGTTAAACATTACCTCAAAGATGTCAAATTTCTTTCATTTCAGGAAGTTCTCTTTATATTTTGTAGTCATTTCCTTAATCCTACGACCATCACTTTCTGTGTCTTCACCATTGTTATTTCTAAATGTTTTTGGATTTCAGTAGCATCACACAGAATATACTCTTTTGCACCTGGCTTATTCTGCTTAGATTAATGTTTTGGCATTTATTATTGTTGTGTTCGGCAAAGTTCATTCTCTTTTATGGCTGTGAGTTGTTTTCCATTGTGTGAATACACCACAACTTTTTTTATCCATTCTGTTGATGAACATTTTGCTTTGTTTCCCATTTGAAGCTGTTTCACATAAGGTTGCTATAAACATTCGTGACCAATTCATCATGTGAACGTGATTTTTTAATATCTTTTGGGTAAATACTTAAGGGTAGAATTATTGGGTTGTACAATGTATGTATATTTAACTTTACAAGAAACTGTCAGTTTTCAAGAGTGGTTTGCATCATTTCACATGCCCATTAGCAATTTATAAGAGTTCTAACTGGAGGTGGACGTGGTAGTGCATGCCTATAATTCCAATGCTTGAGAGGTGCAGACAGGAAGATCATTAGTTTGAGGCTACCCTGAGCTACATATTATGTTTCAAGTTTCAAGCCTATGCTATATAACTTAGACCCTGTCTCAAAAACAGGGGGTGGGGTGGGGTGGTACAAAAGCTTGAATAGATAGTTCTCTAAAAAATATTACATAAATGGCTAACAAGTGTATGAAAAGATAACACAAATCATTAGGGAAATACAAATCAAAACTTCAGTGAAGCCAGGTGCCAGTGCCTAACGCCTGTAATCCTAACTACTTGGGAGGTTGAGATAGGAGGTTTATGGTTTGAGGCCATCCTGGGCAAAAAGTTAGCAAAACCCAATCTCAACCAATAGCTGGGTGCAGTGACATGCTCCTGTCATTCCAAGCTACATGGGAGGCTGAGATTGGAAGGATTGTGGTTCCAAGCCAACCTTGAGCAAAAAAAAAAGAAAATTTGCGAGATCCCAACTTGATAGGACAAAAAAAAAAAAATGCTGGGCTTGGTGGTGTGCACCTGTCCTCCCAGCAATGGCAGTCCAGGCTGTCCTGCTCCCTATCTCTAAAAACAGCCAGAGTAAAAACGTCTTAGAGCGCCTACCTAAGCAAGTGTGAAGCCCTGAGTTCAAACCCCAATACTACCCAAAAATCCCCCAAAAATCCCAAATCAGAGAGATACTACCTCACACTTATTTCTTGCTATAAATACATACATACATACATACATACATATGTTGACAAGAATGTGGAGAAACTAGAACCCATGTGAAAGGTTGGTGGAAATGAAAAATTATTGAGCTGCTGCAGAAAACAGAACAGCAGCTCCTCAGAAAATTGAAAATAGACTTGGCTTCAAGGTAGAGCGAGCACCTGCTTTGTAGGCGCAAGCCCTGAATTCAAAAGCCAGTCTCCCCCACCACACACACACAAAATTGTTAAGAAAATAGAATTATCACATGATACAGCATATCTGTTTCTTGGTGTATAGCCCCCCAAATTGAAAGCAGAGTCATCCATGTTAGAGGCAGCATTATTCACCTAAAACACAGAAGCAACAAAAGTGTCCAGTTATGTATGAATAGATTTAATGTAAGCAAATGTGATTTGTATAATGGGTTGTTAATCAGCCTTTAAAAGGGATGAAATTCTGACATGTGCTTCCACATGGATGAACTTTGAGGCAATTATGCCAAATGAAATAAGCCAGCCACAAAAAGAATACTGTTTGATTCCACTTATGATTTCCTTCCTTCCTTCCTTCCTTCCTTCCTTCCTTCCTTCCTTCCTTCCTTCCTTCCTTCCTTCCTTCCTTCCTTCCTTCCTTCCTCCCTCTCTCCCTCCCTTCTTCTTCCTTCCCTCCCTCCCTCCTTCCTTCTTTCCTTCCTTCCTTCCTCCCTTCCTCCCTCCCTCTCTCTCTTCCTTCCTCTTTCTCTAGGGCCTTGCACATGTTTCACGAGTGCTCTATCACTGAGCTACATTCTCAGCCTTTGGATTTTTGAGACAGGGTCTTGCTATTTAGTTGAGGATGGCCTGGAACTTGCTCTGTAGCCCAGGCCAGCCTCAAACTCGTGATCCTCCTCCAGCCTTCCAAGTGCTGGAATTACAGGTGGGTGTCACTACATCTGACTTTTTTCTTTCTGACCTTCATTATGTACTAAAAGTAATCAAAGTCATAGAGATGCTGAGTTAGAATGATGGTTGCCAAGAGCTGAGGGGAGTGGGGACTGGAGAGGTTTTTGTATTTTAGTTTTGTATTTTGAGTCTTAGGGTTTTTTTTTTTTTTTTTCCCCAGTACTAGAGCTTGAACTCAGGGCCTACACTTTGAGCCATTCCACCAGCCCTTTTTTGTGATGGGCGTTTTTGAGATAGGGTCTTGCAAACTATTTGCCCATGCTGGCATTGAACCATGATCCTTCTGATCTCTGCCTCCTCAGTACTAGGATTACAGGCATGACCCACCAGGGCCCGGCTACTTGGTTTTTGCTTTTTTATTTTGTTGTTTTTTGTTTTTTTGCGGGGGGCAGTACTGAGGTTTGAACTTTGGGTCTTGCACTTGTAAGGCAAGTGCTCTACCACTTGAGCCATGGCCCCAGCCCATCCAGCTTTGCAGGATGAAAGAATTCTGGATGTGGATGATGGTGATGGTTGCACAATGTGAATGTACCTTTAAACTGTACACTTGAAAATAATCAAGATTGTAATTTTGTGTTGTAGTTATTTAATCACAATAAAAAATTGAGAGCAACAAAATAATTGGTGAAATAGATGTGAGTGGTAGAAGTATAGATTCATAGCCTCAGGTATTTGCCTATGGTTTGAGCTGCTAGGGAGGCTGGAAAGGGAGAATCACTTGAGTCCACGAGTTTGAAACTTCTGACTTGAGAAGAAGAATGTTGGGAAAAACACTCCAGTTTGAATGACTGAGTTAAAAATTGGGCAGAGGCTGGAGATATGCTCAGAGAGGTAGAGTACATGCCTAGCAAGTGTGAGGCCCTGAGTTCAAACCCCAGTGTCAATAAAAAGTGGGCAAGGGACTTGAATAGACATTTTTCTGAAAGAATAAATGAAAAGATACTCAGCATCATTAGTCAAAATCACAGTAATAGGTTTGGGGTCATAGCTCAGTGGCACTTGGCTAACGTGCAGTGTGGTATGGGCTAGATTCCCAGCACCACCAAACAAAACACAATAAGGCACCACTTCATACCTACTGGAATGGCTATAATTTAAGAGAGAGAGAGAGAGAAGGAAGAAGAAGGAAGAAGGAGTAGGGAGGGAGGGAAGAAAGAAAAGAAAGGGAACATATCCAGGAAATGTGGCTTTAGGTGGATTACTTGACCCCAGGAGTTCTAGGCCAGCCTGGGCTAGACCCCATCTCTTTTTGAAAAACAAAAAACAAAGGTAAATGTTGGAGAGCATATGGAGAAATTGTAATTAGAATACATTGTTGATAGAACGTAAAATGGCTTAGCCATTGTGAAAAACAGTTAATGTTTCCTCAAAAAGTTAAGCATAGAGTTACCATAAAGCCCATCCATCCCTAGGTAAGTGTTGGCAAGGATGCAGAAGAAAGGAAACTCTTGTACCTTGTTGGTGGGAATGTAAATTAGTATAGCCATTATGGAAATCAGTATGGGAGTTCTTTAAAAAACTTAACAGTAGATTCAGTAATCTCATATCTTAGTAAATAGCCAAAGGAACTGAAATCAGTATGGTAGAGGAATATATGCACTCCTATTTTTTTAATAGCATTATTCACAATAGTGAAAAAATGGAATTAACCTTGGTGTCCATCAGAAGATGTGTAGACAAAGAAAATATGAAAGAGGGTAGGGAGGAATCCTATCTTTGAGACAGCATGGATGAGTCTGGAGGATGTTGTATTAAGTGAAATAAGCTCAACACAGAGTGACAAAATGACAAATACCACATGATGTTACTTATATATAGAATCTAAAAGAGTTGAACTCAGAAATAGAAAGTAGAAGAATAGCTGCCACAGGCTAGGGTGGGGGTAAGGTATGAGAAGAGAGTAGATAGGGAGTTGTTGATGAAAACGTACATAGTTTCAGAAAGACAAGAGAAACACATTTTGAGATCATTACACAGTAGGGTGACAATAATAATATATTGTATATTTCAAAGTAAGAGTAAATTTCAGTAGTCTCATAAAAAAATGATTAGTAGGTGAGGTGATGGATATGTTAATTAGCTTGAATCAGTCATTACACATTGTATACATATACCAACACATCACATTGTGCTCTGTAAATATATACAATTTTATGTTATCAGTCAAAAATACTACAGGTTAGAGCATAAGTGATAGGACTCATGCTTAACGTGTGGTGGCACAGGCCTATAATTCCAGCACTTGGGAGGTAGGGGCAGAAGGCTGGAGTCCAGCCTGCACTACATAGTAATGATCCTATCTTAAAAAAATTAAAAGCTAATAATTTTTAAAAAGAACTTAAAACACATAAAGAAGTTTATGTACATAAATGTTCATAGGAACACTATTCATAATAGCCAAAGGGTGGAAATGTCACAAATGCCCATTAATGGATGAATGGATAAACAAATTATATATATATATGAAATAGCCAGAGGTATATAGGTAGATCCATAGAAGACAGTGATTACTATAAGGTGGAAGAATGGGTAGCAACCTTGTGTAGGGTTTTCTTCTGAGGCAATAAATGCGTTTCATCAATAGGTAAAAGTCATGGTTGCAGATCAGGGTGAATGTACTAAATGCCTCTGAACTGTTCACTTAAAAATTATTAATTAGAAAATTGGCCTGATGCTGTGGCTCTCATCTCATGCCTGTAATCCTAAGTACTTGGGAGGCAGAGATTGAGAGGATCGTGGATTGAGGACAGCCGTGCAAAAAAAAAAGTTTGGGCTGGGATGTAGCTCGGTGGTACAGCGCTTGCCTAGCATGCGTGAGGCCCTGGGTTCGATCCCAGCACCAAAAAAGAAAAGACAAAAAAAAAACCTCTCCCCCCCAAAAAAAAGTTTGTGAGATCCCATCTCAGTCAATAGCTAGGCATGTCAGTATGCGCCTGTCATCCCAGCTACATGGAAAGTGTAAATAGGCTGACCCAGGCATAAATACAAGACCCCAATTAAAAATGCTTAAAACAAAAAAGGCTCAAGGCATGGCTCAAGTGGCTGAGTGTCTGCCTAGGAAGCACAGAACTGCTCTCCTCCAAAAAAATAATCAATTAGAAAATTCATTAAACATGTGTGAGTTTGTTTCTAGGTGCCCCTATCCCACCTCCCCAGCAGTACTGAGAGTTGGACTTAGGGCCTTGCACTTACTAAACAGTAACTCTACCACTTGAGCCACACTGCCAGCCCTTTTTGCGTTAGTTATATTTTGCTTTTATACCTGTGTCTGCCTGGATCGTGATCCCACGAGTTAAGATTTCTGAGTAGCTGGGATGACAGGCATGCTGCCATGCCCAGCTTCTTTTTAATGGTTGAGATGGGGCATTTCTAACTTTCTGCCTGGTTTAGCCTTGAGCCACCATGCCCATCTTTGTTTCTGGTTTTTGTTTGTTTGGTTTTTTTTTTTTTTTTTTGAGTCAGGGGCTTATATGTTTTCCAGGCTGGTTTAGAAGTTCTGGATTCAAGTGATCCTCCTGGCCTCAGTCTCCAAGTTGCTGGGACTACAGGCATGGGTCACTGTGCATGGCTGTTTTTATTCTGCTCCCTTCATCTCCTTAGCCTGTCCTTATGGCAATATCACACTGTCCTGATTACTGTAGTGATTATTGTGCTTTATTTTCCTCAGGATTATTTTGGCTATTCTAGGTCCTTTATATTCCCATATAAATTTTATAGTCACCTTGTCTGTATCTTTGAAATGTCTGCTGGAAATTTAATTGGAAACTACTAATATTGATCGCTCTTATGTTAATTACCTAGTTAATAGTAGAGTGGTCTAAATGCTTTTTGAAAGAAAAAATGTTTTGCTTTATTTTCTTTTTTTCTCTTATTTTTTTGTATGTCTAGGTTACAAGGCAAATGCAAGAACATGAGCAGGATTCTGAACTTAGAGAACAGATGTCTGGCTATAAGCGAATGAGGCGGCAACACCAAAAGCAGTTGATGACTCTGGAAAATAAATTAAAGGCTGAGATGGATGAACACCGCCTTAGATTAGACAAAGATCTTGAAACTCAGCGTAACAATTTTGCTGCAGAAATGGAGAAACTTATCAAGAAACATCAGGCTGCTATGGAAAAAGAGGTGACTGATTCAGTATTACTGACTTGTTCATTTTACATTATGTCCATCTCAAAATTAACCAATACAGCATTTTGATATTAGGGTATCTGTTCCTAGGAACTAATTGATTGGAGAAAAATAGAAACATTTATATAACTTGTATAAGGCTTTTTATATAAATTGATGCTACATCAATCACAAAAAAATAGGTGGCTCCAAAGTATTTTTTCTCTCACTAATTTGGGAAATTAATGTGTGCATTTGACAGTTTTTCAGTTGGTGTTTTAATATTAGGCAATAGGTCTGGGAACTAATAGATGTGATTATTTCCTGACACTTTTATAATATCACAGTGAGTCATTCACTATTCTAGGCTTTTGTTACATGGTTATCTGAGGACTCGAATAATCTATCCATGGGTAATTTAGCACCTGTAATCCCAGCTATTCCAGAGGAGATCAGGAGGGTTGCCGTTTAAGGCCAGTCTGGGCAAAAAAGTTAGGGAGACCCCCATCTCAACAAACAAGACAGGTATGGTGGCTTACATCTGTAATTCAAACTAGGCAGGAGGTATAGGTAGGAGGATTTGGGTTTGAGACTATCCCAGGTATAAAACATGTGACCCTATCTAAAAAGTAACTAAAGCAAAAAGGACTGGAGGCATGGCTCAAGTGGTAGAGTGCTTGTCTAGTAAGTGGAAGGCCCTGAATTCAAACCCCAGTACTACTGGCACCAGGGAGGAGGGTGATTTTTATCTCATGTCATGATTCTCTTGTCTATGTGGTTTTTAGAAACTTTCCTTAAATTTGTGTAGCTTTTTTTTGTGTGTGTGGTGCTGGGGTTTGAACTCAGGGCCTTGTGCTTGCTTTCTTGCTTAGTTGTTAGGCAGGTGTTAAATCATTTGAGCCATCTGCCAGCCCTTTTTGCATTGGTTATTTTTTAAGATGGGATCTCACTTTATGCCCATGTAATCCTGGGCTATAATCCTCCTGATCCTGTGCCTCCCTTACATAACGTTCTTATATCAGAGAATAGAGGCTAGCATGCACAAAGCCTGGATTTTCTTTTGTTTTCAGGGCTACAATTTGAACTCAGGGCTTCATACTTGCAAAGCAGGCACTCTACCCTTGAGTCACACCTCCACTCCCATTTTGCTGTGATTATTTTGTTTCTTTTTTTGCTGTGATTATTTTGGAAATGGGGTCTCTTGAATTATTGGCCCTAGCCTCAAACCGTGATCCTCCTGATCTCAGCCTCCCAAGTAGCTAGGATTACAAATGTCAGCCACTAATGCTCGGCTTGTGTGATTGTTTAAAAATTGTGTATCTTAGACAAAATTAGAATTGGTACATGGCAAAGTGTCTACATTGGTTATTTCTGGATGCTAAAGGCATAAGATTTCCCTTCTATATTTCTAAATGTCCTATAGTGAATATATATTACAAAAACAAAATCATATGATACATTTACCTAGTATTTTAGATTTTTATATTAATAAATAAATTAAAGGTTGGTATAATTTGAAGATGAATGTATTCCATTACTTAATATATAAGTTAATCTAGTTTAAAATCTTGGTTTTATTATACCTGAAGATAAACATGTATTTACTTTGTTTTATTGGAGAGAGGGTATATACCTGTTAAATGAAAACACATGCTACTTAGGAGGGTCAGGAGGATTGAGGTTCAAAGCCAGCCCGGGCAAATAGCTTATGAGGCCCCTATCTCAAAAAAACCCATCACAAAAAAATGGCTGGTAGAGTGGCTCAAGGTGTAAGCCCTGAGTTCAAACCTCAGTGCCAGAAAAAAGAAAAGAGATGAAAACATTTTGGTTCAGAAAGTGATCGACATTTTAAAAATGAATTCCATCTTCCTAATTCTCTGAAGTTCAAATGAATAAGGATGCTGAGAATCACGTAGTAATTTGGTTTGGTGTTTTATTTTGGTAATGCTTCTATTGATTTTTTTTGTTGTTCTTAGAAAAAAGTATCCTTACTGATTTATATTTAACTGCTTTGAATCTATCTTCTTAACTAATTTGATTCATTTAAAAATTTTTATATAGGCTAAAGTGATGGCCAATGAGGAGAAAAAATTTCAGCAACATATTCAGGCTCAACAGAAGAAAGAACTGAATAGCTTTTTGGAATCTCAGAAAAGAGAATATAAACTTCGAAAAGAGCAGCTTAAGGAGGTATTTATTTTATAAAAATTCTGTGTCAGTTATCTGCTTAATTGTATTAAGTGGTTCTCAATTCATAAAACCATTAGGATAAAGTTTCCTTTTGTTTTTGTGCCCTCTAAATGTATGTATATTGTTTACATGAAGACATTGATTATAATCATATTATCCTTAACTGACTGAATTTCCTAGTTGAGTGTAACTTAAAAAATCATTTCCTTGCGCTGAATATGGTATTGCACAACTGTAATCTCAACACTGGGGAGGCTGAGGCAGGAGGATTGCAAGTTCGAGATTGGCCTGACCTATGTAATAAGATCTTGTCTCAAGGAAAAAAGAAGAATAAAAATTTCATTCTATGAAAATATAAATTATTTCGCTTTTTTGTGTTTGTTGGTACTTGGGTTTAAACTCAGAGCCTCCTGCTTGCTAGGCAGGTGTTCTATCACTTGAGCCACTCCACCAGCCCAATTATTTCACTTATAATAGCCTTCCTAAGTGCCTGTTAGTTGCCTCATTAGAAATAAAAATATTTTTCAGGTGCTGGTAGCCCACACCTATAATCCTAGTTACTCAGGAGCCAGAGATCAGGAGGATCATAGATCGAAGCCAGCCCAAGCAAGTAGTTTTCGAGGCCCTATCTGGAAAAAGCCCATCACAAAAAAAGGGCTGATGGAGTGGCTCAAGGTGTAGACCCTGAGTTCAAGCCCCAGCACTGCAAAAAAAATTGAACTTCACAATTTAAGATTTCTTACTTTAAAAGAGAGCCATCCAGTTACTGTGATGCGTGACGTATACTCAGCTATTCAGGAGGCTGGGACCAATGGATCGCTTAAACCCAGGAGTTCTAGAGCAGCACAGCGAGATCCTCTCTCAAAAATAAGTAAAGTGTACTTTCTTACTCTTGGCTTAGACGTTTATAATAATTTGTTCTTACAATTTTTCCATAGAATAATGTATCACATTTTTTTAAATAGAATTATGTGATTTCTGTATGGCTCCATGGTTTCATATTTATTTGTCCTTTATGTGCTACTTTGAACTTATTTTTAAAATAGATTTACTGTTAACTTTGAGGGAAGCCTGAATTTTTCTGCAATTTGTTTTTTGGTTTTTTGTTGTTGTTTTTGTGTTTTGGTGATAATGGGGTTTGAATTCAGGGCCTTACACCTAGTAAAGAGTCACACCCCCAGCTTTTGTTTTTGTTTGGAGCTGTCCTCAGACTGATCCTCCTACTGTGGCCTGTTACAAACGGGATCACAGGCTCCCACCACCATGCCCAGCTTAGTTGTTGAGATGGTTTCTCACTAACTTTTTGCTGAGGTTGGCCGTGAACCACAATCTTCCAGCTCTCCATTTCCTGAGTAACTGGGGTTATAGGCATGAGCCACCACATTTGGCCCAGGGCAGTTTGTGAAAGTGGGTAATTATTCATGATAGTAACCATGATACAAAAATGATATGTCTTTTAATTTCTTCCCCCCCTTACAGACTGAAATTTTTAGTCTGCGTAATGTTTACCACAGTGATAATTGATCTTCATGAAGTAAAGAATAATTTGTTACATTAATACTGTTGGTGTATGTAAGAATTTGCCTTATAATCATATATATCTTACTGAGTTCATATTAATGGCACAAAAACTTGCTATATGCCCTGCTAAATGAACTTCATTTATTAGATTTTTCTAACTTTAAAGAGTGAAAGTACAGTGTATATTCCCATTGCTACAATATAAAATCCAAACTCTATACTGGAACTATAAGTTTGAAAAGATTATAGAGTTTCTACCTATAGATAAATGTCTTAACAAAATGCAGTTGCATAATTCTGTTTTCCAGTAAATGAGACTTTAGCTTTTATGAGTTAGTTGGTTTAGATAATCCCTTGGGTGTATAATTTACACTCAAACTAACAAATTATTTTTTGTTTAGTAGCCAGCTCTTTTTGGTATATTTATGTTCATTTTAAATAGTGATTTTCCAGCTACTTGAGAGGCTGAGTCAGGAGAATCACTGAGCCCAGGAGTTCAAGACCAACTTGGGCAACAAAGTGAGAACCTGACTAAAAATAAAAAACAAGTGTTGTAATGTAGCTTAGTGGTAGAGTGCTAGCCTGGCATGTGTTCTAGGTGGTCCTGGGTTCCATCTCCAGCACTGAAAAAACACACACACATAAATAAATAAATAAATGTAATAATAATTCCCAATATAGAAGGGGGAAGGGTCCTACTAGAGTCTTGATGGGAAATTCCTTAGTGGAAGATTTTGAAAAAGACCCAGGTTATTCTTTATGCATGAGCCCATGTTCATGTCTTTTCCTATAGTGTGTGTGCACATACACTCTTAACAACTACTAATTTTTTGCTCTATGGTACAGTGCTTACCTAGTATTTGTGGGGACCAGGGTTCGATCCCTAGCACTATAAAAAAAAAAACAAAAAAAACCCCAAAAGATCCAAGTGTGGTGGTGCATATTTGTAATTCTAGGCTGTCAGGAGAATATTGAGGGCAGCCTGGTCTATATCAGGGTGGGAAAAAAATTACATGTACTGCTAATTCCTATGGTTTTTATTTTTACATGTTCCAATATCTTATAAACTAAAGTTATAAAGAATCGATCCTGGGCTGGGATGTAGCTTGGTAGTACAGCGTTTGCGTAGCATGCGCGAGGCCCTGGGTTTGATCTCAGCACCAAAAAAGAAAAGACAAAAAAAAAACCAGAATCGAGCCTTTTCTTGAATAACTAGAAGCAAGATAGGAATTTAGTAGTTTTTAAAGAATCATCTCATACTTTAGATTGAACCTATGCTAATAGAGTTTGCCTTATTGAGTATATCATCATTTTTTTTCATCTTGTCCGGTTTAAGCACATTTCCATTGAAGTTGTTTGAGATTATATTTAAAATAATGTATGGGGCTGGGTGCAGTGACTCAAGCCTATAATCCTAGCTGCTTGGTAGATAGCAATCAGGGTGATAGCAGTTCAAGGCCAACCTGGGCAAAAAATTGAGAGAGACCCCCCCCCCCCGCCCTGCATCTTAAAACCAATAGCTATACTTGGTGGTTTACACCTATCACACCTATCGTCCCAGCTATGTGGGGAAGCACAAGTAGGAGAATCAAGATCCAGGATGGCCTGGGCATAAAATGAGACAATGGAGTTGCTCTAGTGGTAGAGTGCCTGCCCAACAAGCAGAAGGCCCTGAGTTCAACCCCTAGTACTGCCACAAAGTTAATTAACTAATTAACTTAAATGTAATAATGTATGGAAATATAACAAAGTATGGAAACATTTGTTTTGATTTGCTTAGTAATTATTAATGCAGAAAATTAAATACTGTTCATAAAGTAGATATCTATTTTCCCATGTTTTTGTTGATTTTCTATTTAATTTTCAGTTCTTTTACATTGAGTCTATCCATAATTTTGCCATAAACTTAGCAGCAAGAATGCTGAAGCTGACTGGGGGCATGGCTTAAGTGGTAGAGTACTTGCCTAGCAAGCTCAAGGCCCTGAGTTCAAACCCCAGTACCACCAAAATAAACACATATTTAAAACAAAACAACAACAAAAAACAGTACCGGTGGCTTATGCTTGTTATGCTAGCTACTTGGGAGGCTGAGATCAGGAGGATCATGGTTCAAGGCCAGCCCTGGCCTTCACCAGGTCATTACCCTGCATGAGCATTAAGAGAAAAAATACAGTTAAGTACATATTGGGCTGGGAATGTAGCTCAGTGATAGAGTGTTTGCCTAGCATAGATGAGGCCCTAGATTTGATTGCTGGCTCCACAAATTAAATAAATAAATAAACACACACACACACCTGTAGTCTGGCTTGGTGGTGCACACTCATAATCCCAGCACTCAGGAGTCTGAGGCAGGAGGAGTGAAAGTTCCAGACCAGCCTGGTTTGTAGGTTTTTTAAGGTAAATTTGCCATGTACCAAATGATACATTCATACAGTTAACTTTTACATATTTCGAACTGAGTTGTTTATTATGTTGCCAGGAACTGAATGAAAACCAGAGCACCCCTAAAAAAGAAAAACAGGAGTGGCTTTCAAAGCAGAAAGAGAATATACAACATTTCCAAGCAGAAGAAGAAGCTAACCTTCTTAGACGTCAGAGACAATACCTAGAACTGGAATGCCGTCGCTTCAAGAGAAGAATGTTGCTTGGGCGTCATAATTTGGAGCAGGACCTTGTCAGGGAGGTATGTTTAGATGATGCAAAATTTAAAATTCTTTATTAATAAATCATTTGTTTGGTGGGACTGGGGTTTGAACTCAGGGCTTTGTGCTTACAGAACAAGCACTCTACTGTTTGAGCCATACTTCCAGTTCAATGAATCTTTTTTGAACACAGGCCAATCACATCCCATTCTCAGGCCTTTTGTCCTTGTATTTCCCTTTGCCTGAGTCACTCTCCCCAGATACTCACAGTGCTTGCTTTCTCCTTTATGTCTATGATGAAATGATGGCACTCTAGAAATACCTTCCCTGACCACCAATCCTTCTCTGTTCTCTGAGTGCTCTTCTTTATATTTCTCTGTCATTCACATATACAGACCTGCCCCTTTTGTGTGGAATTGGTTGTCTGACTCCCTCATTACAAATGTTTTTTATGAACTTATTTCTTCAATACATCAAATCTATGAAATAGGACTGGCATGTAGGTCGTGGTAAGAGCACATGCTTTGCATATGCTAGGCCAAGTTTGATTTCCTGCACTGTGGAAAAAAAAGTCGTAAAACACTAATACTTACTATGCAGCCATAAATGAAGCAGAGGGTTAATTTTATCTAGTTCCTGTTTTGTTTTTTTTTTCCTTAGTATATTTTTTCTGGCACTGTATAACAATGAACTTTACCTTTGTCTTTTGAATTATGGATTAGGAATTAAACAAAAGACAGACTCAGAAGGACTTAGAGCATGCCATGCTATTGCGACAGCATGAATCCATGCAAGAACTGGAGTTCCGTCACCTCAACACAATTCAGAAGATGCGCTGTGAGTTGATCAGATTGCAGCATCAAACTGAGCTCACTAACCAGCTGGAATATAATAAGCGAAGGGAACGAGAACTAAGGCGAAAACATGTCATGGAAGTTCGACAGCAGCCTAAGAGTTTGAAGGTACCTTTAGTGTAAGCTTCTAGTGTAAGACAAGGGGAAAAGAAGTAAAAGGCATCCATCCATATAAGCAGGAAATGTCTAAGACAAATGTACATTGAAAAATTAAGTTAACTTTTTTCTTTTTCACTTTTAGCCTCTTTGGTTGATTTCTGTGTGGACTACCTATTGCTGCAATCTTTTGCTTGTATATTTCTTAACAAGTTCCAAAAATGGCTAAAACTTTTAAATGTGGAAAATAGCAGTAATAAAAAAGCAAGATACTTTTTTAGATGTCCCAGTGTCTGGTGCTGTTATAGTCTACATGTCAGCATGCTAACCTATTTGCATCTCTTTGTTCTAAGTAATGCTATTTTGGAATCTTAAATTTACTCTAAATGTGATTTGTACAAAATTTAAAAATACAAAAGTAAAAGGTTAATAGAAGGGTGAACTTGTTCAAAATACACTGCACTCCTCTATGGGAATTATAACAACAAAACCCTCTTTACTACACTAATGTATGCTAATTTTTTTTAAATAATTATGTAATCTCTAAAAAAAAAAAAAAAGTAAAAGGTTTCTTTCTCTTCCTTTGTTGGTTCAGCCACCTGGCCTGTCTCCCTTCACCAAATTTATAAGAGTTAACAATTATAATAAATTTTGAAATTTTATAAATTGTAATGAATATTGAAGGAGTTGAATCAAATGAATCCTAATTAACAAAAACAAAAGGCACCCACTATATAGGCTGTCATCGGTGTTAGCACCTAGTTGATCTGTGCATGTCTGAAATTAAAAAAAATGTTTTATGTCCAGAATGCCCAGGTCCTTTCCCACCAGGTTTAGTAGTGAAGATTCACAATCCCAGCACTCAGAAGGATGAGGCGTGTGAATCTTGAGTATAAGACCAGCTTGTCAGCCTTCGACTACATACTGAGACCCTGTCTCAAAAAGCAAAACAAAACAAAAAAAGACTTCATTTCCTTCCTGGTGTCCCCATCCCTCAGTCCTTTTTAAACTATTTAAGATTGAGAACTATTCTTCGGGCTAGGAGTGTTGTTCAGTGGTAGAACACTTGCCTAACAGGTTGCAAGTCTGTGGGTTTGCTTTCCAACACCACAGGAAAACAAAACCAAAACAACTATTCTTGATTTTACCCTGAATAACTGTCTTGGAATAAAGGGAACTTCATTCACAAAGGTAATCTGTATCCAAAAAAAAAAAAAAAAAAAATTCACAGCATCCTTTTTGGTATTCCCAATGCCCACATAACTCCATTCAAACACACTATCTGGAACAATTCAGGTAGCAGAGTTAAGATGCTTTATATCTTCCTCATGTGAACCTGAGTAAAGTTTCACTTTGCTGGATCCTTCAAATTAGCTGTTTAAAGGTTCTCTACCAACCCTAACCTTCCTTAGACAGTGCTCAGGAAAATTAGAATTCATAATGACTTTTCAGATTTCTTTTGTTTGAAAAATAGAGAAATGTATAATCATTCGCCTTCAGCTTAAATAATCTCCTGCCAAAGATTAAAAAATAAACTGTGAAATTAACTATGGTTTTAAAGCCAGTAGCACCCAAAAGTAAACCAAACTTACTGTTTTCTTTAGTCATAGCCATAAATCTGATGTAGGTACATTTCTCTAAGTAATTGTTTGGTTTTAACCCTTTCTTTCTGTTTCCTTATTGGAACCTTTTCAGCTTAAAAGCTTATAAAAAGTAATCTGATTTCTTAGGTATTACATAAAAAGCAAGGAGAAAATGTTTCACAGCTGTGCTCAGACTTTAAGTAGAATACCTCTTTCTGATGACAAATGAGCTCAATGTTTTCCTTTGCAAAGGAAAAAAAGCCCATTTTTCTCTTATTTACATTTATCTATTTACTTGGTCAGTTTGAACAAAACACTATGTTTTAGCACCGAGTCATCCCCTTTGTCCTCTTCCAACCTTCTGTAAGACTTTACATTGGAGTTTGGCATGGTGGTGCACAGCTCAACAGCCTACTCTGCTGTTTCTTCAGCTGTTATCCAGATGAAGCTTTTTGTCATCATTTTATGAGTAGAATTAACTATAACTTAATGTTCATCTTGTTTTCTCTTGAGTCAAACATTGAGGGAGGTAGTTTATTCTTGGTATAAGTATTAATTTTACTAGCAATGAAGAAAAAAATTTGAAGGAACTCTTACTTCTCATCAGGCAGTGATAGGGAATGATTACAATTTTCTTGGCAAGGCAGAACATTAAAGCTCTTTAAAGAAATGGAGGCTGTATACAGAGACAGAAGAGAATGCCTAAATTTCTCTAGAAGCACTTGGAAGAACTTTGCTAACCAAGGACAATATTTGAGAGCAGTGCTACTAAGCATAGCTGAACCAAGAGCCATTTCTAGCTCATCATTTCTTTACCCATCACATAATAAAGGCATATGACCAGGACCTGCTGTCTCAGTTGGTGAAAAATATAGAAATATTTATATTAAGGTAGTAGTACAGAAGTAGAGAGATTTTTCTTCCTAGACAAATGTATAAATTTGCATTTATATATACATTTGTTGCAAGCACACTGAATCAACTAATTAGTTATATCATTATTTATATTAAGGTAAAAATAATTTTGCTGGCACCCGTGGTTCACACCTATAATCCTAGCTACTCAAGAGACAGAGATTAAAAGGATTGAGGTTCGAAGCTAGCCCAGGCAAATAGTTCATGAGACCCTATCTCAAAAAGAAACCTTCACCAAAAGGGCTGGTGGAGTGGCTCAAGGTGAAGGCCCTGAGTTCAAACCCTAGTACTGCAAAAATAATTATAACAATAATTATTATTTCAACTATAGGTTCTGCTTTAGTGTAGTAGGCGCACCCAATATACCTTATAGAAGTATATTTCATTAAAACTTTTTTATAACAAAAAATAAAACTTTTTTATAACCAAAAGCTGAAGGCAGATGTCTTCTGTCTCTAAGCTCAAATTATTGTCTCAGATATGCTTATATTGTTCATGTCTGTTATTACTCCAAGGAGGGTTTCCCCTCCCTTGCCCCATAGCTTTTGTTTGAAATTCGGAATATTAATTAACTGACTTCGAAGTTTTTCTTGTGCTGTTAAAGAGTAAATTATTGCTGCTGGGTATGGTGGAGTGTTCTGTAACCCTCGCACCTAGGAGGTTAAGGGAGAGGATCATAAGTTCTAACTTGGACTACATAGTGAATTTGAGGTTAACCTGAGCAATTTCGCAAGACTGTGTCTCAAAAAAAATTTTTAAAGGGTTGAGAAATTTCTCAGTAGTAGAGTGGGACACCCTGGGTTCAGTCCCCAATATTGGGGAGGGGAGAAACAAACCATTTCAAAGTATGTTTCTACCTAGTTTTTATTCTCTTTTTTTCCCCCCCCTTGGTGATATTGAGATTTGAACTCAGGGCCTCACACTTGCTAAGCAGGTGCTCTGACAACCCTATTTTGTGTTGGGCATTTTTGATATAGGGTCTCCTAACTATTTGCCCGGGCTGGCTTCAAACCTGGATCCTTCTTAATCTCTGCCTCTTGAGTAGCTAGGATTATAGGCATGAGCCACCGGTGTCCGGCTACCTAGTTAATTCTCTTAAGGAAAAAACAGTTGTTTAACAACAATCATTTACTATTACAGACTTTCCAAGCTAACCTCAAGTTTGGTATAGAGATCCATAAAAAGTAGGGTCTGTGGTAGAATGGCTTAAATGGTAAAGCACTTAGGAAGCAAGTTCAGGACTCTGAGTTCAAATCCCAGTACTGCCAAAAAAAATTCTTAATTTTTTTAAAGAACAAAGTAAATATGCTTTATTTTTAAACCTCAGCTATCTGATACAATTTTGTCTTGCCAATAAAGTGTTCTTACATCTACCCACTACATTTTAATTCATGACACGAAATTGAACTTTCTCTCAATACACAGTTATCAAAGCTAATTATAATATTTACTCATCATTAAATTTACTAGTGAAATAACAAGTATTGTATGAAGTCCTCTGATAAATTGGAGTTTTTTGTTGTGAAAGCACAAAATCTATGCCCCATCCAATAGCCAAATACAAAAATACCTGTAACCTTACCATCTGATCTTTTGATTCTTCTCCCCTTTTTCTCACTAGTTTTACTTATATATAAGTAAGTGGAAGGTATGTCAAATGCTGTATGTTAAAACTTATGTACATCTATTTTTTCTTCCCAGTCTAAGGAACTACAAATAAAAAAGCAGTTTCAGGATACCTGCAAAATCCAAACCAGACAGTACAAAGCATTAAGAAATCACCTGTTGGAGACTACACCAAAGAGTGAGCACAAAGCTGTTCTGAAAAGGCTCAAGGAGGAGCAGACCCGGAAGTTAGCCATCTTGGCTGAGCAGTATGATCACAGCATTAATGAAATGCTCTCCACACAGGCCGTGAGTTTGCTTTGTTTAAGCAGCACAGATTTAGGGCCCTTTTCATTTCACCATCCAAATGAAATCACAGCAATTAAAATATTAGTTAGAATGATAATTTTTTGTAGCTAAGGAAATAGTAGTGATAATCCGCATTCTTCCTGCTCTCAACATTGCTTAGAAATGTCATAATGCATATCAGATTTCACTGATACATTTAATCAAAAAGTTCTATGTTGACTCCTTATAGGCACAAATCCCAACAATTTCTCAAGATCAGAATAGGGCTGAACTCATGGCTCAAGTGGTAGTACACATGCCTAACAAGCACAAGGCTGAGTTCAAGTTCCAGTACTATCCAAAAAAAACACACAAAAAACAGGAGCTTTGGTGAACAGGTAAACAAACAGTAGGCAAAAAGTAGTACCATATTTGGAATCCACATGACCAAATGATCACATTTGAGTGCAAATATGAAGTATTTTGCAAGGTTTTTCTTAAAGAGCCAGATAACTATTTTAGGGTTTTTAGGCCACAAGGCAAAATTGAGGATATTACTGGGTACTTATCTAGCCATTTAATATGTAGCCATTTCAGAAGGTAAAAACCATTCTTGACTAATAGATTGAACAAAACAAAACAAGTGGCCGCTCCGGTTTGATCTATATGCTGTAGTTTGTTGGTCTCTGTCCTGTAGTCATTTCTACTAGGGAGGAAGAGATTGAGAGCTTTATATCACCTAATTAGAGTCTAGTTTTTCTTAAGAAAAATGGAGTTATTCAAGGATCCTCCAAACAGCTTGTGATAGCTTTATCTTCATAATGCTATCCATTGGTTATTGAACGTTTCTTTTTCAGAGATGTTTACTCCAGCATGCTAGAAAGAATAATTGTGTATCTTACAAAAAAAGTAGTCTGTCTTTGTCTCTCCTCCTCCTTCCCATAGGTCATGAGTGGATGGCTCATAGTAGGACGTATCTGTTTTCTTTCTCTTTCTCTCAGCTGCGTTTGGATGAAGCACAGGAAGCAGAGTGCCAGGTTTTGAAGATGCAGCTGCAGCAGGAACTGGAGCTGTTGAATGCGTACCAGAGCAAAATCAAAATGCAAGCTGAGGCACAACATGATCGAGAGCTACGGGAGCTTGAACAGAGGGTCTCCCTCCGCAGGGCGCTCTTAGAACAAAAGGTATAAATAATAGAAGGAAGATAATTGTTCTAGTATTTGTTTTTATCAAAAGCATTTTATAAGTATATTTTTATATTGACAGGTTACACTAAGATTTCTTTCCTTTAAAATTGTTGATTCAATTATGAACCTATTACTAATGAGTTCTAAAATCAAGGGAATGTAATTAATTACTAGAGGTTATATGAAGACAGTTAGTTGAATTCTGAGAGTAGCACCTCTGGCTCCATGTTCCTCACTTCTTTTTTGTACCTAGCTCTGCCTAAGAAGGTTGGAGAAAGATATGAATAGTGACGAAAAGCAACTGCAGTAATTGCCTGAGAGAGGCAGGGACTAAGGATCAGGAATATATATTTTACTCATACATCCTCAGCCTGGAACTATACAGATTGGTGGAAGATTACTAAGAGACAGAAGGTAAAGCCAGTTCCATACGGTGAAAAGTCAGGCTGAAAAATGTTCCTTCTAGCTACATCTTTATTTTTTCTGACTTTGTTTTCATCAGATATCTTAGAATAGAACTAGAATCCCCAATTTAACTTCCATTCTTAGGGTCCTAGAGAGACAGAGATTGTTTGTTGTGTGTATATTTTGGCAAAAGTGTGGTAGACCAAAAATTTCGAGAGGTAAAGAGAAGGGAAGGCATTTATTGTGAGAAATGGTAAAATATCAGTTATATCCAGTATTCAGAGCTCTGTTCATCATCTACTAGCAGCTGGTATAATATCAGGTCCTTTGGGCATTATTAGTACTTGCTTATTGACCTTTCTAAAGTTGTCATTGTTTCTGGACCATGGGCCTATAGAGTTTTCTATTTCCTATTGTTGTTGTGATAAACATAGAATATCTTATTAAATATATCTTTTCTTGTGGTGGTGGGGATTGAACCTAGAGCCCCACATATGTAAGACACTGTGCTCTACTACTGAGTTACACCACTCCCTCAAATGTATCTTTTAAAAAAAACCAAAAACCTAAATAAAATGTTACTCTTTCTTCCCATCATCTTTTAAATTTACTTCTTAAATTTGGAAAAAAAAATGTGTTTCTAATAGTAGAATTGTGTTTCTAATAATAACAAGGATGTTATTATTTCTTTGGTATCGCCATCTTTATTACTGGCTTGTTTTAGAGGTACTTGCTTCTAAAAATTATCTCAATTATTTCACATTCAAGATAGGAAAGACAGAGCTGAGCATGGTGGTGCGTGCTTATAATCCCAACACTTTGGAGAGAGAGTCAGAAGGATCACAAGTTTTAGGCCAGTCTGGGCCATAGCAAGACCCTGTCTCAAAAAAAAAAAAAAAAAATAGACCAGGCATAATGGCTCATGTCTATAATCCCACCTACTCAAAGGCAGAGATTGGGAAGGTTGCAGTTCCAGGTCACTCTGGGGAAAAAGTTAGTAAGATCCCATTTCAACCAACAAGCTGGGTGTGGTGGGACACAGTTGTCATGAAAGAAAGCTACAGAATCGTAGGCCAGGCCAGACCAAGCAGAAAACCCTGCCTGAAACACAACTAAAGCAAATGGGCTGGGTGTGTGACTCAAGTGGTAGAACACCTGCCTAGTAAGTCAAGACCCTAGAAACGTAAGAATATTGAAAAATCTTGTTTGTCTCTTGTATAGGTTTCTTAAATCTGCCTGACTCAAACTTCCATACTTAAAATTCAATGTAAAATTTTCTCTTAGGCTTCAAAATGATCACTAAAAGGAAAACTGCTTATAGCTTTTCAGGAATAGGTTTGTGAGAGAAATTTGGGTGCTATATGAAAGTATGGTTGTGGTTTTAGCTCCACCTAGTGTTCAGAGTTAAGCAGTGCCCGTTAACACCTTAGGTATATTCTTATTTCAATGTATGAAACAAAGCCTACATGTTATATACAAAGCTTAGTAAAGTGTGGGAGGAAAAACCACTTCCTACTGATAAAGATGCGTGGCATTCTTATACTGGATAGAGGTAGAGGTGGAGATGGCTGGTGCATCTTGGAAAGCTTGTAGAGGTATATATTGATCCTCTGAAATGTTAAGTATCTAGAACTTTGAGACCTTATTCTAAGGAAAAGAAATCCAAAATATAGGGAAAACAATATGCATAAAAATATTAATTATAACATTCTATAGTAGCTTAAAATAACCATCTAAAATGGAAGTATAAGGGCTGGAGATATGGCTTAAGTGTAGAGCACCCTACATACAAATCTTAATGCCACCAAAAATAAAAATGAAATCAAATAAAAATCCAAATTGAAAATGGAAGTATAATTAAGTAAATATGGCCAAGTCATTAATAAAATCTTTTGAACTCAGGGCCTCATGCTTGCCAGGCACGCTCTCTAGCATTTGAGCCACGCCTCCAGTTGTTTTTCTGATTTTTTTTAATGTGGTTTATATTACTTTAATAATGGAAATAAGGTTACTTAGTATTTAAAAGAACAATAGCATGATAGAGTTTTCAGATGTTACTTGGCTTGTAGGAATGTTTACATTTCCAATGAAGTACATGACTACAAGGTAATCTGAGGTCAGCTGACAGTCACCAAGAAGATAGACCTTTTCTTTCATAAACTTTGAAAGGGAATCTCTCAGTGATAGAGCACATACTTAGTATGTGTAAGGTCCTGGGTTCAATTCCCAGCACCAAAAGGAAAAAAGAAACTAAGAAATCATAACAACTATATTTTCTGTACTTTGTGCTTACTTTGTAAAGATTGCAAAGTTATCTGAAAATAAATAGTAGAGCTGGAATGAATGTCAGTAAATGTAATAATTCTGAGTATTGCTTTAAACCTTCAAGTAAACCAAAAATTGTTCCTTTAGGTTGAGACACCAACAAAGTGAGCTTCACATGTATGTGAAGTCTCATTTCAACTTTTCTCATCTTCCATTTACATTAACTTCCACTAGATAACAACATGGCTATAAATGTTAAATTCTGTGTGAATTTTACACAGGAATAAAAGGCACATGCATGGGCTCTTTTTTTTCCTCAATCATTTCACTTAATTTTCTCTTAATATTTCACTTAATGTCAACATCTTGGTTGGTAATACTTAAGTAAGGAATTAACAGTTGGAGTACCTTGTAAGACCTTTCTTTGTGGAAATGCAAGTATCCACACAAAAAAGATCACATTTGATTTCAAACAAGACAAATTTGGAAAGCCTCTCAAAAGTGTAACTTTTACCTGCTCAGTGAAAGTACATTTCTGAACTTCAGTAATAAATAACATGTTCTGGGGCGGGTGGAGTGGCTCAAGTGCAAGAGTGCCTGCCTAGCAAGTGTGAGGCCCTGAGTTCAAACCCCAGTGCTGCCAAAAAAAAAAAAAAAAAGTAAATAACATGTTTTAAAGAAACTTAAGGGTAGAACAGGTGATGTGTGACTGTAGTCCCAGCTACTTGGGAGGCTGAAGTGAGAGGATTAAGGATTATGAGTTTGAGGCTAGTCCGAGCAATTCATCAAGACCTCATCTCACAAAAGAAAAGTTAAGGGTTTATATAACGTATCACAAACCTGCTTGTTCTTGTTGAGGTGGTTGGGGGGGAGGTTGAGGTTGGTTTTTGTGGTACTAGGGATCAAACTAGGGACTCTTGCATGCTAGGCAAGTGCTTTGTCACTGAGGTTCATTCTTAGTCTACAAATCTTAGTTTTTTGTTATGTCTTTGTTTTTGAGATAGGGTCTCACTAGGTAGCCAAGATTGACCTAGAATTCACTATAGCCCAGACTGGCTTCAAACTCATGTGTCTCCTCTGGCGTCCACTCTTGAGTGCTGTTACCACAGGAGTGTGCCACCATATCCAGCTTGGAGTTTTATTTAATTGAAAAATTCTAGCATGCTCAAGTTCCCGTTAAACTCTAGTACTTCAAAAAAAAAAAAAGAAGAAGAAAAAGAAAAATGTCTTCAGATTTTTACCTGACAAAACTTACCAGCAAACAAAATTAAATCAATACTGAGTAAAATATTGATAAACATTGATCTATGTAATTTTTAATCACATGTTCCTTTCTTTCAAATACTATGCAAGGGATTCAGATCATTTACATGCTCACTACTTTCCCATCATTTATTATCTCTTGAATTAAAATATTTTAGTGAGTGAAAGTTTGACGTTTTTACATATAAAAATTTAAAAGAAAAATGTTTTTATTGAGTCCTTAGAGAAATGTAAATTTAATTCTGTTGAGTTGGGTATTTTATAGAGAGATATTGAGATATTAAGACAATTGGAAATTCATTTTACAAATACACATTTTTTTTTTTCTTTTGGCCATGCTCAGTACCTTGGACATCCTAGGAAAGCTCTTTATCACTGAGCTACACCTTAGGGTGACAATGTTTTTTAAACTTGGCAAATACAGAGGAGCATAAATACAAACTAAAATTTATCCTTGATCCCTACCACTGAGTAGGGATCATTAACAGTTTGGTAATTTTCCCTCAGAAAAAATTCATACTCATATTTAATCATAAAAATTCATACTTAATCCATGTCTTCCCTCAACTTTGATGTGAAATGCTTTTCAACACTTTTATAGATAGAACAATAATTTGCAAATTCTACTCCTGTTTGTATTCTCACATCTCCTCCCTCCTCCTCCTCCTCTTCTTCCTCTTTTTCTTTTTTTCTTTTCTTTTGTGGAACTGACTTTGAACTCAGGGTCTTGGGCATGCTCGTCAGGTGCTCTACTGACTGAGTTAGACTTCCAGCTCCTACCATCTTCTTTAAGAAGACTTCTTGCCAGGCACTGGTAGCTCACGCCTATAATCCTAGCTACTTGGGAGGCTGAGATCAGGAGGATCCACAGTTTAAGGCTAGCTTGGAGCAGATAGTTCATGAGACCCCCATCTCCAAAATAAACAGAGCAAAACTGACTGGAGGTGTGACTCGGGCAGTAGAGTGCCTGCTTTGCAAGCGCAAAGCCCTGAGTTCAAACCCCAGTCCCACCCTCAAGAAAAAAAAGACTTCTTTGCCTCCTTCTCCCTCCCCTGTAGAGTAAATTGCTCCTTCATGTACCTGTAAGTCTATTTTTATGTCGCAACCACATTCTACTGGATTTATTTTATTGCCTGTGCTTTCTGTGCTAAAAATGTGGCCTTTTCCCCGCTGCCCCCCATTGATGGGACTAGGGTTTGAACTCAGGGCTTCATGCTTGCAAAGCACATACCCTCTCATCCATTTTGCTCTTTTCTGTTGTTGTTTGTTTATTTGTTTGTTTGAGGTCTCATGAACCTAAGTTGACCTCAAACCACGATCCTCTTTTTATTTTTTTTAATGATAGGGGTTTGATCTCAAGACTTCATGCTTGCTAGGCAGGCGCTCTACCACTTGAGCCACTCCACCAGCCCCCCTGATCCTCTGTCTCAGCTTCCCAACTATCTAAGATTATAGGTGTTTGCTGTACCCCCCATGTGTCATTTTTTAAAAGATACTTTTATAAACTTAATATATAAAAACTAAACAAATTTGTTGAACTAGATTTCTTTGGAGAGCAAAGACTATTGACTTAATTCCTCAAATGCCTTAAAACTTGATAATTTGTGGTGTGAATATAGCTTAGTGGTAGCGTGCCTGCTTAACGTATAGGAAGCTCTGGGTCTGAGCCCCAACACCAAAAACCAAACAATGATTTGATATTTATTTATAAATTCTATTTATTTATTTATTTATGGCTATATTTGAGGGTTGAATTCAAGGTTTTGTGCTTTCTAGGGAGGCACTCTACTGCTTGAGACACACCTGCCGCCCTTTTTGCTCTGGTAATTTTTGAGATGGAATCTCACTTTTTCCCCAGGCTGATATTTGTGCTTCCTGCCATACCTGTGATAATGGGATGGCAAGAGTGCACTACCATACCCAGCTTCTTTTCTCCTGTTGATTTGGGGTCTTTCTTTTCAATAGCAGGGATCAAAACCAGGGTCTTGTTAATTTGGGATCTTGAGGTTTTCTTGGGTTTTGGGTTTGTTTTTTTTTTTGGCTCAGGCTGGCCTGGAATCATGGTCCTCCTGATCTCAGCCTCCCACATAACTTGGGATGACAAACATGGGCCACTATGCCCAGCCTTTATTGGTTGAAATGGGGTCTTGTGAACTTTTTCCCAGGCTGGCCTTGAACCAACATCTTCCTGATCTCAGCCTCCCTAGTAGCTAGAATTATTGTTGTGAACCAATTATTTTTAATTAAAAATTTTAATTAAAATAAAATATTTTAATTTTTTTTTTTTTTTTGGCAGTACTGGGGTTTGAACTCAGGGTCTCATGCTTGCTAGACAAGCACTCTACTGCTTGAGACACTCCACCAGCCCTATTTTTAAAAAACTTTTTGCCATAGAAAATTCCAAACATACATATAAATAGGAAGACGAGAATGAAATCCCTAAGTACCATCACTCAGCTTCAATAGCTATTAATATCAACATCACACCCATAAATATAGATGGAACTTTTTGATCTCATGTTCATTACTGTTAATATAACCAACCATAATTCCCTTGTAATAGCTAGCAAAATTGGTAATAATTTTTTAGTTCATGTCTAAATTTCTCTTATTAGCTTAAAGTCTTCTTTAATGAGTTTATTTAGATTGAGGCTTTCAAATAAGGACCATATATTATATATTTAATTTTTCCTTTTTAAGACTGAATCTTGCTGCATAGCCCAGGCTGGCCTCAAATTCACAATCCTTTTTGTCTTAACCTTTCTTATGGTAGGATTACAGGTGTGTAGCACTATTCCCAGTTGAGTCATCTTTTCTCCATTGAATTTGCTACACTTTGTCTTGCATTAGAATTTGTCTTTGGAAAAAAAAAAACCAGAATTTGTCTTTGAGCCGGGTACTGGTGGCTCATGCCTGTAATCCTAGCTACTCAGGAGGCAGAGATCAGGAGGATCACAGTTCAAAGCCAGCCCAGGCCCCAACACAAAAAGGGCTGGTGGAGTGGCTCCAAGGTATAGGCCCTGAGTACCTCAAAAAAAAAAATAATAATAATAATAAAAAGAAAATTTTGACTTTGATCTGGCACTGGTGGCTCATGCCTATAATACTAGCTACTTAGAGCCTGAGATAGGGGAGGATTAAAGTTTGAGGCCTGGGGAAATACTTTGTGAGACCCCCTGTCTCCAAAATAACCAGCACAAAATGAACTGGAGACGTGGCTCAAACTGTAGTGTGCCTGCTTTGCAACCATGAAGCCATGAGTTCAAATACCACCCCTACAAAAAAGAAGAATTTATCTTTGAATCCAGGGCCTGGCAGAGGCAAGCTCACTGAGCTACATCCCTAACCCTGTCCTGCACTAAAGATCTACAAATTAGGATTTTCCTTCTACTTCCATTTCACTAATCTTATTTGTGTATTTCTATACCAATATTTACTTTATTAAAGTGACATTATAGTATCTTAATAAAGCTAGATTCCCCTCATTGATTTTCTTTTTCCAGCAACTTTTTAACCTGATGGATTTGCCTAATATATCACTTTAATAGAGGTATTACCTTTGCTTTTGATTTATATATGTATATATATATATATATATTTAATTTTTATTTATTTATTTTATTTTTGCAGCACTGGGGTTTAAACTCAAGGCCTCATGCTTGCTAGTTGGGAACTTTTCCACTTGAGTCACTCCACCAGCCCTTACCTTTGCTTTTAAGAATTAGATTTAAGGGCTGGGTTAGTGGCTCAAGTGGTAGAGTGCTTGCCTAGCAAGTGTAAGGCGCTGAATGCAAACCCTAGTTCTATCCAAAAAGGAAATTAGATTTTTATACATTTTAGAAATATAAATTATATGTTACTTCTACAGTACAGCTTTTTTTTAAATATTTAAGCCAGGCACCAGTGGCTCACGTCTGTAATCCTAGCTACCCAGAAGGCGGAGATCAGGAGGCTCACAGTTCAAAACTAGCCTAGGCAAATTGTTCACAAGACCCTATCTTGAAAAAACCCATCACTAAAAAGAGCTGGTGGAGTGAGTCAAGGTGTAGGCCCTAACTTTAAACCCAGTACTACCAAAAAGTAAGTAAAATATTTAAATATCCACAAAATAGCTAGTATTTGCTTTGAGTAATTATTGCTTTCTTAGTTTATAGATTAAAAAAATAATAAATTGGCCTTCTTTTTGCTTCCCTCCTCCACACCCAACAGATTGAAGAAGAGATGTTGGCTTTGCAGAATGAACGCACAGAACGAATACGAAGCCTGCTGGAGCGTCAAGCCAGAGAAATTGAAGCTTTTGACTCTGAAAGCATGAGACTAGGTTTTAGTAACATGGTCCTTTCTAATCTCTCCCCTGAGGCATTCAGCCACAGCTACCCGGGAGCCTCTGGTTGGTCTCACAATCCTACTGGGGGTCCAGGACCTCACTGGGGTCATCCCATGGGTGGCCCACCACAAGCTTGGGGCCATCCAATGCAAGGTGGACCCCAGCCATGGGGTCACCCCTCAGGGCCAATGCAAGGGGTACCTCGAGGTAGCAGTATGGGAGTCCGCAATAGCCCCCAGGCTCTGAGGCGGACAGCTTCTGGGGGACGGACGGAGCAGGGCATGAGCAGAAGCACGAGTGTCACTTCACAAATATCCAATGGGTCACACATGTCTTATACATAACTTAATAATTGAGAGTGGCAATTCCGCTGGAGCTGTCTGCCAAAAGAAACTGCCTACAGACATCGTCACAGCAGCTTCCTCACTTGGGTACTACAGTGTGGAAGCTGAATGCGTATGGTATATTTTATTCGTTTTTGTAAAGCGTTCTGTTTGGTGTTTACTAATTGGGATGTCATAGTATTTGGCTGCCGGGTTTTTGTGGGATTTTTTGTTGTTGTTTGTCTGTTTTTAACTTTTGGGTAAATTTTGAAAAGGGGAGTTATATCTCATACACGTGGTAAAAAAGAAATTGGTTAGATAGAGGGGGTATTTTTTGAACACTGCAAAAATAAAATGCAGTAAAGTAACTTGAGTCATCACTTTAGCGTGTCCATATCCTAAGAAGTTTGTGAGAATATTTAAAGCCCTCGTCCTGTATTCCAAATTCTTATGAGCCACTGACAGCAGACAGGAAATGCTGAAACAAGTTATTATTGGAACATACCTGCACCCCCTCGCCAATGTATTTTCTTTATTAAATTGGTCTGATTTCTCAGACTCATTTGAAGTACAAAAAGCAGAAACCCTCAAACACTAAAGGATTTTATTGACTGGTTGAGATAATAGAAATTTAGTTCTTTTTCTAAATGCTTCATAAGTTTGTCAGTGATTTTTGTCCATTCAGTTGTGCCTTCTTTGTCACAGTATGATGGAGTTGCTTAAGGAAATCGCAAGCTTTGTGGGGATTGCATTAACAAACCTGCAAGTTTTCAAAGGGGAAGATCAGCAGGCTGAGAGGGGCCCCTGAAAGTTCCATGGGATAGGTATGTCCAGCAGCAGAGTGAGGAGATGAAGACTATGTATACTGACATTTGTTGCTTATACTGTGATATCTTGGCCTAGTTAAGCTCTGTAAGTCTCAAAACCCCAAACAGTACTTTTACTTTGTACAAAAACAAAGACATATAGCCAATACAAATCAAATGCCAGAGGTATTTGAATGATGCCATATTTGCCAACTGCCATCTATTGGAATATACTCATCACACTACATAGACAAAATTTGATTATCCCCTTTTGGCTTATGAGATTTCCTGTTTACAAGTAGAATAGTCGTTTATTTAAATGCTTAGTTGCCATAGTGAACCAGGAGTCACTGAGCCAGTGAGTACCAGCTGCTGACTAATCCTCTTCACCACTGTAGATTTTTGTTGCATGTGCAGATCCTCTGTTTTTTAATTGCTGTTTTTGTTGCTGCAGTACTTTATAAACTTCTAGTTCAGTGAGACTTAGTGACCATTTGGGATCATGTTAACGTCACACAATAGGAAACACCACTTCCAGAAGTCTCAAGCCTCAGTGCTAAAGTACTACTGAAAAGGAACTAGAAAGTTTGACAAATGAAAAAACAAACAAACAATAAAAGGTAAAAGTAAGTTATAGTGGTCAGGGAATCTCTTGACAAAAGCTAACATTTCTTTTCAGGGGTGGGGGTGGGGGTTGTTTTGTTTTGTTTTGTTTTACAATGAAGGATCAACCAATTAGAAAGTTAGATGTTATTTGGTATTCCATTGCTTGTGTGGAAGATGAGTTGGAGGTGAATGGGGAGCTGTGAGTATGACTTGAAGAAAAAAATGTCCTTTTCAGTGACAGATCAGTTTCTTACAAGTTATTATTATCTTACTCCCTTCCCAGTTGTCTTGAAGAATTCTTGCTGCTAACTCTGGATCCTGCTTTTCATGTAGTCAGAGGGCTCCAAGGTAGAACTCTCCAAGTCCCTTACAATAATATTCTTCACTCTTCACCTACACCAAACTAGTGACCAAATTGTATCTATCACTGTTGGAGTCTTGGTTTCTCAATGACATTTTAAGTCTTCCCAGGTATGTCATACCATAACTCCATTTAGGAGTTTCTGACATTGCTTCCGACTATCGCTGGAAGAAAAGTTAATGTTTTAATATAAATCCTTTGATAACCAAGATCACAAATCACATTGGAGTTCACATACACTTCTAGGCAGTGTTTCAAGTAGCACTCTGATGTATTGTCCTTTTAGTCACCCCCCAGATCAGTTTTTAGGTAAACATGATGCATTCTTTTTATATCTAGTGAAAAGGGCTTTTAGTCTCTCACTATCTTTTTTGCATTAAAATACTATACAATGTTTCAAGCAAATTGAGAAATCTACCTGTTTGGAGAAAAATGATAAAAGAAAGCTTTAGAATTTAATAAAATGTCCAAAAGTATAATATAATTTCATACTTACAAACATTCTTCATAGATCTGGCTCCTGCCTACTGCTGGAGGGTTGGAATAGGTAAACAGATCAGGTTTGCATATCAAACCTAAAGTGCTACCAGTGATACTGAAGTTCAATTAGTCATATTGAGTTACTGAGTCCATTCACATCATATATACTTATAAAAGTTTGATTGAATACTGATTCCAGATGTCTATCCAGTAGGGTTTTGTATCTAATTTAATTGTGTAGCAATGAGTTTTACATGTAGGTCATGACTATACCTGGATTATACCATTAAGTTAATTATAATTAAATATATGTAATTTGCAAAAATGATTAAAATTAAGTGGTTTATGTGTGTTTGTGAGGTGTAACTTCTGAGGAATCTCATACATGGTAGGAATCATCACAGTAAAGCTAATAGCAGGAAAATTTGAAAGGTTTTGAGATACCCTGAAGAAAGAGCAATGATTTCTGAATCAGTGTGAAAATGTCAACATTTGATCAAATTAACACTACCTCCTCCCCAGTTGAATGGTATTCACTCATTATATATGTGTTTAAGAAAGTTTAAAAAGTATGGGAAGTTTGCATAGCATATCAGAATTGTAAATGCTATATCTGGTACCCAGAACCTGACAGTGATAAGTCACCCTTCTCCCTTTCTTGGATTAGCATTTTAAAAATGTAGACTGCATACCTTGAAACATTTTATTCTTAATTAGATTCCCTTCCCTTTGCACATACTTTTTCTCCCCTTCAAAAGTCATCTAACTCCAAATTAAGAGTTTCTGAAAGCATTTTCATTACATAGATTATGTTAACTAAAAATGTGTTTATATTATTTTTATTCAGAGCTACCATTCTTTTTAGCCATTTCTATACGTAGAGATAGATGAATAGCCATGCATTTGAAGTCACACCCATAGGTGTAATATGCTTAGTTAGTATTCTAAGTCAAGGACTTACTAAAAATGGAATTTCTTATGATAGTCATGATTTTCAGATGCTGGGACATCAAGTCAGCACCATTCAAAATACTAAAGAAATTGTCCTATACACTCCCTTCCACTTCCACCAGTTTTGACTCACCCCCTTTTCAAAAATTGAAAATTCTTTTTCAAACCATAAGGCAGACATTAGTAACTTTCTGCTTCTGTAAGTACGAAATGTCTGGCATTTTAAACTTTTATATAATACATTGTTTTGGACACTGGAATAATACGATTTATTTTCACCTGTGAAAAATGACTTCATTGTACTTGAAACACCTCCTTTGCATTTCTCCATTTTGTGCCATTCACTAGTGGAAATAAATTGTATTATACCATGATCTACTGGCTTTTAAAAATTATGTTAAACATACACATTTTTGGTATAACTATTATCATTTATATGTGTATATTGTATATACATATGAGTGTATCTGTGTGTATAGATGTGTGCATGTAACTCATACTGTACATTTCCATCAGGGCACTTAAGGGTCTGTTGTTTTTGTTTGGTTTTGTTACTTCAGTCTTCAGTTAAGGCAAGAATGCATGTGTTTTAAAGAATGAGTACTCTGGGTTGATATTTATGAGAAGGTGGTTATTAGATGCAGTCTTTCCTTTTTAATCCCTTAGGACTTGTGTGAGTGGAGAAGGTTAAGTAAAATATGGAACCATAAGTTGCAATGCAGTAAAATTGTGCTGGGGAAGGAGCCAGTTCTGTGAGTTCGTGTTGTGGTGCATTAAAAGATAAACGATGCAGAGAGAAATGAACCATGGAAAGTAAGAACACTGGTGGTGATTGCTCTGCAAAGATGATAAAAAGAACCAATGAATCACACAATCTTATGTATTTCTTAGTAGAGATGCCATTGTGATCCTCTCATTCTTTTTACTTAATACTAAAAATTATGTATTTTGCTGAGGGTCAAAACAGCCGAGAGAGAAAGTAGTTACTATTAAAGCATCTAAGGTTCTCCTTAACTGTAAAATCAACATCATATAGTCACTGGGAGAGAAGGACATGGTTTGAGGGGCTTTTTCCTTTTAACTGCCTCTTCTTGCTTGCTAATAGTAAGTTCTTTGTGCACCTTCAATCCCTTCTGAGCCACTACTGTTCAAGCAGAGATTTGACCTAACACAGCTACCCTTTCTTTGGAGGTTTATATATTTCTTCATTTTGTCCCATGCTCACAATGTGAAGTGTTGTAATGTATATTCAAGTCAGAAAATAATATATTTAAGGTGTTTAAGTGTACTGTCCTATAATGGTGAAGGAAGAGATTCTCATTCCTTAGATAGAACCTTCTCTAAGAAGCAAAGTCAAAACTTGGGCTGTTGTCTTCGAGCTGCTTACCAAAATACAGATCATCATTGAAGAGACACAAATTCACTACTTTTGTTTTCCCATACCTAACATGATAGTATTCCCATCAAGGTTGTAGCATTGCCTTTTAAAAGGCACTTAACTCATTCACTCTTAGTTGTTAAGAACTGGAAATTTCCCATCCTCAGATTCCTTAAAGGATGAAGAGTGTGCTGTACACTTAGCATACTTGCCTCTTGTATGCAAGGACTACTGATTGAAGTCTGTTTTGCTGTGTCTGGTTATGTCGTCTGCACTTTCATGAAATCACTACAGTAGATCTACATTGGAAATTATTATTAATTTGTAAAGCAGTTTTTGTTAAACACTGTGTAGAAAAAGAAAGCGAAGCTGAGAACTGTTCCTTTTTTGCGCATTTATATTTCCTACTGAATTTTGGTAGCCCCCTTTAAAATTGTTTTAATTTTTTTCTCCTTGTTTTATGTTCAGATTTCCAAAATTTCACTCATACAAGGGAAGAGAACCTATTTGGCCTAATGGTAGTCTTTAGATCATAAGAAATATATAAATTAATATGCACCTTATATGCCTGTTGTGGATTTCTTAAACTTGCACTTCCCACCCACCCAAAGATATCTTTTAAAGAAAATAAAGACAGAACTAAAACTGGGAGCCATGTACTATGTCACCATCACTGTTAACTATTTCCCAGGAATCCAAGCGCTTTGAAGTTTCAGAGATTTATTTTTGTGTGTGTTTGTGTATGTTTGATTGTTTTGGTTTTTGTTTTGTTTTTAAATGTACAAGGGGTTCTTTAAATAGAGAAAAAGATTAATCCTCTCAAACAGCAGGAGGCCCACTGGATATCCTAATCTTAACAACTGTAGGTAGTTTGCCTTGAAAAAGAGGTGAGAAAGGTGAGACTTCTGAATGAATGAAAAAAGGGTATCTTGATGCCCAGGAATTCCCCCCAAAGTACGGGTAATTCAGCCTGCACAGTTTCCTTTTACTCATAGTTTTAGCAATTATGAGTGAAAAATCATGTAATTATCTGTAAATATGTAGCTAACAAATTGACCTAGTTTCTGTATTTTTTTGGTTTTTGTACTAAAGTTTATAGGTCTGTGTCAGCTAGAGAGGAGTTGCTGTCATTGCCAGTTGTGGTTGTAGCATCTAACCCTGAAACCATCCTAGGTGACATTTTTAGAATTATTGCTTAAGTGTGTTAAACAGGGGGAAATGAAGCTTAATGATTGGTCAGGTTTGAAATCTTTTGAAGCTAAGTAATTTTATTTAATACAATGATTACATGTCCTCAGTCATGAGTGAGATGTAGGGAGCCTCCCTTCCCCAGTGGCCATGTTTACAAAAGTGTGTTTTGTCTATAAAGTGCAAGTGTGTTAATGTTTATGTAAATTATGCAGGTGATAACATTATGTTTGGGACTGTTTATGGGCTCTATAACTGAATTTTCAAAAGATATGTACTATGCTTATTGCTGGCACATTGATTCTGTTTCTGGAACATTTTTCCTGTTTCCAGAATTAGTTAACATTCTTCAGACATTACCCCCACTTAACTAACTCCCTTCCTCTGATTTGCCTTGTACCCAAGGTATTAAGGACTGGTGAACACAGATGAGGGAAATGCATTTCTTAAAAGTCCATGAACCCTCAATTGTATGTTTTCAGTACTGGTGTTATATGTTTCTATGACAACTTCGAAGTCAGTGGTTTAGAAATGAGATACCAATGTTAATGAAAAGTATGTACTCTTTGCTTTTGCATGGCTTGGCTTAGTAACCAAGGTATATTTGAGCCACTTGAAAGCATGAAGACCGTTATATGGGAACAGGTTTCTCTCACTGGCACATTTTGCTTTTTCTTAGCCCTCAAATACATTGCCTTGGCATGAGCATTATTGTTACAATAAATTGCACATGGTCATAGAGTGAATTATGTAGCTCAAAGGGTGCAGCTGCATAATGTTTTGCAGTTTCTGGCTGGCCTCTGTGACTGTTTGGCACATATCAAAAAACCCAGGGGTATTGGAACCCTTCTAACCCTTTTGGGAGGTCATAACCATAAGCAGGTATATTTATCAAGATGTTGGCTGCCCAGGTATATTGCCTTTTGGTGCCCATTCCAAATGTGCTATTGTCCTTCCTTCATTTCATACTATCAAAGAAATCACCACCCTTCTTCCTAACAGCATGTTCCACCTTTTATTCCACATTAAATGGGAATTGTGCCTACTTAGAGTGCCCTTCCAGTTAATTATACATGTCCCAAGATGAACCAAGCCAGAGACACAGGTGGGAAAACATTTCAAAAAAGAAAAAACGGCCAGTAATTTATCTGACAAGGTACTTTACCACATTATATTGACACTTGATATATGAGCCTATTAGAAATTGCAAGTGGTTTCATAGAGTAAAATCCCAGTGAAAAGGGATGTGCGGGGTTTCTATTAGGAAATAATTTTGTTCTTACTTTAACTTTCCTTTTACAATCCTTCTCTGCTAGCTTAGAACAGGTTCTCCAAATTTTTTAAAAATTTTTTTAGGGAAATTTTTACAAAAGCAAGGTTTGATGTAAATAACATTTTAAAGTATAGTGCACATAACTTCCCTAGACTGTTCCAACCTGATTATTTGTAAATGCTTTAGAGATTTTTAAATTAACACTTGTGTTGCTAAATCCTATTTATGTAAGTCTGCTAAAGTTTTTAACCCACTTAAAACATTTAAATAATGGATGGGTTGCTATAAGCAATTTAGCTTTCAGAACCCTTTCTTTTAGTATATGAAAAAGCCTAATACGCATTAATGAGGTTGGAGAGACTATGAGAAATATGTATAGTGTATATTTTAAAACAGCTTTGCTTGTATTGTGAAGATTTAAAAACTTGAGATTTTTAAATTTAACTATTAACACAGTTTTAACATAAGTTATCCCACTGGGTTTAAGAGCATCTTGAATGTATAATCCTTTTTGTAACCCAGGTTGGTTTCTGCTTTTACCAGTCATTCAAACATTATTTATATTTTTAGTTTTATGTACTCATTTCCCTTTGTTTTCCTCAAACAGCATGATTTTTTTGCACATGTAGAAATTTTTAAAAAGAAGGAAATTGATACATCATTTTCTCTAGATTTTTTTTCACTTCCCTCTTTCTTTCTACTAACCTCTTCCTTAAAGGCCATATCACTCCATTTGCATTATTTATGCAAATGCCAGGGTTGGTTTTTATTTTTATTTTTGCTATATACCTAAAAAAATAAAATGCTTCAGTTAATTGCTTTTTTATTTAAAAAGAAAAAAGAAAAAAAGAAAAGAAAAAAGCTGTAACCTTATCATTTCTGAGTAGACCATTGAGTGATGAATGCACACCTGTCATAGCCTAGGACCAGCTTTGGTGGCTAAAGGGAATATTTTTAAGTAAGCAAGATGTTCCGTTCTAAAAGTGGTATATATTATCCACAGTTTATTTTAGTTATTCCCACAAGTCAGGGGTCCAGATAAAATGAGGGTTATCAGCTAACTGATATGTTATCATTGAGGTTCATCAATGAATTTGTACATTTCTAGTTCCCTTTGGTGAAGGGAAAAAAATGATTTTTGCAAGACCTAGATTTTGTTCTGGTTTCTTGCCTCCTTTTTTGGCAGCCTTCATCTTCTCATCTCCTAAAGCCCTTGAGCCTGTAGGGTTTTCAATGTAGACAAAGGACTTGTGGTCTTTTAAAACTGGGACTGTTTTTTTTTGTTTTGTTTTGTTGGGTTTTTTTTTTTTTTTTTGTCGAGAGATTATCATGATGAAAGTTTGGTGTTCTGCCACTTTACCAATGAATGATTTTAAATATACACAGTCCTCTCAATTTTTGGACCAAACAGATGCCCACAGTGGAGGCTTATCAAGGGTTGCAAAGGGGAAGAAGCCTTTCCCTCACTGTCAGCACCAGCTGGTAAAGGTGACTGTGCAGATGTGCATTTTCCTTTTGGTAGATATGGTCCACAGCACTAACTGGTAAGGCTTATTGTACAGTATATTGTCAGTATTCTTCCGGTTCAGCATACCTTATAGTTCATATATAACCTGTATTAATTGTATAGATTGTGCATTTAAAGCTGTTACCAAGTTGTCAGAACATAAGAGCGAAAACAAGGTCATATGTAATATTTTGTTTGTAAGTATCCTTTGTATCATAGCAAAGGAAATGTTTAAAAAATCAACTGTAATAAAGTAATTTTAGTACACAAGTGTCTGTTCAGTTTTTTTAAATAATTTTATTCCCATAAAGATATGTTTCAGTCTGATGACTATTGGATAATTACCTCAGGTACAGTGCTAGATAGATTGTTGGGATTACAGAATGAGTAAGAGTGAACAACCTAATAAATACATAAACCCTTGTTGCCTCAACTTTTCTCTACCCAGAGAACCAAGAAGCCTATTGTTATCTTGGGGTGAGATGATCTAGTTTTGGCTCAGTTGCAGGATCTGTAGTTTTATTCATACACTGTGATCTGTATAACTACAACTCCTCACCCAGACAGACACATAAATGTAGTAAACAGTTCTCTTGGGCCTTATACAAAGCTTCAAAATGCAGTCTCATCTGGGCTTTTCTCCCTGATTTGAGCATCATCACATTTTAATCCTATGTGGGGAAATAGACCATCTAATCTGGTCCTGTTGCTTAAAATTTTGGGCTGGTGGAGTGGCTGAAGTGGTAGAGCACCTGCCTAGCAGTCATTAGGCTCTGTGTTCAAACCCCATTAGTGAAAAAACATTTTGGGTAACTTTTTGTCAGAATGCCAAATCTAGGGAAATGTTCTTGAGTACTGGAATTTATTTATGTTTTTTGAGACAGTGTCTTGGTATGTAGTTCAAGGCTAGCAATCCTCCTATCTTGGCCTCTTGAGTGCTAAGATTACAGGCGTCTGCCACCATGCTCAGCTCTATATGTTTTTTAATTGAAAAAGAAAATAGTTTTTTAAGTATCTGTGCATGTGGTGCTGGGGATCAAATCCAGGGCCTCACGCATGTTAGGGAATAGCTCTACCACTGAGCTACACCCTCAGTCCTTAAATATCCTCTTTTTTAAAAAAAAATTCTTAGCATATATTAGTTGTACAAGGGGTTCCATTATGATATTTATATGTGTACTTCAATTAAATATTCTCTTTAAAAGTAAAATTCAGGTTATCTACTGTAACGAAGAGGGGACTGTTAATGAGAAAAATGGTATGGCATTTAAATTAGAGTTTTGATACTGAGCCATTTTGGCATCAACATTTATACAGTGTTTAAGGTGTCTGGGTCAAGCAACCAGGTGGCAGAACCAAGGTTTAGCCTCCAAGATTTCATTTTGTTTTACTCCCACAATTGGGCTCTTCAGATTTACAGTGAGAGTAAAGACTGAGCTCCATTTAGAATTTAAAGCCTATCTTACCTGACTGTAAGAATATAAATTAAAAATTAACCATAGAGGTTAGCGAGTGCTACAGCCTCCGAGCTGCCATCTTCATCTCAGTGATGCTTCTCTGTATGTGTCCTAGCAATTAAATGATGCTACCTTAATTGCTACTCTACTTTTTTTTTTTTGCAGTAATGGGGCTTGAATTCAGGGCTTCACACTTGCAAGACAGGTGCTCTACTGCTTGAGCCACACCTCCAGCCCCAAAGTACGTATTTTTTGGCAGTACTGGGGTTTGAACTCAGGGCCTCATGCTTGCTAGGCAGGTGTTCTACTACTTAAGCCACTCTACCAGCTCTTACGTTATGGAGCCTAGAATGGACATTTACCTACCATCCCAGACAGTGATTTTTCTAGGAAAAGGAAAATGTAAGGCATAAAGAGCACTGTTTTTGGGGACTGGAGGTGCGGCTTAAGTGGTAGAGTGCCTGCTTTGCAAGTGCGAAGCGCTGAGTTCAAACTCCAGTCCCACCAGAAGAAAAAAAAAACATAGGGGCTGCTATGTAACTCAGTCAGAACACTTTCCTAGTATCCCAACCCTGAAGGAAAAAAAGGTAATAAAGCACTATCTCTAATTGTGAGATCTTAAACGTTACATCCTCTCTGACCATCTATTAGAAATGTAGATATGAGCCAACGTGAGACCTATTAGTCTTAATGTAGTATCAGTGAGAGTAAAAGGGAAAGTTTGTTCTCAGAGGGGCAACCCAGGACTCAGCTTGTGAGGCTCAAATGTGCTGTACTTCTAGGCCCTTCCTAGCTTTGCAGTGGAATAAACAACTGTAATTTCTTGTGACATTATCAATCAGAGGATAGTCTGATCTGAAAGCAGATGCCACTTTACCATAGAGGTTTTTGAGCTCTGGTTGAGGGATTAAGTAGTGTTGGAGGATGGTATCTATATGCTTTCACTATCTTCTTACTATCCTGGCAGACCTTAGAAATTACGGCTTACAACATGCTGTGTCTTTTCATATGGAAGACTAATCAAATCACTTTCCCAACATTATTTAAGTCATAGATGAGGTAGAAACTAGAACCCACATTTCCAAATTTTACCTCAGTACTCTATCCAACACACAAACACTAATTGCCCATTGAAAAATTAATGTAGCTACTGGTGATGATCAGAGAATTGCAAGTTTGCAGAGAATTATTAGCCTAGAGCAGGAGCCCTGGTGGTTGATTAAACAGAGCGGTCTTTGGTTAGTATTAAAGGCATAAGGCTGTATCTACAGAAAGGAGGCAACACCCAGTAAATGCAGAATGTGCAGGGAGGCTCTGTTAAGCTCCAAAGTAGGTAAGCATGGCTCAGTACACAGAGGACTTCAGTAGACAAACAGCACATGTTTGTTTCTGGAGATGTACAAAATAACATTCCAGTGTTGCAAGGAAACTACAATTTATTTACTATTCTGAAGCAAGCAAGTTGGAGAGAAATTTTTGTTAAACCACACCAGTGTGGTGTCTTCCCCCCAGCCCTTCTCTCCCCTGCCTGAGCCTCCTGAGTGCTGGGATTACAGGTTGTGCCATAATGAGGTATAATTATTGGATATGTTCAGAAACATCATCTGGTCACATTGGCACTGGATTTCCATGAAAATCTTTGTCATCTCCCAACTCTCAGTATCCTGTTTCCTGGTTAGGTCTCTGGTCCCTGATCCTCCAACCTCAAAAACAACCAGAAATCTTTATAGCCCAATGAGCTCATTTGCATTATTTCAATTCACAGATAATGAGATAAGACCTTCAATCTGATCTCTAAGCCACCTTCATTTCTTGGCTCATGTCCCCTCCATGATACATGCCAAGGAGTGGTCTAGTTTGAATATCCCACTAATGACATGAGGCTTGCTGCTTTCTGAGGCATTCATTCCATTTCTGGACACTCAGACTAGTGGGTATAACTTCTCAAGCCTTTCCAAAAGCTAGATTTGCAAATCATGATAACTAATGAAAACAATTTCTGAAATTTCTGATGTCATCCTTTGTAACCTTATTGGTGTTATGAAGTCATACTGAAGTGGCCAGGTGTATTTGTTTAAACAGAAGAGGAATCATGTTCAAGTTCATATTTAAAGGAAGACACCTTAGCATTTCTAAGGGTGTCAGACTGACAAGGGATCTTGGAGTTCAAGTGGAAAAGGAGTACAGAGGAGTTTCTCGTTTTAAGATTAGATATAAATTCAAGCTGGGTGCTGGTGGCTCATGCCTGCAATCCTAGCTACTCAGGAGGCAGAGATAAGGAGGATCAAGGTTGGAAGCCAGCCCTGGCAAATAGTTTGAGAGAACCTGTCTCAAAAACACCCCTTCACGAAAAAGGGCTGGTGGAGTGGCTCAAGGTGAAGGCCCTGACTTTAAACTCCAGAACTGGAAAAAAAAATTATATATAAAGTCAAGAAAAAACTTTCTGTGTAAGATCTCTCTCTCTCTCTCTCTCTCTCTCTCTCTCTCTCTCTCTCTCTCAAACAGCATTCAGGTCTTAGGATATCTTCACTCTAAGCAGAGAAGTTTTCCCAAAGAATTTGCTGCTCAAGGCCAGGTGCTGGTGACTCACATCTGTAATCCTAGCTACACAAGAGGCAGAGATCAGGACGTTCTTGGCGAAGTTAGGCTGGGCAAATAGTCACAAGACCCTATCTGCAAAAATCCTTCACAAAAAAGGGCTGGTGGAATGGCTCAAGACGTAGGCCTTAAGTTCAAGCACCAGTACCGCAAAAAAAAAAAACCGCTGCTTTGTTTTTCATACTATTGTCTCCAGCCAAACCAATCTGAAACCTATATATAAATACATAAAGTACTAAATCTTTACAAGAATTAAGTTATAGCTTATTAAAGCCTTGATATCAGAGGTAAGAACTTAGAACCCAAAGATACTTTTAGAGGCAGTTGTTTGCTTCCTATACGCTTTTAGAGACAGTTGTTTGCTTCCTATACGCTGATCAGGAGGTGGAAACAGAGGGTTTAGTCTCCACTTCTGAGATAATGTCTTTAGTCACTGATTTGTTTTTTTTTTTTCCTTCCTTTACCACTTGAAGGTGCTTATGAATAATGAAGAGACCAAAAGGGAAGCAAGCAAGTAAGAAGGCCTGAGGGGTTCACTGAAAACTCCAACTCAGTCATACTTCTGTTTTCTTTTTCTTTTCATTTTTATTAGCATATATTCATTGCATTGGGGGAGGAGGAATTCATTGTGACAATTCCACAAAGCCTTACCTTACATTGTACATTGGTTAGATTGTCCCCACCATCTCTTCACCCACTCCCCACTCAGTGCTACTTCTTAGGAATTTGTTTTGCTTTATTGTCTTGCTTCCTCAAACTCAGAACTTGCTGTTTGTTCAAGGGACCATCTTCTCAGAATAGTGTGTCTGGTCTCCTCCAGCTAGTTTCATATAATTGGCTATTTACCAAAACAGCCAATCTGGCTAAAAGACAGGGTCACCCAAACCTTTCTTGCTTGAACAGGAACTACACGTTCATGGCAAAAAAGAGCTTCTCAGCCCTTGTCTTTGAGCAGTAATGGGCAGATAAGAAATAGCAATGAGATAGGCAATGAGCACACCAGGCATGAGAAGCATAGAGGAGGAATGTTTTAGGGTTTAGGTTGTTGGAGTTCAGGGCCCAAGGAGATTAATGGAACCTGAACTAGAGCTGTTCTACTATTGCTCTGAGAGCTCTAAGACTGTAAGGACAGTGCCAGCTTCTGCAGCCATCTACTAAAATTAGAACGATACAGAGAAGATTAGCATGACCCCTGCGCAAGGATGACACGCAAATTCGTGAAGCGTTCCATATATGTGTAGTTATAGTTCCTTGTAACTACAGGACTGTGGGTGTAGCTCAGTGGGAAAGTGCTTGCCCAGTATGTGCCAAACACACACACACACACACACACAACTGCAAAGTGTGTGTATTCCCCTCCCTAGCAAGCTTTATTTTGTATAAAAGAATGGAAAGGAAAATCAGCCACTTTCTTTTTTGAAGAGTCAGGGTCCTGTGGTATCTGGTCTAGAAAAACTATCCATATTTTTGTCAGGGACCCTTTAAGACTTAAAGTTTAAAAACCTCTGAGCTAGCCAGGCACCGGTGCTCACTCCTGTGATCCTAGCAACTCGGGAGGCTAGATCAGGAGGACTGAGGTTCAAGGCCAGCCTGGGCAAAAAGTTCAGGAGACTTCATCTCCATGGAAAAAAGCTGGCCTGTCATCCCAGCTACAATGTCCAGGCTGGCCTGAGCAAAAAGCGAGACACTATTTCAAAAATAACCAGAGAAAAAGGGCTAGAAGGTTGGCTTAAGTAGTAGAGTGCCTGCCTAGCAAGCATGAAGCCCTGAGTTCAAACTTTAGTACCACTAAATAAATAAATAAATAAATAAATAAATAAACAAACCTCTTGTCTGGCTTCCTGTTTTGAAATTGGTTCTGAATGATCCAAGGCCACATGGGAGTGCAGGACCCTAATTAACTGAAATCTCTGCTGTACCAGATATGGGGTAGGGGCCAGTGGCCAGATGTCAGTAATTCTCCCTTACCAAGCCTTACACCAACACTGTGGTTCACCAGCAATGGTATAGCTTCTTTAGGTTTCAATTCCTCAGAAATGGTGAAAGAATGTTAGAAGAGGAATGTGAAGGAGGATTAGAAGTGGGGAAGGAGGGAGACCATTTCTTGACAATAGGAAAATGTGCCTTAGAGAGCTGAGGCTTGCCTGTGTGTTTCAGTTTAGATTCTTGGAGTTAGTTCAGAGTTTTTTATTTGATCTAAAAGAACAAGACTAGGTGGGGCAAGATTATCTAAACCTTAAATCCTGGTTCCAGGAATACCTCATACCAAGCCTTGAGATGTGGTGTGGCTTTTGGTACCTTGCTTTGCTGTTTGTGAGGTCAGAACAGGTGCCCTCTTTCCCACTGATAGTTTAAAACTTCTGGTCCGAGCTGTAGCAAATGTGAGGCCCAGGATTCAATCCCTAGCACTGTAAAATTAATAAAAATACATAAAACTTCAGGATAAAGCTTCTAAATCTTCACCACACATGGAACCAGATCTCCTACTGTCAAAAATACTTTGAATGCCTATTTTAAACCAGGATATGTAGATCACCTGGGATGCTATACCTTGTTTTACTCTGGTCTTGAGCATTATTCCTCATAAAACTAAACACCCACTTAATCTCCGAGTGGTCACATCCAGAAAGAAGCTTTTCTGCCTTTACGTGGATGATCTTTTGAATAATTGAGTAGACAAAGCATTGTAATGTGAAACATTCATAAATCACTGAGTCAGCTCTAGTCAACCTCTTGGTGTTTTTGTTTCCTCTGGTCCCAGATGTCTCTTTTAGTTCTGGAGAGGCAGAGGCTAGTAGCATCAGAAAAGGGAATAACTAACCAGAAATCCTAAATTACGAGCCTGTACGTTTGAGAAAGCTCACATCTCAGGAAAAAAACAGCTCTGGCTGGCGTTCTCTGACAGAATCCCCTGAAACAGAACAAGAGGGAGAGGAGTATCTAGAGTGCCTGAAAGTCTGGCAACCTGAGCAAACGCTCTTTGACCTTGGGCAAGGGCACTTCCTATTCCTAAAATACCCTTGGGATCGCTCTAGTGAGGCTTGGAGGGCCTAGGCTGGAATCCCTGATCAGCCCTATTGCTAGCTAAGGTTTGCAGAGCATCTCTGAGAAGCTCCAGGAAGAGGCATTCACATTCTTGTCCTAGCCAGCCCTTGCCAAGTCAGTCTCAGAACAGTACTTCCTGCCTCTGCTGCTTTCTCAGGCTCAGACGAGAGCCTGAGACAGCCAGGCCACTCTGGGAGCTGCTTCCACAGCTGTTGATGCATTAAGTCAGAACAGAGCTACAACCACAGAGCACATGAGGGAAGTGGGACCGAGACACAAACATCCTGTCCTTTCTACATCTAGTGGCTCCAGCTCGAGAGTCAGAGTCACCAAGCTGATTGTGTGGGACAGGGCCACCCAATAACATAGATAAACTCATCTTCCCTATAGTCGTGGCTAGGAAGATAGCATTTTTCTTTAAGTCCATGGACTTAAAAGGTGCTATTCCTTGGTTTATGAAGCTTTGATGGGAGACAGTGATCAGGGGTGATCAGAATGAGCAAGAACGTGTTTCGCAGAGCTTGAGCAGGAGTTCTGTTCCAGTTAGTGAGTGCAGACTTGCTGGAAGTGTCTTTCCACAGACCAGTTTAAGAAAGAAGGGGCGGATTCAGGAGCAAAGAGCTTAGGGCTCCCCTCATCCAATTCTCACCATCTTTTCAAGACTTGGCCACGCCCAGCTCTGTTCTTCCTTGCAGGACAGGGGCCTTGTCCAGCCAGGCAGGCCTTACCTTGTGTATGATCGCTTCCAGCTAAAGATCTCCTCCAGATTGGAAGAGGGAGAAACCTCTCGCTTCTGCAGGGCTCCCCAACGACGACGGCCCCCTAGGAATGAAGTTCGGTGCCTGCTCAGCCCTTTCATCCTTTCTTCCATTCGAAAGAACTCAGTCAAGGCCCGGAAGGACTCCAAGATGACCTCGTGGCTCCAAGCTGGCAAGGGCTCCTGTCGCAGGAAGCCACAGTGGCCTCCGTGGCGACTAAGGAGAAGGAAGAAGTAAGGATTGCTGTGGAAGAGTTCAGTGGGCAGCGCTCGGTCCGGAGGCCCACATACGGGGTCATCAGCACTGCAGATGCACAGCACAGGCACAGCCGCCTCATCCACATCCCGGAGGGGGTCATTGTGGTCCCAGTAGGTATCCCAGCTGATGGGGAAACTCTTGGTGTGACAGAAGAGGGTCTCCTCAAACTCTCGCAGGGAGCGGCTCCTGAATAGCTTGCTGGTGTGCACTGTGTTCTCCAGAGCTGTGGCATACCTGACAGCAAGTTGAATGGGGAAGGTGAGAGAAAAAAGAACCACAACACCAGTTGGCAGCAGTTGGTAGCAGTTGGTTACAGAGGAGTAACCCCAAGCTACATTCAGGCCACAAAGGCTTTTTGGTTGTATAGCATTGTTTTTTTTTAAACTTCCATTTCATGGTAGTCATCTAAAATCAGAAGATTTCACATAAAACACAGGTATCTGGCCTTTCTGGGGGGAGATCTGGCCAAAGGGGTAGCTCTCCTTTCTGTGTCACAGTGCCCACCCGGCCTGTCATCCATGGCCTTATCTGCTCAACCCTAGGCGTAGGATTTGACTTTACAGCTGCTCATCTACAGGATGTTGCTCCTCCTAAATTCAATGGCCCTCTCCAGGGAACTTGTTATGAAGTGTCACCTCCCAGGCCTCTTCTAAAACTCACTGGTTCATACTATTCAAATCAGCAGATGACACCCCTCCCACAGACAATCACATTTTTTACTGCATGTTTTGTTTTTATATTTTTATGCTAATACACTTTTCTGATGATGACAAATGAGTGTGACCTTGATCAGGTACCTACTCCAGGTAGGGCAGGTATCCTACAGAGTGCTGGGTGGCAGAGGAAACAGTAAGTGTAAAGTGTAATTAATTTGCTGGGTGATTTCCCACATTGAGGCCTGAGAACAACTTCATTGGGGAAGAAGGACATCTTTGCTACTTACAACTCCCTGGAGAGGGCCTGGTACCCTACTGAGGAGGCCAAGGTGGGCAGCTCAGTCCTTTGGATAGATTAATCTAGCCTCTGCCAGGTGAATTTAGATCTGTGTCTTCTGCAAACACTGAAAGATGCTTGCCCTGAGTTTTCAATACCAAACTTCCATGGAAAGGACACAGCTTTCCTCTCCACTTCCTTCACCCAATCTCTAGCTGGTGCCAGGGTCAGCACTGGTGGTGGTCATTTTGGAGTGGAAACTATGGTAATTGAGCTGGATAAGAGTACCTTGCCCCTGGACTGGCCAGCCAGCTGGGTTGCCATGGCATTGTTTCCGACTGTTGTTCAGCTCAGGGTTTGACTATCTCAAAATAGGAGGCAAAATGGGGCAAGGAAAGAGAATCACAATTGCCACCACTTATTGCGCACCTAGCCAATGCCAGATCTTCAGTTTTGTTTTGTTTTTTTCATTTAATGATTGTAACCACTTTGGGGGTGGTGGTTATTATTAACTCCATTTAACCGAAAGGGGAAGTGAGTCTTAAAGGGGTTACCTAACTTACTGGAAATTCAGGATTTGAACCCAAGAAGGTCCGACCCAGTGTCCCAGGTCTTTCTGCTACACCATACTGTTGACATATAATCCCCTTGACCTCATTCTGCCATCTGGGAAAGACTGGACCTTCTCTGTCACCCTGGTGGCAAATTGCTTGTCACCCTTGTGGCAAATTGGAGGCAAATCTCTTTTGGAGATTAAAAAAAAGTTTAAATATTAAAAAAAAAATTAAGTGTTGATTATGTACCTAGGAATATGTAAAACATTTAATATGTAAAAATTTTAATAAGTCAAATGCTGCCACGTTTCTGATTCCTGTCACCTCCTGGCTCAGAGACTGTAAACACTCTAGACCGATAATGGGTTGTAATTGTTTCCGGAGCCCTCCTTGCTGAGCCCTCAGCTCTGGACAAAGTGGTAATGTCAGGTGCATCTTTACTGCCTGCGGGGAGAGGTGCTCAAGTTGCTAGGACACCCGCGGCTGAGATGTGGTGATGGGGCCCCAGCGGGAGTCCCTGCTGTAGTATAATGACACTGGCTGAGGCCATAAGGCCATCTATAGAATTGAAGCCCCATTTTCTGGTTCTGTCTAGATTATAGAGTTTAGAAAACGTGTGAGAACGTTGCCCAAATTGACCCACAGCGATTTGCTTCCATTCCAGGCAGAGCTGTTTCCTTGACCAGGTAAGACTTGCATTCCCTCCCTGCAGAGGGAATACCCACCTGCTGAGGGCGATTTTCTGGTGCAGCAGGAAACCGCGCTCATAGGGCCAGGGCAGGCCGGCTTCGAACCACTCGCGGCAGCGCAGCACTGGCGAGATGCAGGCGGCGCCTGTCATGTAACTGGAGGAGCCGCATTCACCCAGGTAGGACAGCAGCAGCGCGGAGCCCGAGCCTTCGCTCACCGCGAACAGCGGGGCCGCCGGGTGTCGGAAGCGGATGTAAGTGACGGCCTCCTTGAGGTCTGATGGGTCCCCGAAAGGCTGTAGCCGGGGGCTTACCAGCGGGCAGCCGTGGTGTCCGCGGCGGTGGAAGATAACTGGGTAGTAGCCGCGCTCTAGGGCGAGCAGGCAGAGGCCCAGCACGTTGCGGGTGAGGCGCCCCCACGCATTGGGGATCACTAGCAGCACCGCCGGAAGGCCCCCGGCGTTGGAGACCCGGCGGTCCCGGGCGCAGGGTCCTACAACCCAGTCCAGGGCCACCAGCCCATCATCCGCCACTGCAGGTACTCACGGGCCAGCTCAGGCCCGGGTCCGACGGGAAGGACGAAGTGGCAGAGGGTCTGCAGGTGGGGCCCGGAGAGCCAGGAGCGCGGGCCGGGCTCCAGCGCCGCTGAGCGTCGCAGGACGCGCAGCAGACACTGGGCCAGCGCCGACGGCTTACAGATGAGGCTGCACCCACCGGGTAGCGGCTCGCGCCTGTCGCTGAACTGATCGGCGGGGCCTCCGCCGTCCACCTCCTCCTCGTGGTCCTGGACCAGGGGCCCTGGGCAGGGTCGTCGCTCCGACGGTGCGCCTCCAGGGGCGCCCGAGCCGCCGGGCAAGCAGGGCGAGCAGGGCAAGCGCAGCCAAGAGCAGCGCGAGGGCTGCTTCCCACTGTGGCATGGCCAGGCAGAACAGCCCCCGGCGGGCGGCAGGCAACGGGGCTGTCCCCTCGGCGAGCCGCTCTGCCTGCGGCTCCGCCTGGTCGCGGGCTGCGGCCCCTGCCCTCCCGCGCGGGCGAGCGGGCGGGCGGGCGGGCGCGATCCGGATTGGTCGCAGCCCTGCCGAGACAGCCAGTTCGGGTCGAGCTCCCCTCGCCCGCCCCCCACCCCCGCCCCCAGCCCTTTGTACAGTGATTGCGACAAGCAGGAGCAGAGGGTGAATCGAGTCGGGGCCACGAAGAGGGAGCAGAGGACGCGCGGGCTAACCAGAAGGAAGTGGGCAGGGCAGAGGGGTGTTAGCAAAGAAGTGGGGAGACCCGGAGACTGAGGCTTGGGGGGCCCGGGTGAGCAACAAAGTCCCTTGCTCCCGCCCCTCTGCCCTGGGAAGTCTGTGGCTGGCGGAGGAGACTCTGGATCTCTGCACCCTCGGGGGATGTTGTTTGGAAAAAGGGTGAAGGGGAAAACGCGCTGGCCCCAGGGCTCCCATGGGAGCCACTCTCCGCGCTCCCTCGCTTTCCCGGCCTGTCCGCTCTGAGCTGGTTTTTGTCTCGGCCCCTCCAGCACCCACAACTGCGCAATAACGCGACGCGGGGTGGTGGGGAAGTGGTACCGCACTGGATCGGCGAGGGCAGCCATCTGACCCTGGCCACGGGTTTGCAGCGGGACGTTGCTCCTTCCCTTGCCTGCATCAGGGCGCTGTCCCACCAACCGCACCTCCACCTCGCCCCGCCCAGAGCGTAGCGGGATCTCCAGGAGCTTGGCTTCACAGAGAGGATATCCTCACCACCGCTCTCCATGAAGGACCTTCCCACGAGAAACAGCCCAACTCTGCCAGAATAAATTGAGGGGCCGTGGCAGGGGTAGATTGGAGTTTCTTCATCAGCTCGACATCTGGGAATTACTGCTGGGTGTGGGGACAAGGAACCTTTTGCAAATCAGGGGATGTGGAAGATGACTGGAACAACACGTTGTTGGCTCTATTTAGAAGTTTTGGACTAAGCATCTCAACCCTCGTCCTTGTCTTTCCTTAAGATCCTGAAGAGGGTACCCGAGCCAGCGTCCCCGCTGCAGGGAAGCCCTGCCCGAGGACTGTAACTCCTCTATCTCACAGCGACCAGTGGCTCTCGGGTCACTGTTGGGCGAAAGACGACAGTGGGAGGGGTTGCGAAGGCGGGGAACAAAGCAGCGCCCGGGCCAGCTCCAGCCTCCTAGGGCTTTTGGGCCAAAGGAGGGTAAGGGGCCTGAGATTCCCCTCTCCCCCCCTCACCCATGCTCCTCCGGATTCAGGCCCTATTGAGGACGGGAATGGGATGGTTTGAAGATGAAGTTGTAGTCAGGACCCTCTCTCTTCGGCAGCTCGAACTTCATGATTCTGGTGCTTTTCAACTTGCAGGTCAGAATTACGAGTGTGAAGCCGATTTGCCCGAAGAACATACTAGTTTCCCCCTGGGCCACACGGTCCCACCGGGATCCCATTTGCCACCCTTTGGTCCGTTCCAAGACCCCACCCAGGCGCCGCAGCTGTGTTGTGCAGGCCGCGGAGATGCGCCAGGACGAATCTCCGAGCGCGGAAGGTGCTCCCCACCTGCCCTGCTACAGGGTGCTGACCAGCTGCGCTCCCACACCCTTTTCCGGCTTTGGGTTTAGGACGCGAGCGCGCACGCTCGGCTACTGGGGGTGGGGCGGAGGCGGGGCCCGCGATCCGGGGAGGAGGGAACCCGGCGGCGCGCGAGCCCGGGGTCTACGTGGGCGCGCGGGCGCGGGGGCGCAGGGGCGCGGGGGTGCTGAGGCAGGGCGGGCCGCGAGCTAGTGTGCTGGCGCAGCGGCAGGCCGGGCTGAAATGGTGCCTCCTCTGCCTTCGCTCCAGTTGCTTCTCCTGGCAGCTCTGGCGGAGCTCCTGGGTCCCAGCGAGGTAAGAGGACCCGCCCCTGGGAAGGCTTCGGCCCGGGATCTCAAAGCGCTTTGCTAAAAGTTCGTCCTGGAAGGAATTGCTCCCGGAGAGGGGACGAGGAGTCTTCCCCGTTCCCCTGCGCCCCGGGCTTGGGAAAGAAGAGGACAGGGCCCTGGTCCAGTCCAACGTCCCGGCTCTGTGCCTTGGACCCACAGGTGGTGACTGAGCGGGCGGAGGAGGCGGGAGCCGGTTGTTCCGAAGGCCTGTGGCCTCTGCCCCCACAGGTAGGAGCGCTGGAGGGCAGAGGGATATGACGAGGTAGCTCAGTCCCACCCTGGCCTCGCTGCACCCTCCACGGTCACCCTCTGGGCACATGGGCCGGTTCCTCCTGTCCTTAGTCGCCAACGTCTCCATCCCAACCTGGGGCTTGGGGTCTGTTGTCCCTTCTCCCCGCCTCACGCGGAGTCCCCCAGCCACTCTAAGCTCTTTTCTTTTCCCATGTGTAGGTGTTACCAAGAGTGACCTACGTGCAGGTGAGACCAGGGCAGGTGAGTACAAGCAGGGGCCCATCAGCCCATCGTTGGTAGCTACACTTGGAGACAGCAGCCTCCTTTGCAGGCTTCCTCCACCTTTCCTGACTCCTCAGCTCCATTCCTTACCACTTCCTGTAGAAAGGCAAGCTTTCCAGTTTCTCGTCACAGGACAGATGGCAGACAGGGAGCCATAGGCCTCCACCCTTTGCAGTGCTGTCAGGAATGCTGTTTAGTATGGGCAAGTGGAACTCTGAGGGTAGCAGGAATAAACAACTCAAGCCCAATGAGGTCTTTGTGGGCCCTAGTTTTCTTTAAGAGAGGGCATTAATTCTGTCCCTGAGGAGTGAATGAATAGCAGGTGACAGCACTGCAGAAGGTACAAAGCCTATCTATCTCTCTTTGTTGCCAGCGATCACTTTTTTTTTTTTGGCAGTCTTGGGGTTTGAACTCAGTGCCTCATGCTTGCTAGGCAGGCACTCTATCACTTGAGCCACTCTGCCCACCCAGTGGTCACTCTTCCATTAAGCCATTTTACTGTTCAGAACCCATCAGTGGCTCCTTATTTCCTACCATATCATGGTCATACCCTTCTGCCTGATTTCTGAGGTCTTAGTTAAATTAGCTTCATCTGATCTCTCTAAATCTGGTCCCTCTCAGTCATGTTTATCTGCTCGTCAGACAAATAAATGTCAGGCTCATTCCCACTGCCATGCTTTCTTTGCTTCTGTTTATTCTCCACATCTGGCCTGAAGCATGCAGCTCCTGCCATCCATCCCCATCCATCTTCATAGCTCAGTGCTAGAGTCACCCCACCCTACCTTGCCTTAGTAGTACAAGCACTACTTGCCTGTAGTGCTCATAACCTGTCTTAGAATTAACTACACTTGCCAGGTACCAGTGGCTCACGCCTGTAATCCTAGCAATTCAGAAAACAGATCAGGATGATCATGGTTTGAAGTCAGCCTGGGAAAATAGTTCACAAGACCCTATCTTGAAAAATCCCTTCACAAAAAAGGGCTGGTGGACTGGCTCAAGGTGTAGGCCCTGAGTTCAAATCTCAGTACTGGAAGAAAAAAATCCACTTTGAGTTGCATTAGTTTGCTCTTTGATTTGTGTTAGTTGTCCTGAGTTTCTTTATATATTCCCTGCAGGCAGAGTCTGGGAGTTCTCTCTCTCTCTCTCTCTCTCTCTCTCTCTCTCTCTCTCTCTTAGGGTACTGGGGTTTGAATTCAACTTGGGGCCTCACGCTTGCTATGCAGGCACTTGAGCCATTTGCCACCCCTTTTTTGTGTTAGGTATTTTTGAGATAGGATGTTTGTGAACTATTTGCCCTGGTTGGCTTTGAACCTCTGCCTCCTGAGTAACTACGATTACAGGTGTGAGCCACCAGTGCCTGGCTAGGAGTTCTCTTTCAGGCATCTCCTACAGCAGCTAGCACAGTGCTGAGCACCCAGTCAATTCAATCAAAGAATAATGAATGAATGATAAAGTGTTTCCACCCTGAGATTGTGCACCTGCTGTCCATGTGCCATGCATTTGGATGTTCTTGGGAGATTGACAGATTGGATCAACAAATAGACTTATTCTTCATTTGGGGGGATGCTTATAGCCTAGATTGGGGACTTGTAGAATCGTCATTGCAGGTGCAGAGAAATACAACTAAAAAGTATGTTCACAGTCTAACAGTTACCAAGGCTGTCTTGGAAGATCAGAGGCTCAGCTTTTAGGGGTGGCACTTGATGGAGAGGAAGGGTGAAGGGGACACTCAGAGGCAAGAGGAGTGTATGCCAATATGCAGGGCCTTTTGCCCTTTCCTAGGTCTTAGACATGGAAGGACTATCTGGCCATCCTGGGAGTGCCTTTATCCTGGCCCCCAGGATGGAAGAGCTTATTATCCTCTGGGAGGGACCTGGGCTTTTCCTTGGTGTTTCTGTGCTTTTTCTCCAGGCTGAGGGCGTCACCTTCCTCTACCACCCCTGTGCCCACCCCTGGCTGAAGTTGCAGTTTGCCCTCCTGGCTCATGTTTGTGTGGCCAAGCCCACACTCACCCCTGACTCCAACCTCACTAGGGACTGGGTGAGTGGTTGATGGAAGGCATTGTCTGGCGCTGGCAGAGGGGCACAGCCGTGTGTGCACAGAAATGAAAACTTAGGGGCTTCTTGATTGCTCTTTCACCTTCATCTTAGCTCTCTTACCTCCTTTCATAGCCCCTGGTGCTGACAGCATGGGGAATGGCACTGGAGATGGCATGGGTGGAGCCAACTTGGGCTGCCCACTGGCTGAAGAGGAGGCAGCTGCGGAAGCAGAGGAAGAAAGTATGATTTCCACTCTGACAGTCTCTCTGGGCCCTCTCCCTTAGTGCCAATTCCCAGCAGAGGGAGGCTGTTCCAGAGAGGGTGTGTGCAGACCATAGGTGCTGGGCTCAGGTTGGTTGGTGGTGGGGTAATCTGAGCATGGCAGGGGTGACCTCTGTCTCTTCTCCTCGTAGGCCCCAGCTTTGGCCTTTGCTCTGCGTAGCTGGAGGCCTCCTGGTGCAGAGGTGACATCCAGAGGGCCCAGGCAACCCTCTCCTGGTGGTGCCAAGAGGAGGAGGCTGCGAGCGGTCCTTAGACTCCAGCCCACTCCCTCAGGCCTGAGGGTTCCGTCTGCTTCCCCATGGAGCTTAAAGACCCAGCAGCCCATTTTAGAATCCCTGGATGAGGGCGGTAATGCCTTATCTGTGCCTCCTGTTCCCTTGCTGCCTGGGGGTCCTAGAAGCAATACTGGCTCCAGGACAGAGGCTCAGCTACCCAACAGGCAAGGCAGCCCAGGAGGTTGTGCCTGCCCAAGTCAGGCTTCCTTGGCCCCTAGGGCTGCAGCGCCTCCCCGGGCAGCTCAGGGCCCTACCCCTCGCACGGAGGAGGCCGCTTGGGCAGCTATGGCCCTGACCTTCCTGCTGGTGCTACTCACCCTGGCCACACTCTGCACGAGGCTGCACCGAAACTTCCGCCGAAGCGAGAGCATCTACTGGGGGCCCACAGCGGACAGCCAGGACACAGTGGCTGGTGAGAAACACCCATCGCCCGGCTTGGCCTCCCCGCCCCCGCCCCGCGCCCCGGGCGTTCCTGCCCTTCACCGCTTCCGTCTGCCCACAGCTGTGCTGAAGCGGAGGCTGCTGATGGCCCCACGTCGGGTCAAGCGCTCTCGCCGGAGACCCCTGCTCCCGCCCACGCCGGATAGCGGCCCAGACGGGGAGAGTTCCGACTGATCGCTGCGGCTGCCCGTAGGCTCCTCCTCCCGCTGGGAGGCCTCGACCTCTGCCACGTGGGATGTGCTCAGGGACACCCCCTGGCGGGGCAGCCTTGCGAACGCATTGCGGAGGCTCCGCCTCCACCTCCTTGGTGTCAGTTGCAGGAGGGGGTGGCCTCCCGCCCCCAAACTCCGTTTCTAATAAATTATTTTAGTAGAGTCCGAGTTTGAGCCTGTAACTGCCACACAATCACACTTACCCAGGACACTGGCCCCTAGGCTGTATTGGCTGCTTGTGGTAGGGCTTTTATATAGTCTAGTTGGGCCCTGGGCAGTCCTCTGGTTACATTGGCCTTAGGAACAGGCTTTTAAAAAAGGAGAGCCCTAGTGGGATAATGGTGTCAGTCATGCCAACATTGCCCCTTCCAAGAGCTTTTTTTTGTGAGATGCTGGGGCTTGAACTTACGGCCTAACCTTTGCTAGGCAGGTGCGCTTTACTTGAGTCACTCCACCAGCCCCCGAGAGCCTTTTCTAAAAGATGTTTCCTACAGAGTCTTCCCTGGCACAGGGTCTCTGGGGCTCAGTCTTGCTCTGTGCTTTTCCAGGTTTCATCTCAGTGCCCTTCCTGTTTGCCTTCACCCCCCCACACCCCAGTCTCTAAGCATTATCATAAGCAGCATATGGTCACTTATTTATTTTTGATACAAATGTACATGACACACGTCTTGACAGCCCACCCACTACCACACAGGTAGGGCCTGGCCCCCTAGGGGGAGAGGCGGATGGGAAAAAGAGCGAGTGGGTGCTGCCTCTACCTCTCCCGTCTTCCTGGCTACAACCAGGTCCTCAGGCCTCCAGAGGGTTGGACCACCTTAGGTACAGGTAGTGATGTGGGTGCTGGCCTTGCTGAGGCTGGGGGAGGGCTCTCAGCTCCATAGCCACCAGCTGAGTTGGGACCCCGGGGAGCCAGCCCCAGGCTCAGGTGCTCAGTCCTCCACCTGGCCAGCATAACTCTCTCCACAAGGGAGGAGGAGGAGTTGAAGGGAAGTGGTTTTCCTTTTAAGTTCCTAGAGCAGGGATACTAGTGGGAGCACTGGCAGGACCACGGCTGATGATCCTTGGCAGTCCCTGGTTCCTGGTTGGGGAGAGGGAGGGCTGGCCCCCAATGGTAGTTCTGCTGCTCTGGTTCCCTTGCCCCTCAAAACTCCAGATGGGCCAGGACTCTGGAACGGCACTGCCGCCCGCTACACTCACAACGCAGGCACGCGGGGACACTCTGTTACCACAAAGTTAAAATTAAGGGGTAGAGGAGAGGCGAGAAAAAAAGATTTTTCCAGTGTTTGCTGCTGGGGACCCCAGCACACAGGTTGGGGCCTGTGCCCTAGGCAGGGGCCTTTTGGCATTAAAGGAGAGCAGCAAGGGGGCTGGTGGCTACAGGGCGGGGACATCCACAGATTATGTACAAAGGAGGGGGATGCCCCCGCTCAGCCCCCAATAGGGCTGAACTGGCTCATGGGGGTGGGGTGCAGGTAGGGGGAGTCGCCCCCCCATTTGGAGTGTTGCCATCCTACCCTTTGAGGAGTAGGATGCCTCTAGGCCCCTGCACGCTGGAAGGGAGGGGATGCTATTATGTACAGGGGAGGGGCTTGGAATGAGGGGGCAGAAGCTCCTGCTACCCCACCTCCCCATCCTTGGGGCTCAAGGGGGTGGGCACCAGGGCACCTGGCTGCCGGAGGAAGAGTGGCAGCACTAAGGGCACTTGTGCCAGTGGCTCTGTTGGGGTGGGTTAGTGTCTGGAGTGGCCCAGCTCCCGTGGCCAGTGAGGTCCCAGGGTGTGGGTAAGGGCAGGGAGAGTGGTCACTGCTTCTTCTCTCGGGTGGTGATGGTGACCAGCTGCTTGGCGGCCTTGGCGATGTCATAGGCGCACTGGATCACCTGCTGAGTCAGTAGCTGGAAGTCCACAGGGGCACCGGGCTCTGGGGGCACTGTTTTCCGGCACTCACTCTGCAGTCTGTAGGCGCTGGCATTGAGCAGCCTCAGTGAGCTGCGCACAGGCTCCAGGGCTGGCCTCTGGAGGGAGGAGCAAGGGGAGATGAGCCTTGGACTTTAAGCCAGCACCTGACTGTGGCTGGTGTGCACTTGTCTCCACCCAGGCAGTAGTTGGGTTCCCTACGTCTGCCCCACCCCCAAGGTTCTCCCACTCCTCTCCTCTCTGGGCTAGTACCTTTGGAAAGAGAGAGGCCATCTCAGTCACAGCCAAATGGATCTTCTCTGAACAGGGCACAAAGCTGTGGGACAGGAAAGGAGATGAATGAGGGACCCTCAAGGGTCCCAGACACAGAGGATAGGGCCCCTCCCCTGCCCCTATAGACAACGAAACCACACACCCCTACCTGTCATGCTTGAATTCCTGGGCTGCCCGCAACAGCTCCTGAATGTTCTTGGTGACCTGCTCTGTCTTCAGGATAACGTCCTCAGTGCTGGGGAGCCCAGGGTCTAGGTCTCCATCCAGGCTTTCCAGCTCGGGGTGGAGATCATCCTCTTTGCCCAGGTCTAGGAACCGCTTCCCTTCCAGCCTGAGCCCAGGTTCAGAGAAGAGAGGACTGTTCCAGCCATGGGCTGCTTGCCCTTACCACCTGCTCCCCTCCTGTGCCAGCAGGACTGGGTGGAGACCCAAGGGTGCCTCACCCAAGCAGTGGGTCCCCACTCTGTGTGTTCTCATAGTCGCTGTCAGCACCGCTGCCATGGCGGGAAAGCTTGCTCTGTAGAGCCGGGGAAGAGTGGCAAGTGAGTATGCATTCTTGGGCCCAAATAGTCCACACTCCATGTCCCCACACTGTCCCTGGGCAATGAGTTGAAAACATTACCGCATGGCGGCTTCCTTCCTGGGGGCATGTCAGCAGTGGGGAGGAGGGAGTGAAGGGCACAGCGGAGGCAGACACCCCCTTCCGGATCTGAAAGCCAGCAGGATCAGAGTCAGTTTCCACTCCAGCCTGGCCTGACAGCCATGGAGGCTCAGAACCTACTAGCTACCATGAACCCACCTTCCCCAGCCCCTGCTTACCCGGTAAAGGCCGGTAGGGACATGCACTGAATACATGGCATCATCCTCTAGCTCCTGGGGTGGGAGGTAAATACAGTGGGCATCATCACAGGCCTTGTGGCAGCCCCATCCCTATTTTCTCACCCAAGACCCACAGTCAACTCACAGTGCTGTGGAAGGGCTGTAGGCGCGTGCTAAGCTCGTCCCCAGGTGTACCCCCAAATGACTTCAAGGCGGAGCCTGGCTCATACATGGAGAAGGCCTGGCGGTCCCTGCGGTGGCTGCTTCCACCAGGCCCCATGGCTGTGTGTTCGGCCCTTTCACTGGTGAGCGGAGGTGTGGGCACTGGCCCTGCTGGCTGCCGGAGCTGCAGGTTCTCTGCCTGCAGCTTGTGGATCTGTGAGTGTACACAATGGTGTCCTACTCTGTGTCTACTTTTGGGAAAGGGTGATCCTCCCTCCTGAGTCCTGGAAGTCTTCCTACCATCTCCATGAGGTCACAGCCCTCACCTCTCTCTGCAGCCTCCGGAGCTCATCACTTAGGCTGCTGTTGACCTTCATAAGTTGCTGCACTTTGGCCTCAGAGGTAGCAAGAGCCTTCTTCAGCTCTAGGTACTCCTGCAGCGTCACAGCCCCATCAGACAGGTCTGAGGAGTCCATGCTCTGCAGAGAGACACAAGGCAGTCAGCCACAGGGGTGGGGGAAGACACCCTCAAAGCCCACTTGTTCCCAAGACCCAGATATTGCTGGGGAGGGGCACAAGGGCGTATGTGGGGGGGGGGAGAGAGAGAGAGAGAGAGAGAGAGAGAGAGAGAGAGAGAGAGAGAGAGAGAGAGAGAGAGTGTGTGTGTGTGTGTGTGTGTGTGTGTGTGTGTGTGTGTGTGTAGAGGGGGGAACTGGGTAGTGCTCAGACCCGGGCACGGTTGTTCCGAGTGGCACTGGCACTGGGCAAGGGCTCCTGGTCTGTGTCTTCGTCGGAGGCTACACTATCGTAGTCGTGCTGGTCATCGAGGTCACTTTGGCTCCGTGCAGATAGCTCGAGGTTGTCTGAGGACACAAGACCTGTCACTCTGGTCTGCTTAGCCACACAAGTCATTTGTCATGCCCCCGTGCAAGGGCAGCACTGAGGCCTGGGATGGTGCCCACTGACCATGCTAGCTCATGCTCTCCCACCTGTGGGGCTGCTCAGACTCTTGCCCTGCTGCCTCCGCTTGGCCTCGCTGAGAATGTCGATGATCAAGGTGGCAAACTCTCGGGCGTTAAAGCGGGCCAACTTCTGTCGCCCCTGCAAGGCAGAAAGGGCCAGGCCCATGTGAGGGATGAGGCCCTTTATGGCTGATCCACAGGTTGGGACAAAGCAGCAAGGCAACGCCCTGCCATCTGATCTAAGCACAGCTAGAAAATCCCAGCCTGGTCAGCAGCATGGTTACCCTGAGGTCAGGCCAGCAAACAGGCTGAGGGTGTCCAGGGTAGTCCTTGAGAGGAGGCCGGAATACCCACCAGAGTTTGCTCAAAAGAACAGCCTCTTCCCCACTCCCAAATCCCAGTGCCAGTCGGGCCTCAAGGGAGGCCCCAGAAAGGGGTGGAAAGCTACTCTGGGCCCCAGCCCACAGCAGACTGAGGAAGACAAGGCTCCTAGGAAATCAGGAAGCTGCCCAGACTCCCTTACCCAGCCCCCTCACCTGATTCCGTGTGGCTGAGTATTCGGGGTTAACTGGCAGGAAGGGCACAGCACTTCGCTCCGTCACCAGGGTGCTGTGGTTTTGGGTAGCCAGCCACACTGTGGGGGAGGATAGGGAGCAGATCTTCCTCAGTGGCCAGGCCGCCAGGATGGAGGTGGGGAAGTGCTGAGCACAGCCTTCCTAGCTCCTCCCTATGCCCACCCCACTGAGCTGGTATCCGACACAGGGGTGGTCTCCATGTACACAAAGCCGGGAAGGCAGGGTAAGCCCCACTGGGTCTGCCAGGCCAGACCCACAGTTTGGGCTGGTATCTGGCCGTGGCCAGGAAGGAGTGATGTGGGGGGCGGAGCAGGACTGGGGAGGCAGCCAAAATAGGAGGCAGCCAGAGAAGAGATGAGCGGCAATGTGGGGCAGGGTGGAGAGGCAGCTGGCTGCCTGTAGCTCAGCACGCTCTGCCTGGTGGGGGGAAGCTGGCAAGGCCTCACCAGCAGACTCCAGCTAACCCTTTTTAGTCCCAGGCCAGGTCCCAGCCCTTCCCAGCAAGCCACTCCTTACAAGGACTTGTGCCCACCCTGACTCACCAGCGTCATTTTCTCTTCGATCCACCTCATCATACACATCCATGGCAAGTTCTTCAAAAAGCCGGTTGCTGAGCTGCAGGCAGAGAGGGGTCCCAGGTCTTTCCAACCAACCAGCCCCAATGCCACTAACAAGGCCAGCTCGCCAGGATGTTGTGTGACATGGAGAATGGGGAATGGCTCAGCCCTGAGAGTCTCAGAACTGGGGGTCTATATGACAAGCCCCAAGAAGAGAACAGAAAAGGAGGCCAGACCAACTCATTCTCTCACAGATGATGAGAGGAAACGAGGCCCTGGAAACCCTAACACTTTGGAGAGCAGAGCCAAGGGTCAAAGGGAGAAGGCTGATAAGGGGCAGGTCAGAGGAAGGAGGAGAAGCATAGGGTGGGGAGGTCACTGGTGAAGGGCAGCTCTAAGTATCACCTGTCTATGCAGACTCACCGCTTGCAGCTTCTTTTTGGCAGCTTTGGCCAACTCAGACAAGTCAAGGCTGCAAACAAAAGAGAGAATGTGAGAGGCTAGGCCTGAGAGGTGGCCATGCCCCTGCCAGTGGCCGCCCAAACATGCAAGGACCCCAGGGAGACAAGACCCCCAATGCTACACACCAAGCCTCCCAGCCCTACCCAAGCTCCACAGCCTGTGGCCCGGTAGGCGCAGTGTACCTCTGAGACATGCACTTTTGCCGAGATCTAAGTCCAGAGGAAGGCAGCAGAGGGAAGAACAGGACAGAGCAGCAATTACCCAGGAGCAGGGCAGCACATGCCTTCTCACATCAAGCTCAGACTGGTCACCACACACACCCTACCCAGAGTATTCAAAAGGGAACTTGTCTCCCCCTGACCTGCTTTCTCTGTGACCTGTCCATCTACCTTCCACTACCTGGGAGTCAACCTAAAGTTTCCCTTTCCTCCAAGTGCTAGTCAAGCTTCCCAGTTCTGCCATTTCTTCTTGTCTGAGCTTTTGCAACTCACTTAATCCATCTCCCTTCCAGTCTTGCCTGTGTAATCTTTCTTCCACCTAGTGGCCAGGGTGATCTTTTGACACATCTCTCCTTAAATCATTTCAATAGTAATGTAGCCCACTCCAACTATACTTCATTGAAAAGTTCACTTTAAAAAATATGCTTATGGAGGGGATGAATTCAAGTATGACATGTTTGATATGTTGTAAGAACTTTAATAAATGCCAGCACAACAATAAAAAAAAATGCTGAGCCTGGAGCTGGTAGCTCACACCTATAATTCTAGCTACTTGGGAGGCTGATATCAGGAGGACTGCAGTATGAAGCCAGATTAGGCAAATAGTTCTCAAGACTCTATCTACAAAATAATCAGAGCAAAATGCCCTGGAGGTGTGGCTCAAGCAGTGGAGTGCCTGCTTTGCAAGCATGAAGCCCTGAGTTCAAACCCTAATCCCATTAAAAAAAAAAAAGGCTCAAGGTCTGGTGGAGTGCCTCAAGTGGTAGAGCACCTGCCAAGCAAGTGCGAGGCCCTGAGTTCAAACCCCAGTACTGCCAAAAGGGGGGAAAAAAAAGTTCACTTCTGCATGTGCTATCTTATTTAACCCTCTCAATAGGCCTGAAAAGGGTAGTTGGTGTCATCCCCATTTCCAGGTGAGATAACTAAGGCTCAGAGAAATTAAGGAAGCCTGCCTCAAGTCACAGCGAAAAAATTGGCAGAGTGACTCCACATACACATTTGGAACTCTGCCCTTGGGATGGTCACAGCTCTTGCTGAGGTTCACAGGGCTGGTCATTCTCTCACCTGCCTCTCACACTGTGCTTTGCAAAATGAGCTGCTTGCACCTCTAGGCACAGTATCACCAATCTCTCTGCCCCAGCCTCTCTTGCTGTATGCACCTCAGCTTGGCTAGGCTGCCTCTCTCTAGCTATAGCTCCTCAAAAGGCAGATAGTATATGGATTACCTCGTGTCCACAAAGCAGCAGCTGGCTCTGAGAAGCTGCTCAGTTACCAATCATTGAATGCATGTCCGTATGTGGGTGTGTTTACTATACACTCGTACACACACACTCACACACACACACAAGGTAAAATTAGACTACAGAAGTAAAGCAGAGTCTTAGAACAGAGGAGGTCTGGGTTTAGGGATGCGGGCTGTACAGACTGTCCCATCTGTCTATGCAGGCCTTTGGTGAGGAGGGAACTTCCTCTCTCCTGATCCCACCAGAAGGCCCAGCCTGGCATAAAGATATAGCCATTTTAGGACCACCAGGTGGCGCCAGTAACATCTGTGAGCTGGGTGAGTACCTGGGGGAGTCCCCCACTACTTGGGTGCTTGGGGTCTTAGAGGCAGGAGCATCCCATCTGCACTGTACCTGAGAAGTCTGCTCAGTCTGGGAGCACGCTGGAGGCCTGACCTGCAGAACCAAAGTCAGCCAGCTCCCAGGAGCCCACCTTCTCCTTGCAGAGGGCAGCCCTCACCTAAAGGTTGCATAGCAGGTCAGAAACCAATGGCCCACACTCCCAGCTTAGGCCTTTCCCTGCACCCAAGCCCTCTACATACTTAAAAGTCATGGGGCTTAGACTGTGCTGGCTTCATGGTGAACTGACATTTCTGATCTGAACTAGGGCAACACACTAGAGAATGAGGACAGGCTGTGAGTACCTGTGCCTCCATCCCCTGTGGGGTGCAGGGTGGAGTCCTGGGGCTCTGGGATCAGGTACCCCCTGGCATCCGACAACCTCTGGGAAGGGGCATCAGGTGGGCACTCACCTGTCAGCCATCTGTGGGATGATGTAATGCCCATTCTTGTGATCTGAACAAAAATGAAAAAGCAAAGTCACTGAAGCTAGATGGCCTCAGCAGGTGGGGGACCCACCTCACTGCCAAGAGCAGGGCTTGGCAACCCGAAGTGTCAAGGGGCAGGGAGGAGGGTGGGCTACCTCAAGAGCACTGGGAGCTGGCTGGCTGGAAGTCAGGCCCACCCCACTTCCTGGCCCCAACATGCTTGCAGCAACCCAGGCCTGCAGCAATTTCACAGGAGCCAGTTGCCTAGCAACGCTGTTCCCCAGCTGGCTGTCACTATGGCACCTGCTGCTGGGGTGTGTCTGGGTCCCACCTGCCTGGCCCATAACCCCTGCTCACCCGGCTTGCGTCCACAGAGGTAGAAGGCCAACCGGTCAGTGAGCTCATATTGGCACTCCACTAGCCTTTCCGCCAGTTCATGGTGCCCCGCCTGCCTGTGGGAAGGGGGCATGGCTCAGCCTTACAGCAGCAGCCAACTTGCCCCCACTCAAGCCTCACCTGTCGGCTGACCCTCACCTGGCATAATCGATGGTGTGCGGCCATTGACATCAGGGGAGCCGGGGTCAGCCCCATATACCACCAGCAGCTCAGCCTGCAGAGTCTGACCTGCCTTGGCAGCCACGTGCAGAGGTGTGGTGCCCTTCTCTGGGTGGAAGAAGTTGGCCTGGGCACCCAGGGACAGCAGGCGCAGACATGTCTCCAAATTGCCTGTCCGCACGCTTGAGTGCAGTTGCTGCAAGGGGCAGAGTATCCAATAAATGTGTGTACATGAGATACACTCCCCACCCCTAAGCTGCACCTGGAACTCCTACTAGTTCCCAGGAGCCAAGCCAAAATTGGGCCATGTCAGCCAGGACAGAGGGCTTCCCACCATTAGTTAATGCTAATTAACAATAGCTGCTGAGCTAGGCGTGGTGGGACATGCCTGTGAACCCAGCACTCAGGAGGCTGAGGCAGGAGGATCACAAGTTAGAGGCCAGCCTGGGCTACACAGTGAGACCTTGTCTCAAAAAAACCAACACCGCCCCTACCCCACTGCCACAAAGAAATGAACACAATTTAGCCAGGCATGGTGATGCACACTTGTAATCCAGCATTCGGAAGGCTGAGACAGGAGGATCACAAGTTAGAGGCCAGCCTGGGCTACATGGCTACATGGCAAGACCCTATCTCAAAACAAACAAACAAAAAATCATCTACCATGTGCTGTGTGCTCTGCTTGGAACAAATATTACCTATTAGGTAGATGCTGTTATTACTTTTCCATTTCATAGTTGAGGAAAATGAGGCTCTGAACGGCTGAACAACTGCTCCAAGTTTTTCCAGTTTTCAATAGCAGCTGGGGGATTGTAGCCTTGTGTATCCACTTGGGAGCAGAGGGGTCTTGGCCACCCAAAACTTGACAGAGCAATCTTCCCTACACCCCCTGACCCCACCGTACCTGTATCTACTGTTTGCCCCTGACCTAAGCTACCTTTGGGACCTAGGGCTCAGGGGTGATGGAGAGGCCTGAAGGTGTCATGGGTCTGGGTAGAAGAGGAGAGGCCTGCCCATCCATTGTGGGGTCCCTCAAACCTTGCTGAGGTCTTTGGCGGTGACCCCATCATCGTCCCGGCAGGGAAGCTTATGCACAAACGCCAGCATCTGGTACTTGGCCCTGATGAACTCTGACTTGATGGGGCTGCATGGAGCACATAGGAGGGAATGGGGGACAGAGCTGGAGAGGCCAATCATCCAGCCACCTCCTGGGCCCCTGGCCCAGAGCTCACAGCCCTGCCCACGTCTCTGTAGCCCCACTCACTGGACTTTGTCTTGGGGGTTGGCTTTGCGCCGGCCACTCTGCACTTGTGCGGGGTCCAGCAGGGAGTGCTCCCAGATGGAGTTGGCCCCGTTGCTGGCGAGCGTGTGCACCATCTGTGGGGAAGAGATGCCAAATGAGAGAGTGCTTACTGCATGCTGGACACTGGGGGAAACATGCCCGAGCGCTTGCCATGGCTGGAGACGGCACCAAAGTGCCTACTGTGTGCCTGGCACTGCACACCTCCATCCAGTCATGCCACCCAAAGACATGGGTTCTGTTCACTGTTTCAGGTGGTGAGCCTTGCCAAGGTTCAGAGTGTTAAGTAAATTGCTCAATGCTACCTATGCAAGCTTAAATAAGTGGCAAAGATGGGCTGAGAACTTCCTTTTATCGTGGGGTGGTCAGGATAAGGCTCTGTACCAGGTGGGTGCTACTCCTGGAAACTGCACATTCCAGACAAGTGTGTATGTGGGTGTGGAGGAAATCCCAGCTCAGCACACTAGGAGTGGGAAGGAAAACTGGAGGCCCAGTCTCCTACCTGTAGTAGTGTGGGAGGCCAGGCGCTATGGCGAAGGTGCTTGACAATGGAGATGTGGCGTCCCAGACTCCGGTGCACACTGCAGCACTCGTCACACACTAGCACACCCCTGCTGATAGACGCCCAGCCAGGGTCTGGGGGGTTGGGGGGGGGAGGGTCAGCTGGAACCAGAGGATAGGTGTGACCTCCCAAGCACCACCTGGTACTATGCTTAGTGCTTCAAACACATTCACTCATTCCCCAAGTGCCTAGGAGCTGGGGTAATGGTCCTCCAGGTTACCACCCAGGTTACCATGAGGGATTTCCCACAGGGCTCATAGCCTAGGTCTGACAGAGCTATACCCTTTCCTGTACATCCTTGCCTCTCTGGGGGTACAGTTCCCAGAGCCCATTCAGTGGCACAGCTTTCTGTCCAGCAGCCATCACTACTAGTCTCATAGTCTTTTCCCAGGGAGCAAGGCTACTGTTCAACCCTTCCACAGGGAGGCAGGCATCTTCTACAGGATATGACCCTGACATCATGTGCCGCATAGCCCTGAGCACTGTCCAGTTCTGGGTACCACATCTTTCCTGCACCCAGGCTTTTGTTGGAACCTTCTGGACAGATTGTAGCCCTCCAGCAACTGCTGCCCCCGCTCTCATACTGGCAGGTGAGAGGCCTTTTCAGGTCTGATACTCCCACCACCACCACTATGGGCTGTAGCCATCCTCCTAAGCAGGATGGGCAGGTCTGGGGGTGTGGCTCAAGTGGTAGAGCTCCAGGATGAGTTCAAACCTCAGTACTGCAAGAAAAAAAAAAAAATGGACAGAGCAAAGGAACCAATCTTTACTGAGTGCTCACTGTGTACCAGTTGAGTGTTTTATATATGATGCCTCTTACAACTGTCAATACTGCTTTACAGATAAGGATATAGTTGGCTCAGAGAGGTCAGAGGGCTTGCTCAAGGTTACACAGCTCATGAGCAGAATTGTTATGATGTGGACCCAGGTACTTTGATGTCAGAGACCAGGCTAGGTCTACACTTGCTGCTGCCCTTTGCCCCTATAGCCCTGGATGGACACAGCCCCGGGAATCATTCTCCACTCCTTGGGGAAAAATGAACTTTGGAAATAAGAAGGGGGACTAAGACTGGGTGGGAGCTCCCGGAGCCCTCCTCAGAGTAGGGGAGATGCCACCCATCTCAGGCCTCTAGGGAAGAGGGGGAGGAGGCAGCTGTATACAACTCAGGCTATGGAAAGGAAAGGTCATGGAGAGAAAGCAGTCATTGTGTGCTGTCCAGAGTGGGGGCAGGGAGTCTCTCTCCCAGGACACTCTGCTCTGCCTAGTCCCCCGCCCAGGCTCAGGAAGCCCTGTACTGGGGGGTTAAGGAGAAGCTGGCTCTCTGCTTTGCCTTTAGTGCTCAGGGTGCCCAGCAGTCCACTCCCCCAGCCCCGGCAGAGGAGGGACAGGCTTGGTATGATACCAATCTCTCCAGACCAGAAGGTGATTCTCAGGCCCTTCTGCCCAAGGACTCCCATCAAAGTTCCCAGAATTGGGAGCAGATTCTAATCAAAAGCCTGAGCTCTGTCTACACACCAGGTGTCCCCTAATAAAACATGGAAACGGGAAGCGAAAGAGCTCAGTCTTTGGATCTAGGCTTCTTTAGGGAGCCCACAAAACTTGGCAATGAAGGACGCACAAAGTGAGCACCAAACACCTTCCTAGGTGCTGATCCTGAGGGCTCAGGAGGAAGGCACCAGACATCTGTGCCAAGAGGGGAAGCTCTAGGGCACTTTTGTGTTGACTTTACCCAGTGAGACAACTCAAGCGTGGAAAGCCCCCTCCTCCACTCTCAAACATCCCTGGGTCAGGGGGTCTACCCGCCAGTCACCTCCGGCAGCCCAGTCAGGAAGCGGGAAATGATGCAGCCTAAATTCCTCTTGTTGAAATGGTGGGGTTTCCTGTAAGTGGGGAGCCGCCCAGGCCAGGATCATAAATGGGCTGCCCCGAGGCCTCCACCCCAGGCTCGTTGCCCTATGAAGAAGCCCCTAGAGAGGTTAGCTAGATATTCAGGGCCAGTGACCCCATGAGCCTCAGTCTGTGGGCAAAGGAGACGTGGTGTCCCCTGAATATGTCAGCATCCCAGAAGCCAGGACCTGAGAATATGGTCCAAGCTTTGCTTGGCATTCTCTCCCAACCTCCAGTCCTCTTTCTCCTCTGCAGTGACCTAAAACAGGAAGGGTGGGCAGGGACACTGTCCTGGTCTGGGACACACTGGTGCCAGCTCAGTTCTGGATGACACAGATGGGAAGCCTACACTAACTATTCTACCTAATCCCTATGCTCAAGTGACCTTGGCCCACTCAAGCAGGAGTCCCAAACCCCACCAGCTACTATAGTGTAAGGAATCCTTTCCCTTTTTTTTTTCCCCCTTTTTTGGTGGTACTGGGGTTTGAACTCAGAGCCTCATGCGTGCTAGGCAGGCACTCTACCACTTGAGCCATTCCGCCAGCCCCAAGAATCCTTTCCCTTAAGAAGTTCCTTGGACCAAGCTTGGGGCAGAGGGATAGGGAATGCACTGGTTAGGGGAAGTAGGTGGTAGCTTCCTTCTGGCTCCACAGTGGGTGGGTTTGGTATGTGTGGGCAGGCAGTAGGATAATGCAACTAGTGCCAACCCTGGGGAGGCCTCGACTAAGGTGAATTCCCAAAGTCATCAGTTACCTCCTGGGCTAGCAGACCTACATAAAAAGATCAGCCTCAGCCCTCCCTCTCTTGAGCTAAGAGCCAGATCCTCAGCAAACAAGAGGGAAAAGCTCACCACCATAAAAGCAGGCAAGAGTACTCCACGGGGATGGATGTCAGAACTGTGGCTACCTGTGGGGCATGGGCTAAGAGGAGGCAAAAGGAAGCTCCAAAGTATTATGGAAATGTTCTACATTTTGACAGTGGTGGTAGTTACACAGGTTTATACATTTGTGAAAACCTACAGGAAGAACGTGAAGGTGTGGGCACATGGCACATGGCTGTCCTTAAGTTACATGTTTATAAAAGAAAAGCCCACTAGTTGCTCCACCCCCAAAATCTACATCATAAGACAAATGAGCCCACAGGTTGCCCTGAAGCTGGTAGCCAGCTTCTTGTGTTCTTTATGCCTGTGCCTGGAGCTGCCAAAGTGGAAAGGCTGACATGGAGGCCCACGGGGTGAGGAGAAGGTATTTAAGAGCCAGTCCAGGGAACTCAAGACCAAGACCATATGGCAAGGTGGGTGGAGGCAAGGGAAAGAGGCAACCAACATACTCCAGGGTGCCCTCACCCTTGCCTCTCTCCTCAACTCCCATGGCAGGCAAGGACATGGACAGCACCTAATGAGGTGGCCCAGACTGCCACAGAAACACATCAGGTTCAGCCACCTTACAACATACTTATGTACTTACAACCCTATGTACTTGTTCCTGGTACATAGGGTCCTTTGGACACAAGCTGCATCTCATCTCTTACTTCCATCACCCCCCCAAGTTAGTCAACTCAAAAAGGTCAGTACTCTACCCATAGGGCTGGGACTTCAGGGTTCTGATCACATTGAGAGGAGCCTGTGATTCTGCCTGAAATGTATACATCAAGGGAGTTTGGCAAGGCACTGGTGGCTCACGCCTATAATCCTAGTTACTCAGGAGGCAGAGATCAGGAGGATAGAGGTTCGAAGCCAGCCCGAGCAGTTTGTGAGAGAGATCCTATCTCAAACTAAAAAGGACTGGTGGACTGGCTCAAGGTATAGTCCTAATTCAAACCCCAGTACCACAAAAATAAATAAATTAATTAATAAAAAGGGAGTTGGCACTGGGTCTAGACTCTAGACTGCTGTTTATCTTCATGACTCTCTTGCCTGAGAGGCTACAGGCCCAGACTTAGAATACCACTGCCTGCCAGGGCCAGCATGGTAGGGTGGGAGTATGGGCAGTCCTGACAAGCATCAAAACACTTGCACTTGGGGAGTGCCTGCCATGTGCCAGACACCACGCTAAGTGGTGGGGTGGGATGATGAGTAAGACTTTGTCAACATCCTGCCTACCTCCTCATCATCCTGACCTGCATTTTAGATCAGAGGTAAAAGAGGTACTTGGGGCAGGAATGCCTCTGTCCATTGAGGACTGGGGATTGGAGTTGGCCTGTCCAATATATTTAACACATAGCATTCCGCTCTGAGCCCACTGGGCATCCAGAGGCTCCAGTAAGAAATTCACAGATAATGCAGAAAGGATAACTGCCTTGCTGACACTGCCTCTGCCCCAGAAACAGAAGCACAGATTTGGAGATGGGGAGGCCCTTAAAATTCCCCAATTTCTTTGCCTCACAGTGAGGAAACTGATGCTCAGAGTGAGGAAAGTCTCACCATAGGTCAAGAGTAAGCTTGAAACAAAGGCCACACTAGAATCCAGGCCCCCCTGATGGAGGGTCTGTTAAACCTTCACTAAGCCCACCCCACAGAACAATCTGCATTAGACACACAGAAGCCAAGGTCTCCTCTTAGCCATTCCATCCCAAGACCAGCCTGAAGCTGGGGGAAGGAAGTCAGAGTTCCCAGCTAATTTGTGGTAAGGTGACCCACCCCCATATGGTTCCTCCAAGGTCCTCCAAATCATGACATGCCTTGAGAGGAAGTCGGAGTCATAACTACCTACAAGATATCTTGTGCCCACACTCTTGCCAGGTATCCACAGCTCCCAAATACTCTAGCCTGGAAATGAGCACTACCAGGCCATTATGCCTGATGGGACTAGACTCAACCTGTCAGAGTCTGGGGGTCTCCAAGGGATGTCTGAAAATTATGGGCCCATGAAACAGCACCCCACACTCTCAATCATGCCCACAGTTTACCTGGAGTTCACAACACCCCCTTAGCCTGCATTGGGAGGATGGACAAGGGTCAGCGCTTTTCCTTCCTGAGGCCAGCTGCTGAGCCTGTCCTCCCACATAAGGGAGCAGCCTGGTGGGTGCCCCTCACTTCCTCAGTAAGTCAGGGGGCTTTCACAGCAGCTCAGGCCTAACTACTGGGAAGGTGAAAGGAAACAATGCCTAAGTACAGCCAGGAGGCTGTCCAGGAAGTCTGCTGGATGAAAGGGGTCTAGGCATCCCTTGCTACTGTCCCCTACCTGATTCTGGCTGGATTGGGCTAGGGATCCAAAAGGGATCCTTGCTCAGGCTGGGGCAAGGCCAAGCCCACCTTCCCAAGCAGGCCTATCGGGAACAAGAAAAGCGGAGTTCAGCTGTTCCTAGTAACCGATAGGCCTGGGGATGCTTCAGGGGAAGATGATGCCCAGGCTTGGACTGGCCCTGAACACCAGGCCCTACACGGAGCCCCAGCCTTGGGAACTGAGGACAGAGTCTCCTAGGAGCAGCCACACCTTCAGCTATTCTTAAGGAAACTGTATGTAGTCCCCCAGGCTCATCTGTCCCTTGCCCTAGGCCACTCCAGCGGGCATGAGGACCATGCGAGCAGCAGGTGCAAGGAGCGGGGGTGGTACTGAGATGACACAAAACCACACTCGCGCCCACCTCCCAAATCCTGCTAGCCTTCGCCACAACCCTCCTATCACCCCAGGCTGGCGCTTCCGTTTGGATATCGAGATGGAGGTGTGTGGGGGGGGGACAGCTATCTGCCCGCCTCCCTCAGACTGAGGGGTGGGAGGGAGGCGGCTCCGGGAATGTCCTTCCTGGTCTGTCCACCTACTCGACTGAACATGGGCCCCCCCCCCCCCAGGCCAGCCCTCCCGCCAAGGACGAGGCTCCGCAGTGGCTGGGGCTGGGACCGAGGACGGAGGCCGCAGCCCCCCGCCCCGCCCCGCCCTCCGGCCCCGCACGGCGCTCCCGCCAGGCCCCGGCGCCCGCCTGGCGGCGGCCTGGGTCACAATCCCATCCCCGATCCCGGCTGCTTACCGGGGGCGCTGCAGTCCGCACACACCTCCGCTCTCGGCCCCTTCCGGGACATCCTCAGCGGCGACGCGGCGGTAGACCTCTGGGCCAGCGTGGGGGGCGCGGGCGGTGGGCCCAGGCGGCGGCGGAGGCCCTGCTGCCCGGCCCGGCTCCGGCTAGGCTCCGCGCGCCCGGCCAACCGTCCGCCCCCGGGGCTGGCCCGGAACCCGCCGTGCCCGCCTGCCCCGCTCGCCCTCGGGCGCCCTCCGCCCCGCGCCGCCCCGCGCCGCCCCGCCGCCGCTCACCGCTCTCCCCGCCCCCTGCGCGGCTCAGGGCCGCTCCTGCAGGAAGCGGCGCAGGCCCTGCCCACCGGGGGAGGGGCAGCCCACACCCCCGCCCCGCCGCCGGGCGCTGCAGGCCGCGCCTCCCGGAGAAAGGAAGCCGGGAACGCAAGCGGGAAGGGGCGGGGACACTTAAAGGGGCCGCGGCTACCGCCAGTGTGGTCTGCGGGCCCCGGTCTCTGTTCCGGCGCTCCCTAGGTCCGGAGGCAGTGAGTCACCCTCTTAGCCCTGTCCCCTTTACTTTCAGCATGGAGAGTGGTCCGGAGGACGCCTGGCCCAAAGACGGAGAGACCAGCGTGGTGGTGGTCTGGGAAGAAAGGAAGGAACTAGAGGCCTAGGGCCCCTCCCAGTCAAAGGGGCTGGACCCTGGGTTGTCCGTTTGTCTTTGATTGGGGTAAGGTGTGTGTCCTGGTACCCCATATGCCCACATATGTGTCCAGGTGTGTTTGTGGTCACAACACACCTTGTTGTGTATGCACGCCGCCAACAATATGGACGTCCAGGTGCCCGAGAGGTCATGCAGTGTGTCTGCCTGTCTTCTGACAAAAGTACATGTATCTCTCCATCCTTGCTTCAAAATGGAGAGGAAAGAACCTGGATGGTTTTTAAGACCTCCCGAAAGTGACCACTTTGTCTGTGTGCAGTAATCGCCACTTGTCATCTGCCTTGTGTACATCCACGGTTTCTGGGCCACCAGAGGGGTGTGAATTCAGAGCGTGCATATAACACACAGGGCCATTTCTTGTGATGGTCTTTCTTCCTGGACTTCACACCGAGGGGCAGGAGACGGACATGGTGGGAAGTGAGGTGGGGGAGGCAGGGAGCTGAAGTGCAGGGAGCTGAAGTGCACTGCACGTGGGTGCACCCCCGCACCCAGCATGCTCCCTCATACACGTGTACTGTGTGTGTACCCAGCCCCCATCCTTGCAGCAGCAAACCGCCTGTCGACAGCGCACTCTGCTTGTAGGGAAAAGGCAGAGGTGCCCAGGACAGGCCTGGGGGCCAGGTTAAGTGGAGGGTGGGGGGGTCTCCAGGCATCAGGGATTCCTGCTGGGCAACAAGGCGAGAATTGGGGGGAGCCCTTGGGTAAGGGTGCCTGAGTGGGTCGACTTATCCCAGCCATGGCAGAACAGCAGTGACTTGTGGGTGGGCAGACTCCTTCCCTAGGGGAGACGAGTAATGCTCATGAGTCACACCACCCGAAATACATGCAAAGATGCCTCCGTCGCATTTTGCTGCAGCCCAGATTGACAAGTTTGTTTGAAATTGCGATCCACGGGATATATTTATAATAGCACCTTGGAAAAAAAGAATCTAGCAGGCCTCCCCTCCCCCCGCAGACAGCCGCTAAGCTGGTAGGGCTTCTGCAAGCAAATTTAACTCGCGGGTGTGTGATGGGGGCACCACCTGCCGCTGGTGTGCACTCGCACCCAGTCCAGGGCTTGGAGTCCCCATCGGGGGGTGGGGAGGTAGGACTGTAGGAGTGGCCTGGCATCTCAAACCGGGCGCTCAGCCCACGAGCGGTGGCCGCCTGCTCACCCCCGATCGACCCCCAGCTAAGGAATTTCATTTATTAAATGTCGAGGCTGCTGTTGGCAGCCCTGCCGCTTGGCTGTCTTTGTTTCTCTGCTGTGTGGGCGCTTCTCGAGCACGTGGCAGCCGGAGCAGCGCTCAGACCAAAGGGAAAGCGACCTGGGCTTAATGTGAAGGGCCGCCTGGCAAAAAGAAAACCAGGCTGCCCAGAGGACAGTTACACCCCGAGTCCAGGCTAAGCTCTCCACTCCTTTGGGTTCCAAAGTTGTGCAGAGGAAGAAGGATGATTCACACCTTCCCCCTCGCCCCATCTCCTGGTTGGCCCAGGGACTACTTGAGGAATGGCCCTGGCACGGACACTGTCCAAACTTTGTTCCCGCACCCCTAGTCCTAGACGCCAAGCTTCTGGGCCTGAAGCTGGGGATAAAAGGGTTTCTGGATTTCCCGGTGGAGTTCTTATCATCCCAAGAAGCAGGACAGCTAGGGTGGAATCACACACAAGGTTCTAAAAACAATTTAATGAGGAAATGTACAGGCATTCTCCCGGCCACTCCTAGACGCCCCCCTTCCCCCTCCCCCTCCCCCAACTCTGGCTGCAGGCACGACACCCTGCTGACCCCTGGTGGTGAAGGTGGGCCGCAGTCCCGGCCTGCTGAGAAGCTAGCCGGCTCCTCCCAGGGCTGGAGAAACGGGCGAGGCAGTCCGCTCCTCCCTTATCCCTTCCTGCCAGGGCCTGGCACCTCAGGGTGTGGAGGAGGCTGGGAAGAAGACCACATGAAGAAACCTGAGAGAGGCGCGGGGAGTTTGCAAGCTTTTTGCTGGCACCTCCCACACAAACACTTCTTGGATTGCTGTTCCAAGTCGCAGTGGTGTGGAATCCCTCATTCCTGCCTTGTTTTAAGGTGGGCTCAAGGAGGCACTATGTCTGGTCCTATCACCTGTCTCAGTCTGCCTGGATGGGGAGAGGGAGGCACCTTTCCAGGGCAGTGGCTAACCTTAGCTCACCCCGGGAGGTAAGTCTCTAGTCTCATTTTAAAGGCGAGTGGACTGAGAAATTCAGAAAATGTAAGCAGTTTGTTGAAGGTCAGACAGTTGGTAAGGAGGTATTTGAACTTAGTCTCTGACATTACGGTCCTTCCTCCCTCCAAGGACAGGACCAAGCCTCTTGATCCTCCCAGTTCTTGCAACTGGCAGCCACAGAGGCCAATTCCACTTTTACCACACCCACTGAAAGATATCCTTCTGGAAGGACCTGTCTGTCCTGGGTCATTCAGGAAGGAGGCAGTCTGGAATCTGTCATTTCCCTTCCTGAGGAGCCCACAAGGCGGTGGAGGTGGGGAGCTACCACCTGCTGCTTTCTCTGCACAACCTCACCCTGGTTCTGGCTGAGCAGTGTGTGGGGGAAGGGCTGTCCTCCCCGCCTTGCTGGACATCCTCTTTACAACGTCGTGTGTGGAAAATGGAGTTTAATTTTCTAAGAGGGCAGGAAGGCTCCTATATTTCGGGTGCCAGACCTCTGGCTGCATCAATGACCCTTGGTATTGATACCCTCCGTCTTTCTCGGGGGTCTCTCATCAGTCATGCTCTTCTAGTAATCCGGATTCCTCCTCACGCTCCGTGGGACCCAACCTCAATTCTAAAGGCCACACCTCCACCGCCCCAAAGCTGCTCGAGCACGGCCTGTAGTCCCCTGCCTCCCCTGCGAAAAGCAAAATGCCAGCGAGTGGCACGCCCCAGTCCACCTGGCGTCAGGGCACTGTCTTCAATTCGGGCGGGCCCGACTCCTCTCCAGCCTCTCAGCGAATCGGGACAATGCGAGACCCTCGGTTCCACGAGGCGGACTACAAGCCCCATGATGCCCCGGGGCCGAGTTATAACACGCTCTGCCCAGAGCACCCGGGTCCTCTCTTCTCACCCCCCGCCCCGCCCCCCCCCGCATTCCCGCATCCCTCGCCGATCGCTCGGGCCGAGGGTCGGGCTATGCGGCTGCAGGTATCCGGAGGCTACGGGCGCGCGTCCCTGCGGCGGCGGCGTCCTGGGGGCCCGCGCCCCGTGCGCCCCCGCTGCGGGCGCCTGCCCTCTCCACCGAGCGGCGTCTTTGTGTGCGGGGGTGTGGGAGGCAAGGCGAGGCGCGACTCCGCGCCGCGCCGCCGAGTGCCCGCTCCCTCCCCGGGCGGGTGGGGGCCTCTCCGCGCCGCCCGCCGCCACCGCCGCCTAGCGAAGACGCCCGCCGCCCGCACCACGCCGGGCGCGCCGCCCCCGCCCGCCACCGCCGCCGCCGCTGCTCGCACATGCCCGAGCCGCAGCCCTGCGAGCATACAGCCCCGGTCGCCCGCCCCGCGGCCTCGGGCCCCGGCTCCGGCGCCGTCCCTGCTCCCGGGCCGGGCGCCGCGGCCCCGGCATGAGGAGCGGGCGATGATCCCTGCCAACGCCTCCGCCAGGAAGGGGCCTGAGGGGAAGTATCCGCTGCACTACCTCGTGTGGCACAACCGCTACCGCGAGCTGGAGAAGGAGGTCCGTGCGGGCCAGGTAGGAGCGCCGTCGGGGCGTCGTGGGGACCCCCACGGCCCGACACGCCCGTACGGCGTGGGGAGGGGGCGCGGCGCCGGCTGTCCCGCCTCCCCGGCGAGTTTGCAGCGCTTCTTTGTTTGCAGCCGCGGCTTTTGTGCTTGTTGACCGGGAGCGGGTGATGGGAGCGGCCCCCGCACGCTCCCCACCTTCCGGGACAGGCGATTCCCACGTGTCTAGGGCCCTCCAAGAGTGGGATAAGAGACACTGTGCCCCTTTGCCGTCGGGGCAGTGAGGATGGGGCTGCTGGCTTGGTCCGTGTTGCAAGTGGTGACGGTCCGCCCCACTCAGTAAAGCCGCGACACCTCCGCGAGAGAGTGCAGAAGTGGGAAAGGCCTGCGTGGGTAGGGGACCACAGGTCAGGATCAGGGAATAGGCTGTGTGACATTCCAGGCATTCCCGCCCCTCCCAGTGCCCTCTTCCTTCCTAATGAATGCTTTCTCTGTTCACTCAGAGTGGGCAGAGCTCTTGGATCCCTCAGACCCCAGTCCTGGTTCAGGAATAGGAGTGAAGAAAGACCCCACTGGGAAGCCTCAAGGGCCTTGTCCAGGTGCTGAAAGGCCTCTCCTGTTCTCTGGTGTTGGGGCCTGGCTTCTAGGCGCTAAGGAGGCTAGGGGGGCACAAGCCATAGGAATAACTTGAGGTTCTGCACAGAGAATGGGCTCCCTGATTCCTGCTGGCCAGTGAGGATCCTGGGGCAGCCAGCTTTGGGCTGGGCAATGGCTTCAGTGAAACCAGAGGAAAGGAGTGGGGTCTTCTGGTTATTCTTCAGGATAAAGGAAGACTCCTGTCACAGTCCTCAATTCTGCCCTCAGCATCCAGGCCACAGGTAGGCACTGGTGGTGCAGGTGGCCCACTGTCCAGGGTGGGGAGCAGTGCAGTGGGCAGAGCTGGGCCCAGACTGCCCTGGATTGCCTAAGGTTGGGACCCCAGACTTGGTCAGTGTCTTTGGGGGTCTGAAATCCTGGAGTTGTGGGTTGGGAGTGATTAGTTCAAGAATTGCCACCTCTGTCGATATACCTTCTGAACGCCACTTCCTGAGTCATGGAAATACAGTGTGAGGAGCCATCCAATTCCCAAGAGAAGAGTGAGGTTGGGGCAGGTTGGGCTGTGTCTCCCAAGTTCACCATGGAGCCCCTAGCCATATCAGTGAGGCATCCAGCTCTGCATAGCATTCTCAGTAAGCAGTGGGCCAACAAGCCTCTGTGCTGGCTTGGGTGTCCACTTCTTTTCTGCTTACACAGGACTCTCCAAGTTGCTTTACAGCCTGGTAGTTTATCCATCATAAAGGAAGTGGTTGGCAGTCATGAGAGGCCTTATGAAGAGAGGAAGTGAGAGTGTTCTGCAGAAACAAATGAACACACAAGGTGCCCATGCCTACCTCCAGGAGATGCAGTTCTGGGGGGGCAGATGTGGACAGGGGATTGCAGTGTGCAGCATAGGGTGCTAAGACAGACAGCCAGACTCTTCTCCATTTTCCTTATCTGAGGGGGAAGGAAGAAAGCCGCTGCCTGACAGGTTACATCTGGAGGGATTTAAGTGTGGTCTGAGAGGAACTTCCCAAATGTCCAAGTGTTGTTAGGAAGCTAGAGACTGAATCTCAAGAATGTCTCAGTCCCACTCCCTTGCCTGATTGGTGAAGTGGTCCTTTCCCTGCAGACTAGAGAAAGTAGAATGCCTTGGAAGAGAGGCCTTTTTCACCTAGGTTTCTCTGTTGACAGCCCAGAAGTATGCAGCCATCTTGCTAGAGAGGGGCTGGGGTAGGGAGCGCCAGCTGCCGCAGGTAGAGGTGGCCTGGGGATGTTGAGCGCATTCCTCTTCCCCCTTCAGGCTGCCACAGAAACCAGGTACTAGGCTTGCCACATTCTGGCCCCAGTGAGTTAATGTCTCCTTGAAATGGACACTGGCTGCCCTGCCCTGCCCTCGATCCAGGCCAGGGGAATATAGGGCGCCAGTGAGGTTAACCCTTGTTCAATCACAGAGGAGCCTGGCTAGTCCTCTCCTCACCCCAGAGGGCAATAAGGAGCTTGCTGATCACTCTACTTTACCCCAGCTCCAGGGCTGGCCCAGAGTGATGCTTTGCATTCGAGTATGCACTGCCTCTTCTTCAGGCACCAGCCTCTGTTCTATGGAATGTGAGCCACCCAACATCATGAGGAAACTCCTGCAGACCTTTGGCATCCCAGCTGGGGGGTCTCTGACCTCTGGTGCTCCTGGCACCAACTGCCACAGAAAACAGCCAGGCACTTGGCAACTGGGTTTCCCTGATCTTCGCTTGGCATAGCTTCCTCTGCTTCACTCCAAGAAAGCCCTGCAGAGGCCTCCCATGGGCATGCCTTGCAGTGCTGGCTGGCCCAGGAGAGGGTGAGCAGAATGGCCTTCAGAGCAGGTTCACGGGTGTTGCTCAGGGCCCCCTCCCCACAAGCTCTGCTAGGAGTGGTGGACAGATAGGAGGTGCTGGGGTAAAGTGAAGGGGTCTAGCTGGCACCAGTGGTACTGTGGTTGCTGGGTGCCCTGCCAGCTTAGGAGAACCAGCCAGTTATAGCCAGTGGATGTGCCAGTTCCCCCCTTACCTGGCATGGCCCTGGGGTTGGCACAGCTAACTGGGCCTGGCCTTGGTTGTGAAGTCACGAGTCCCTGGTGTTCTCTGGGGGCGAGAGAGCAGGGTTAGACTGCACGGCTCCCTGTGGGAGGCACATGTGCAGGGAGGATTGGGGGAGCAGGATTCTTCTCCTGGCAACAGAGACTCTGAAAGGGGCCCGTCTGCGGTCTTGGGAACATTTTCTTCTTGGGGCTGTCTCTGCTACCATCCTTCTTCCTGCTTTCCCCATTCACTCTTCCATAGAAGTAGGTAAGAGGGGTTGTGGGGCTCCTGATACCCAGACAAACATTGTCCTATTAAAGTGAGCACCTGTGGTCCCTCCCTCGTCCTAAAGTAGGCAGTGCTATGTGTGGGACATCACCATAGCTGGTGAGCTAGGAAGCTCAGGAGAGGGAACCACAAACCCCAGAAACCAAAAATCAATGTATTCTAGGGTGAAGGGGAGGGGCCGCGTGGGGATGGAAGGGTGGAGAGTGAGCAACACTGCCCTCAGCTGCCCTAGGCCCCAGCAGCCTGAGGACGCACCCTCCTCTGACCTGGAGAGAGCTCAGACTACCTGGCCCTATGCCCCATGTTGGGTGGTAGAGATCAGAAGCAATGACTAAACCAGACTCCAGCCATCTTTCCTGAGCTGGAAAAGGAGGGCAGGGGAAAGAGCAGAGGCCGAGCAAGGCAAGGCACCCTCCAGGCTTTCTCAAGCACTCTGGCTTTGTCTACACATTTGGTGTGTGTTTTAAGACTTATTTAATGAAAGGATTCTGTCCATGCTAAAGGAGTTGGAAAAATATCCTGCTAGTGCATGCGGGTGTGAGGGGTGTTTAGTATAAATATGTTGGCAAGGAACATGAGTGTTACACACGATTAGACTCCTGCAGAGCCAAAGGGCAGTGAGGCAGGCATGTTTTTGTGTACTTCGGGGTTCTTGGGCACCTTGTGCACAGGCAGAATGAACGTGTTGCTTATGGCACCAGTGCACACTAGCCTGTGTGCCTGTGTGTGCTCCTTAGTGGAGGCAGGGAGGCGCTCTGCCCAGGGAGCCCCAACTCTAAAGACCCCAGCTTTGATTCCAACTGAGGCCTGGTGGGTGCCGAGGCTTCCCTCTCTTAGTGGGGAGGTCAGGTGTTGGGTTTCATGGAAACCTTTTCATTCCAGCAATTAAACAACTCTAGGCCTTCGCTGAGGATATTCATGAATTCTTCCACCTGGGCCCAGGGCAAGGTGCCACTTGTGTTACAAGCTGTACTCTGGGCAGGTGGGAGAACTGCTTTGTGGCTTGGCTGGGTGCACGGGGATCCATGTGGGCCCTGGAATCAGCGGTGCCCTGGGAAGGGCTGTTGGGAGCTAGCTCCTGAGGAGCTCGGGCACCTGAGGAGGAGGGCGTGCAGCCTGTGGGGCCTTGGGGCCGGGCAGGGTGCCCTGCAGCTCCCTGGGGCCTTGTTAGCCGCAGCACCGTCTGGGGCAGGGCCAGGTTGTGTGTATGGTGGGGTGGCTGCACTGCTCATCTGCAGTCCCACAGGAAGGTTACCTCCTGACTTCCCCAGCCAGCTTGAGGTCTGTGGATCCCTCACCATTCTCAACCCAGCCCACCCCATGACCCTCTTCCTCTGTGGGGAGCTGGTGTGGAGGAGCCGCAGGGGGACCCCTGATATCTCTAAACCTTAGCTTAGAGGTGGTTGAGAAGAGCCAGACTCACTTGCTTTTCAAGGCTCCCAATGCACTTTAAAGTGAGGAAATGCCAATACGAGGTTAAAAGTTATATAAATAATTTAAGTTATTTAAAATGTCTTACTTTTGACAAAGGAATTCATACTCATGTTTTAAAATAGTTAGTTGTTGCTAGAAGGCTTCTAATGAAAAGCAGCGTTCCTTGCTCCACCATTCCTACCTCCCAGTCTTATTCCCCAGATGCAGCCGCTTTGGACTCTGCACTTCTGTCTTATTATTTACCTCCATAATTATAAATAATATACTTCCACAACTATCTCTTGGTTTAGCACTTTTTTTTTCAGTACTGGGTTTTGAATTTAGTGCCTACACCTTGAGCCTCTCCACCAGCCCTTTTTTGTGATGGACTTTTTAGAAATAGGGTCTCAGGGTCTCACAAACTATTTGCCTGGGCTGGCTTTGGACCATGATCCTCCTGATCTCTGCCTCCTGAGTAGCTAGGATTACAGGCGAGAGCCCCCACTGGCACCTGGCGGTTTATCACTTTTACACTTTATTACCTTCTTCTCCTCATGCCCCTTCATTATAGTCACCTTCGAATTTCTTTTGTAAATATCTTTTAAGCACTAGTTATATGCCAGGTGCTGTTTAGGGGTTGGGAGGCTATTGGTGAATGAAAACAGGTGGGACCTTG